TTGTCCGCTAACCTTGTGTTCATTCAAAAGCTTACTAGAGACTTACATTGTCATGTTACGTTTTATCCCTCTTACTGTGAATTTCAGGACCAGGATTCGGGGAGGAGGATTGGACGTGCTAAGGAAAAGGAAGGACTCTACTACCTTGAGACACTGAGCCTTCCGAGTATGATCAGGACAAATTTATCCTCTTCGTTTCTCTCTTCTTCCAATAAAGATGTCATATGGTTGCATCATTTTCGTCTCGGACATCCTTCTTTTGCAATTCCAAAAATCATGTTTTCTTCTTTGTTTAAGGGATTAAATATTGAGACATTTCATTGTGATATTTGTGAGTATGCAAAACACACTCGTGTAGCTTTTCCCATTAGCAATAAAAGAAGTTCCTCCCCTTTCTATTTAATTTACAGTGATATATGGGGACCCTCCACAGTCCCAAATGTTTCTGGTTCACGGTGGTTTGTGTCCTTTATCGATGATTGCACTAGAGTCTCTTAGATATTTTTACTCAAAAACAAATCAGATGTGAGTAATATCTTTCTCAATTTCCATACAATGATCCACAATCAGTTTGGTACCAAAATAAAGAGGTTTAGGTCTGATAATGCGAGGGATTACTTCAATCAAGTCTTGTCACCCTTCTTTCAAAAGGAAGGAATTATTCATGAGTTATCTTGCATTAATACTCCACAACAAAACGGAGTAGCTGAAAGGAAAAACGGTCATCTCCTAAACACTACTAGAGCACTCTTGTTTCATCAAAATGTACCAAAACACTATTGGGGGGAAGCAGTACTTACATCTGCCTACATTATAAACAGACTTCCTTCACGGGTTTTAGGGTCAAGAAGTCCAATGGAAGTCCTTTTTAAATTCTACCCTGACCTTAGTGCCACAAACAACCTTACCCCTAGGATATTTGGTGCACTTCATTTGTTCATGTCCATCGTAACAACCGGGTAAATTAGATTCTAGAGCCATTAAGTGTGTGTTTGTAGGATACTCGTCCACACAATAAGGTTACAAATGTTTTCATCCTCCTACCAGGAAACTTTATATCTCAGCTGATGTCACTTTTACGGAAGGAAAACCGTATTTTATTGAACCTTATCTTCAAGGGGAGTCATCTATCATAGAAGATAAGGATTTTTTCCAGCTCGCTTTACCATCACCATCTCTCTTACCTGTATCAAACACTCCATCCAACTCAGTACCTGAGCCTGAATTACCTGTTTTGTCACCTATATCTCCTGTTGTGTCTCCTGTGAAGGATAATATGACTCTTGATCACGTATGGAATGGGAAAGGGAAGGTGTACTCGAGGAAGCAAGATCTAGCTCCTGATCCGATGTAGGCCCAAACCTCTAACCTGACTCCTGAGAATGAGATAACAGTACCTGAACCTACTCCACTTATAGAACACCAGCTCCTTGGACCTCAAATAACTGACCAGGATTTGCCCATAGCCGTGAGGAAAGGAACTCGAGAGTGTACCAAACGACCATTATACCCTCTATCTCATTATGTGTCCTTAAAGAAATTCTCACCAACCCATAGGAGTTTTCTCACGAGTCTAAATGAAATCTCTATGCCAAACACTTTATCTGAGGCATTATCCAATGAAGAAGGGAGGAAAGCAATGAGAGTTGAGATGGACGCATTGGAAAAAAATGGGACGTGGGAGGTGGTTGATCTACCAAAAGAAAAGAAGGCAGTAGGGTGTAAGTGGGTTTTTACCTTGAAATGTAAGGCTGATGGATCGTTAGAGCGCTACAAAGCAAGGCTAGTTGCTAAGGGGTACACTCAGACATATGGAGTTGATTACCAAGAGACCTTCGCTCTAGTTGCAAAAATGAACATTGTGAGGATCTTGTTGTCATTAGCAGCCAATTTTAATTGGGAATTACAGCAGTACGATGTGAAGAACGCCTTTCTACATGGTGACTTGGAAGAAGAAATCTATATGAGCATCCCGCCAGGATTTGGAGGAGTTGAAGGGAACAAGGTATGTAAGTTAAGGAAGGCCTTATACGGTTTAAAACAATCGCCTCGTACCTGGTTTGGGAGATTTACTAAGGTGATGTTAGCTACAGGATACAAGCAAAGTCAGGGAGATCACACTCTTTTCATCAAACACTCAGTTTCAGGGAAAGTCACGGCCTTGATAGTCTATGTGGACGACATAATTATGACTGGAAATGATAAGAAGGAGAAGCAAGCCTTGAAACAATGTTTGATCAAAGAATTCGAGATAAAAGATTTGGGGAGATTGAAGTATTTTCTAGGGATAGAAGTGGCTCATTTTAGACAAGGTATCCTCATCTCGCAGCAAAAGTATGTCACCGATCTTCTTAAGGAAACAAGAATGCTCGCAAGCAAACCAGCTGCAACACCTATAGAGCCGAACCATAGACTTGGAGAGGCTATTGGAGATCAAGCAGTAGATAGAGAGATGTACCAGAGATTAGTTGGAAAACTCATTTATTTTGCACACACCCGGCCGGACATAGCATATTCTGTTAGCGTCATCAACCAATTCATGCATGACCCCAAGGAGATTCATCTTCAAGCTGCCTACCGTGTGCTTCATTACTTGAAAGCTAATCGTGGGAAGGGGATAATGTTCAAGAGAAATTCTGAGCTTGTCCTTGAAGCCTACACAGATGCAGATCACGCAGGGTCCCCTATGGATCGGAGGTCTACTTCAGGTTATTGTACATTCCTTGGAGGCAATTTGGTAACATGGCGAAGCAAGAAGCAAAATGTTGTAGCCCGGTCAAGTGCAGAAGCTGAGTTTAGAGCAATGGCACAAGGTGTCTGTGAGTTGTTATGGCTGAAGATTATACTGGAAGACTTGAAGATTAAATGGAGTGGGCCAATGAGACTCTACTGTGACAATAAATCAGCAATCAACATTGCACATAATCCAGTGTAACACGACTGAACTAAGCACATTGAGATAGACAGGCATTTTATCCAGGAAAAACTAGAAAGCGGATTAATTTGCACACCATACGTTCCCACGGGAGGTCAATTGGTAGATGTTCTTACAAAGGGGCTCAACCGTGTTATCTTCCAAGAAATTATTTTCAAGCTGGGAATGGTTGACACCTATTCACCAACTTGAGGGGGAGTGTGGAAAAATACCTCCTTGATTAGTGGTAGGTTAGCACTAGAATTGTGTAAATATTTGTTTCCCAGAGTTTAGGGATTTGTGTAAATATTTGTTTCCTAGAGTTTAGGGATTTGATTGATAGAGAATCAGGGATTCCTGATTATAGGGATTTCAAAATTAAGTTAGTTGCTGATTTTTCTCTTTGTAATTTCTTATATATAGCCCAACAGAGGCTCTTGTAAAATTAATTAACAGATTCAATATAATTGAATTCATTTCTCCACAGATATGCTTCCGTTGAAAAGGGAAACCGAAAAAGAAACAAAGAATCCGGCAGAGGCGAGACCGTTACACCAGAGGAGACCTTCCAAGCACGCGAAGCCCAAGTTGCAATTTGAGCCCCATCACCCACTTCCTTATCAAATTTCCCTACCAGACACGACCGAAGGTCTTCTCTTCTCCTTCGTACCGAGTCATCCTCGAAGAAAATCGATGGTCCTCTATACGGAATTGCAGATCTAGCAGATCCACCTTGGAACAAGCGGGGCAACCTAGCGACCTCCAAGAAAGAGCGCATGACAAAGAAGAAAAGAACCAAACAAGTCAAACACCCAACAGCAACCACGAAACCACAGACCCAACAGAGAGAGAGAACAGCGAAAACAAAATTAGTAGAGGATGTCACCAGAGTTTATGACTCTGGTGACTCGTCGGAGTAGTAAACCCTGATTGCGTCTCTACCACGTCAAGCTCTCTTCGTCAAGCACGCACTTTGACTCTCAACAGCACCATAGTTCCTCACTTGTCATTTTGACCATGACTAACATGCTTGCCAAGGGGGACACTATCACCTTGAATGATTGTTCAAGAAACTCTACGTTACATTACGCCTTCTTTATTCCACCAGAAATTTTACAATAAATTGCGTATTAAGAATATTACCCTTTGGTATTTTCCATTATTATTATTTGTTTTTGTTTTTGTTTTTTGTTATATCGAACAGCTATCAGACCACCCATACTTTAAGGTATGGTGCCATACTTATCTTTTTTGATAAAAAATAGCCATACTTTATGGTACTAAATGTTGGGCAGCTAGGAAACAACAGTTACATAAAATGAGAGAAAATCGGTTAAGATGGTTTGGACATGTGCAAAGAAGACGTTTAAGTGCGCTGGTTAGGAAAAGTGACATAGTCCATATTGAGGACATACTAAGGTAAGAGGAAGACCAACGTTAACATGGGTAGAGTTAGTAAAGAAATATATGATAGCACGTGGATTGACTGCGGCCATGGCCTTACATAGAGCGGAATGGAAATAGAGGATTCATGCAACCGACCCCAAAGAATTGGGAAAAGGCTTGGTTGTTGTTGGTTTTTATTTTATTTTATTATATACTAAAATTTTATATGCTTTAAAAATTTTGCACGCCTATATTTAAATTTAGAAAGAAAGAAATTAAACCAAACAACATAAACGGAATCCATTTTCATAAAAGAAAAAATGACAGAAAGAAAATGGTGTGAATATTTAGTTTATCTTTTGTAGGTACCCTTAATTTTATTTATCTATGGATATTGCTAGACATGACATGTCAAACAGTATTTAATTCTATATTCCATGGTTATTGCCATATATCTTGAAAAATGTTGAAGTTTCTGGGATTATCCAGCAATAATGATTTTTTTTTTTTTTTTTTTTTTTTTTAAATTCTCGTTTAATTATTTGTTATGTTTGGAACTATTGTGGTTCTTATTGTTCCATTTTACTTCTGTCCTGATCGCTTAATGCATACCATGGCAGTTGGCTGTTATGCTTTAATACAATATATACGTTTGACACAAAATATGAATTTATTATTATTTTTTTGGGCGTATGAACAGTTCTTTAGAAATGCTTGCTGGTATCAATCTGGCAGAGGAAGGCATATTGAGATTACTCTTTGCTGCTGTTTATTTGATGTTCCATAAAGTTAGCAGCGATAATGAGATTTCTGCTGCATCAAGGTGTGTGTTATTTTATTTATTTTTCCTTTTTTCCCCATATCTATCATTTATTGTCTTGGATATTTTGAAAATTTTATCTGCTAACTGTTTCTGATGGAGTTATAAGAAAATCCTAATAGCGCTCTTGTAGACCTCTACACAGCTAGAAAATTTACTGTAAATCATATCGATATATAGTCTGTGTTTCACTGTTTTTCTTAAATGGAGTTAATAAATGTTTCTGGAATCTGGATTTTGATAAGCTTAAAAACAATAAGAACTCTGTTGCAAGGACTTCAAACTCTTTACCTCACAAGTTTTCACCACACCCTGACCAACTAACTTAGGGCTCATTGATGGATAGTTCTCTCTGAATTTGTTTATAATAGGAAGAAATAACTATGCTTTAAACGTTGAATTATCAATTAGATCATATTTTGATAAGATTTGTTAATAGGTGAACAAGTTTTTCTGATTTTCCCCCCCTTGTTACTAGTGTAATAATCGAAGTAACATCAATTAATCTTTTATTGTTGTAGACTGATATTCTAATAATCTTTAAAACTTTTTCAATGATCAAGTCTCAATCAACCATGTCTGCTATATATATTTTTGGTTTGAAAAATATTATAAACAGTCAGTTTCTTTTAAGAATGCATGAACATTGTTAAGATGATCAAAGACAATGTGTTGGCAAAAGACTGTAAACAATCACTTGCTGCTTTGTAAACAGCAGACAATGATGGAAGTTGGCACATGTGTTTTGACAGTTGCATCATCGATATAATCACCATCAACTATCGACAGACAGGGCCCCGCCCGGGCCCCGGGGGGGGGCGTGGGTATCGGTTTTCTATTCCATAACACAAAGGTCTTCTGGATATGATGGTGGATGGTGGACACTACCTTATTTTAAGATTTGTCCTAGAGATGAATGGAAGGCTTTCAAAACTAGCAATAAATTTTCAGTGGCTAGTCATGCCTTGTGGCTTGTGTAATACGTCAATTACTTTAATCTATCTCATTACCCACGTATTTCATCCCTTTCTAGGCCTACAAGACAAATGATGGACTTTTACATCGGGCGTTCTTTTTGCTTTCCTCAACATTTTTTTGTGACCAATTTACATGGGAATTGCATGGTAGAGGTTACATGTAGCACGGCAGAGGTCACCTTCGACGTGATAAAACAATTGCTTTGGTGGAGGAAATATTATGCTGGTCTAATCCCAACCATGAATCATTTCTATTCCCTTTGGACAAAAAGAAGGAAACACATTATGATAATAATATTATCTTAGTCTTCCTTTCTATTTCAATTCCCTTCTTATCTTAGTCTTAATATATGTATTTTTTATTTAGGAAACACATTATCCTAATATATTTCTAAGGGCACTTCAGGTAAATGGGTGTTACTTTCCTATATTCCACACCGTTGAAAGTTTTGTTTATGGCATGTGGCAGCCAAACCCTGTGTTTCATCTTTTATAGTCCTACAAATGCCATTTCTATTAATTGATTTGAAAGAGCCTGATAGGACTTTATCCCTCAGCCTATGATAGAGCTCAGTGAAAATATGATCCAATCACAAGGATTGGGAAATATTAAGTTTTAGGGATGGCCAGATGGGGAAGATTTTAAAGGTCAAGCTTCTTAAAGGAATTTGAAGATAATTGTACTACTGAATATTGGTAGATTATTTTCTCTTGTACGATGCCTGTGTATTTTTGTTTGCTTAATACAATTTAATTTAGTCATGATAAAATATGTTGCTAGTGATAATTGAAACTCAAATTAGTTGCTTAAGAATAGAATGAAAGTGCTCCAAAGTTTTTTTTTTTTTTTTTTTCTTTTTCTTTTTCTTTTTCATATCGTGTTCTCTTATATTTATGTTGTAATACAGGCTTCTCGTATTGGCCACCTCCTTTGCAACCAAAATGATACGTAAATATGGGTCGATACAGCATAAGAAAGATGCATTTCTGTTACAGGGAATTAAGGGTATGCGAAATTGTTCTTCTCTATTGGTGTTACCAGAGAGAGAACGTAATGAAGCCAGAAATTCTAGAAGGCTTCGGGAGATGGCTCACTTTTTGGAGATAATCCGCAATCTGCAATGTCGGCTTAGTGCAAAATTCAAAAGACCAGGTCAAGGATTGGTATGGTGTTGTGTGGTTCCACTAATCTGAATGTTAGTTTACTGCATCTATGTTTTCACTAGAATAAAGGAATCCCTTTGCCTTTTCTTACAGGTGGATGGTGCGGGGTCATTATGTTTGGTGGATGCAAATTCATCACAGGATATCTCCAAGACTACATTTCAATCTGCAGATACATTATTGTTTGATACATCAAACCAACATGCACTTCCTATTCCTGCATCTAATTTGGACTTTGACAACACTGAAAATCTTGCTTTAATGCCTATGGATTTCAAAGCCCATTTGAATTCAGAGAATGTTGGTGGAGTATCTGTCCTTGTGTCAGAAGGAAGTGTCATGGGGAGGAAATTTTTTTCCTTGGAAAATCCTAAGGATATGATTACACGTTGGGAAATAGCTAATTTGGACTTAAAAACTATAGTCAAAGATGCTTTACACTCTGGTCGTGTTCCTTTAGCAGTTCTCCAACTGCATCTTCATAGGTTAAGAGGTTCGGTTACTGACGAAGAGCCTCATGATACTTTCACTGAAGTTCGTGATGTTGGAAGAGCTATTGCTTATGATCTATTCTTAAAGGTTGCTTATTGATAGTTATTTAGACAGAATAAAGTCAATTTTTCGTTTTGAACTAATAATCTGTGATTAACAGGGTGAAACTGGACTTGCTGTGGTGACTTTGCAAAAACTTGGCGAGGACATTGAAAGCAGCCTTAAACAGTTGGTTTTTGGTACTGTTAGGAGGTCTCTACGGATGCAAATAGCTGAGGAGATGAAAAGATATGGTTATCTTGGACCACATGACTGGAAGATTTTGGAGAGGATATCACTTATTGAGGTATGTGGGATTTAGTGAGATTTTTTGTCTTACATATCTTACAAGCCTAGATGGTGTGAGTATTAAGATTCATACTGATGATCTTTGGTTCTTTTTTTTGGAAAAAGAGGGTTTATCCATGCAGTAGTTTTTGGACCACGTTTCATGGCCGACAGAGAGAATTCATGAGATCTCCCAGTATAGATTCACGAGGAGAAATAAATTTGCGGTTACTGCATTCAAATTTATTAAAAAATCTTAGCATTGAATGTGGTGAGATTGACGGAGTCGCTTTAGGTTCTTGGGCGAATGTCAATGAACTTTCTGTCGTTCCTCCGGTTGATGACGATAGCACTCTTGCTGGTTACTGGGCTGCTGCAGCTATCTGGTCTGATTCTTGGGATCAAAGAACTGTTGATCGTGTAAGTCAATCATTTTTTCTTCTATATCACCAGGAAGAGATGTAATACTATTTTTATCCTCTAAATTTACAAAATTGAGTAATCAAAATGAAAGGCAAATGATGACTTCGTGCTAATATGGGACACGGTCCCTGCTTCCCTACTTCTGAGGAATCCTCGACATTATTAAACCAAATGCTAGTTTTTGCTATGTCTTTTCCGGTTCTTTTAGAAACATCAACTTAACCTTAAACGGAGTTAACAGAAACAAACTTCTTTTGACTATGTGAAAAGATGGCTCCTTGTTTAATGCTGTCAAAACTGGACCAGCTCCACGGCCACCAGTTGAACCATTAAAGCAGTGAACTAGGCACTCCAACGGTCCAATCCTGCCTTTTGAGCTGGGTCTTTAGATTAGGAGTTGGGACATGGCAGTCGGATGGCTTGAATCCTAAACCTTTTGAATTCCATTGAGATACTATAATTTCTAAGCATACATATATTCTTATTTCATACCTTTTTTTATCCTTGATAAGCCAGTATGGATCAATGGAGTCCATCTGCAGTAAAACTGTTGACCTATGACTGGCTACCGGAATGGGTCAATGTTTGGTCCGCTTTTGGTTATTAAGTTCTGTCAAATATAATGGAGAAAATATTAATTTACAGATGAAATGTATTTATTAAGGAGCTTTGCTCAAACCTCAAGGGTCATTAAAAAGCTCAATCATTGTACACAGTGGTACCTTTACAGTTGTGCAATGAGGTGAGACTTTAGATTATAATGGGCCATACATTAGATTTTATTTTGAGTGAAATTTTAGATCTTTGCCATGCCACGTTTATTTTTTGCTACTGGTATGCAGGATTTTATAAATTCTTGCATGTAACAGTAGAGAGTGTGCTTCTCAGGTTGCAAGGGCGCTATTTTTCCCTAAAACCTTGGATGTAGTGCCATTTTCTTTTGTTGTCAGTATTGTGGAATATCTTAAATATATTCTGATCATTTTTCATATATTTCTTTTTCTTTTGCGTAAATTACACTGATGTCCCCTAGGATTTGGCAAAATGACATGGTCTTCCCTTATGGTTTCAAAAATTACACTGAGATCCCTTGTCAGTGACGTCCCTTTAACGAGATTAATGGTTGGTGTGATATTACTAAAATGCCCTCATAATATCGCATCTGCTTAATAAATTTACAACAACATTTGTTGTTTAATAAATGTCTTGTAAAATGATGGCAATATTAAAATTTAAACAATTTCCGTGGCGTGACATCATCACTTTCCGTCATAGAAGGACGTTGACCGACAATGGAGGGAGTTAACTGTTACCAAGTTTTGTTTTTAAGGTGAGTCATTGTAAGTTTTGAAATCACAGTGGACATCCATGTAAGTTGGCCAAACCTCGAGATAGGTCAGTGTAATTAACCAACCACCGCCACCCGTCCCCTCTTTTGTTTACAAACTTGTGATAGGGAAATTGTTTTCCATCTTATTGTGGTAGCAGAGATAAAGATATGCTTTGTTAACAATTTAATTCTTGTGTGTTTACTTTTGACCGCTGCTGCTGAAGCAGTTTCTATTTTGTTGTTCTTACTTCTGTGTTTGATCGCTTGAACAAGGAGAAGATGGCAGACATGCGAGATATCACTTATTTATTTATTTATTATAAATAAGTTTTAATTGCTTCCAATCTCAGGGCATTATGTAGCTTATCATTCCACATTTCTACACTTAGAAAAGATGGAATATAAATCTACAACCCCTTTTGAGATCATAACTGGTCTTTTTGAGCCATTTCTCTCCATCCCCTCTTTCTTTTGGTAGTTCAAAGAACATTTTCTTATAAAGTTGTAGTTCAAAGATCACTGTTACAACATTTTAATGAAAACAACTTCGGTGGGGCTTTAATACCCTACTTATTATATTGGGACTACCTTCAGAAACCACTGGTTACACAGCTGTTGTTTCTTTGAACCATCTGAATTTATGTTGCAGTTGAACTAAACAATTAAAAGGCTTCTAAAATCAATTCCATTGAAATTTTTCCAAGTAATAGTGCCACCATCTCTTCCATCTCTGTCTTTGACCTTTGTGCTGGGTGGTGATTGTTTAATTTTGTGTTGAACATGGCAGTATGATTTCTCAAACTTTTCATATCTTTACTCTAGTTGAGTAAGTAGCAAGCTCAGTTGTTTAACTTGTTTTTGTTATTGTTAAAGGCTTCTTAATTGGACTAAAATTTTACAAATCTCTTGCTTCACAGATAGTGTTGGACCAACCTTTTCTTATGGGTGTTCATGTACTGTGGGAATCACAACTTGAGTACCAGCTGTGTCACAATGACTGGGTGGAAGTTTCAAAACTCCTAGACATGACTCCATCATCTTCATTATCTGGTGGGAACCTCCAAATTTGTTTGGATGGTTTACTATCTGCTACAAGTGTTGGATGCAAAGGAGAAGTTCCTGATTATGGCAACTATATAGGTTCTCTTGAAGAGTTAGATAATGTGTGCATGGATGTTCCAGATGTCAGAATTTTTAGGTTTTCATCCAATAATATGTGCTCCATCTGGTTAAGAAGACTTGTGGAGCAGCAGCTTGCTAAGAAGTGTATTTTTCTGAAAGAGTATTGGGAATGCACTGCAGAGATAGTACCTCTTCTGGCCCGATCAGGTTTCATTACCAGCAAAAATGAAACTTCATCCATGGACGAATCCATTGATAGTTCATCAGATCCTAATTTCTCAAATATTGGCGGAGTATTTCACCCAGTTGCTTTCCAAGCTTTGCATAAACTTGTTGTGCGTCACTGTGTGCAATGCAACTTGCCAAACCTTCTGGATCTTTACCTTGATCACCACAAGTTGGCACTGGATAATGAGTCACTTTCTATGTTGCAGGATGCTGCAGTAAGTATACTTTATTTCAGTGAGACTATCTCTTCGCTATGTTTGCGTGTACCGTGGTTGTATATTTTCTACACACTGTTTTTCATCTCTTTTATTTGTTTTCACCTGTTTATGCCTTTTTGTTCAGTCTTATAAAAGAGTATGTGGATCTTCTGATACGAGAACTGTCTAGACATCTCTCTCTCTCTCTCTCAAGTTATTGAAGACATTCAAATGGAGAACTTATATGATCAGTCAAGTTGAAGTGTTGACTTTAATGCTTTATGATTCTATAATAGAAGACCAGAGCAGATAAATATGTTTTTAATAGTGACTGGTTAATCCTCTAAGAAAAAGAGAGTCAGTTAGATAGAGATTAGTGCATAAACATAACTAGAATATACAGCATATCAATATACTTTATGAACATTGATCATCTTATCCGACCGTATAAGCTTTTGTGATTTCTGCATCTGATAATGGCAAAAGAATGGTTGTACATAGGGGTCACATTTGTCCTGAGGCCCATAGTCTGCCCGGAGTGTTATAAGTGCTATCTTATTAATATTAGTGTTTTACTGATACTTATCAAAAAAAAAAAATTAGTGTTTTACATATAACATGTTCATAAATCACTTGCAATACTTATTAACTTTTTGTGGCTCATGCTGGGTTGGGCGGGCCTTCCTCCAGCCTGGAACCAAAAAATTGGGGCCGTGCCACAGCAAACGGGGCAGTTTTAAGCAGCTAATTATTATTTAAGTATAAGTTTTGTGCTATCATGCTAAGATCTCTTTTATATAACTGAGCTTAATAGCAATATTTTCTGTACAGCATTACAGCTTGTTGAATGAAAAAATGCTGTGAGATTTCACTTCATCTTTGTTTTGTGTCTTTACAGGGAGATAGTGAATGGGCAAAATGGTTGCTCTTATCAAGGGTTAAGGGACATGAATATGATGCATCATTCTCTAATGCTCGCTCGATTATGTCACGTAATTTGGTTCCTGGTAACAGTCTCAACATTTTGGAGATTGATGATATAATCCATACTGTCGATGACATTGCAGAAGGAGGAGGGGAAATGACAGCTTTAGCCACCTTAATGTTTGCCCCTATACCAGTTCAGGATTGCCTGAGCTGTGGTAGTGTAAACAGGCACCGTAGCTCCTCGGCCCAGTGCACGTTAGAGAACCTTAGGCCAGCCCTCCAACGGTTCCCTACGCTGTGGCACACACTTGTATCAGCATGCTTTGGACAAGATACAACTTGCAATTTTCTAAGCCCTAAAGCCAGAAATGGTTAGTTTTTATTTCTCTTATTTATTTATATATTTTTCTCTCCTTTTCATGTTCATGCATGAAATTGTCCTATAGTATCTCCTTTTTTGTGGCATTATATTTTTCAAATCATCTTCTAATTACTTTTCAATATACAGTGTTTGGCTATTCTAATTTATCAGACTACCTGAACTGGCGTGACAACATATTCTTCTCTGCTGGGCGCGATACTTCACTTCTACAAATGCTCCCGTGCTGGTTCTCTAAGGCTGTGCGGAGACTAATTCAGCTTTATGTTCAGGTTACTTTGTTGCCTTCACCCCACTGAATCTCTTACATTCATGTTGTCACTTACAAACTATGTCTTGTTAGCTATGTAGGAAAATACAGTGTACGATGGGGTTACTGAACTTTGAACTTTGTGCTTGACTAGAAAGTAGGAACTAGGTTAGACAATTATATATATATATATATAAGTAACTTGGTAAAATTGGCGTTCTCAATTTGAGAGCCTGACTATCATTATATACAAGCGGAAAATTACAAATATGGAAAAGAGAATAAAATCAAATCAAAATAAAGAGAATAAAATCAACTCAAATCAAATCAGAATAAAAATAAAATCCCTAAAAATTAGCCTATATTGAAGACCCAATAAATTTGCCATAATCGTTGAGTCAACTTATAGATAAGATTTCCAACACTCCCCCTCAAGCTGGAGCAAATATGTTGACTAAGCCCAGCTTGACTATGGAAGACTGGAGAAGAGAAGGCCCAACAGACTTTGTGAACACATCTGCAGTCTGTTCTGAAGAAGGAACAAAAATAGGATTAATGATACCTGATCGAACCTTCTCTCGAATAAAGCGAATGTCTACCTCAATATGTTTCGACAGAATCAGAAGCAAGCATAATGGCTGATTTATTGTCACAAAACAGCCTTGAAGAACCTTTTTGTACAAGACCCAACTCTCCCAAAATTGATTGAAGCCAAAGGAGCTCACAAGTACCTTGAGCCATAGCTCGGTATTCAGCTTCAGCAGAGGATCTAGAAACAACAGCCTGCTTCTTACTCTTCCATGATATGAGATGATTACCATAGAAAGTACAGAAGCCAGAGGTAGAACGTCTATCTGTCTTACATCCAGCATAGTCTGCATAAGTAAAACATGAGAGTCTAGACTGATTTCCTGAGGCATAGAACAGACCAAGACAAGGGCACGACTTAAGGTACCTCAAAATATGGTAGACTGCATCCATATGAGCTGAGCGAGAGGCATGCATGAATTGACTAATCACACTAACAGCAAATGTCAAATCGGGCCTTGTGTTAGTCAAGTAGATAAGACGACCTACTAAACGTTGATACACGGATGGATCTGGAAGTAATTCCCCTGACTCAATAGAGAGTTTAAGATTGGGGTCCATAGGAGTGGAAGCGGGTCGACACCCAAGCATGCCAGTATCTTGAAGAAGATCCAAAACATATTTCCTTTGAGATAAAGAAATTCCACGACGGGATCTAGCAACCTCAATTCCAAGAAAATATCGAAGAGGACCTAAGTCCTTCACAACAAAGGACTTTTGAAGATGAAGTTTTGCCTGAGCAATCCCTGAAGCATCATCACCTGTGATAATGATATCATCCACATATCCCAATAACATAATGCAACGACCATTAGAGCGATGTCGAATAAAACAAGTATGGTCTGAGTGGCAGTGCACAAAGCCCATGGATAAAACAACATCGCTGAAACGACTAAACCAAGCTCTAGGAGATTGCTTCAGACCATAAAGAGACTTCCGTAGCCTACAGACTTTCCCAGCATACTCTCCCTCAGCCCGAAATCCAGGGGGTGGATCCATATATATAGTCTCAAGTAAGTCTCCATTAAGAAATGCATTCTTGACATCTAACTGATGCAGAGGCCAAGAATGGGCAGCAGACAAGGAGACAAGTAGTCGCACAGACGTCAACTTAGCCACAGGAGCAAAGGTAGCACTAAAGTCTTTGCCCGGAATCTGAGTAAAGCCTCTTGCCGCCAACCGAGCCTTATACCGATCAATAGAACCATCGGTTAAGTACTTCACATTAAAGACCCATTTGCAGCCAACTGTTTTCTCCCCAGAAGGTAAAGCAACAAGTTCCCATGTATTATTATGGTGTAAAGCATCCATTTCTGTTGTCATGGCAGACACCCAATTGGGATCCTGGAGGGCCTTTGACACAAATCGAGGAATAGAAACGGTCCTAATCTTGCCCAGGAAGGATTTATATGCACCTGAAAGACCATCATAGGAGACATACTGAGAAATAGGGTGTTTAGTGCTACTAGAAAAACCATACCAATTAGGAGGATGACGATCACGGGTAGGATAACGGGAGGTACGCTCAGGAATTATAGGAGCAAGAGGAGAAGGAGAGTTACCTGGACCTGGTTCTGAAGATGATTCTGGCAGGGGAGGTTGAGTGCGATGGCGACGAGAGTAGACCTGCAAAGGTGGAGGGGAACCCTGCATGGATGGAGAAGGAGATTCCAGGACAGTGTGATTTTCAAAGAGAGGAACAGGACGGGCAATAGGAGAAATCTCCTTCTCCAGATCACAAGAGAGAGAATACTGTACTACAGAATTAGTACTATAAAAAGGAACAGTTTCATGAAATGTCACATCAAGAAAATGATACATATGTTTGGTCACAGGATCATAACAACGATAGCTCTTTGACATAGCAGAATACCCCAAGAAAATACACCTAATAGATTTATCATCAAGTTTATGACGAGAAGGACTACGGTTATGAACAAAACAAGTATAGCCAAAAACACGAGGCAGAAGGTGAAACAATGTATAATCAGGCTGGAGAATCTAAAGTGGTGCCTTACCACCCAAAACTCGACTGGGAGTACGATTAATCATAAAAGCAGCTGTAAGAACAGCCATGTGCCAATAGAATTTAGGCACATGCATACCACTCAGAAGACATCGGACCACAGACATAAGATGACGGTTTTTGCGTTCAGCCACGCCATTTTGCTCAGGAGTATAGGGGCAAGTGAGTTGATGTAAAATCCCCTTTTTATTAAGTTCAGACCGGAACTCATTCGAAACATATTCTCGTCCATTATCAGAACGAATATTACGGACAACAGTGTTATACTGGGTTTTGATCATTTGAAGAAACTGGTTAAATAAAAGAAACACATCAGATTTCTTTTTCAATAAATAAACCCAAGTACAACGAGAATAATGTCACATAATATCGATGTCCAGAGAAAGCAGTAACTGGGGAAGGCCCCAGACATCAGAATGAATAAAATCAAACATACTAGGAGCACGACTCATATGAGAAACATAGCTAGTTCTAGTATGTTTAGAAATCTCACAAACTTCACATTGAAACTTATGGTCCTTACATGCTTTATTTAACGAAGGAAACAATAGACATAGATATTGAAAGTTTACATGCCCCAAACGTGCATGCCACAGACTATAAGTGCGAAAAGAAACATCATAAACACTAGAAGTAGGTAGGACAGAAGCTTGAAGACTCGTTCCTGGTGGTTCCCCAAAGTAGTAAAGCCCATCACGCTCATAACCCCTACCAAAAATCCTCTTCGAACAAAAGTCCTGCAACAAACAGTGATCTGGTAAGAATATAACTGCACATTGGAGGTTTTTTGCAAGCCGGCTAACAGATAAAAGGTTAAAGGCAAATTTAGGTACATGAAGGATAGATGAAAGAGTAATATCAGGAGACAGACAAACATCACCCTTACTGTGAATGTAAGATGTAGAGCCATCCGCAAGATACACAGATTGGGTAACAGGTATGACATTAGAAGAAAAAACTGATAACTCACCAGTCATGTGATCATTGGCCCCAGAATCCAGAACTCAAGTGGGCTGCTTGGCCTTAACATGAAATGCAGTAGGAGTACCTGTAGCAATAGTTGCAGTGGGAGCAGTTGAAGGAGCACCAACTCTAGAAGCAAGGGAGCCAAGCTGGTCCTGGATATGCCCAATTTGAGACTGAAGCTGGCTCAGTCCAGGAAATACAGTAGATGCACCAGTAGTAAGTGGAGTTTATGCAACAGCCGCAGTACGAGAAGAACCAGTTCCAGATAAATGGTTCCTAGAAAATTTTTGCTTCAGTTCAGGATGAAGTTTGAAATAACGAGCCTTAACATGTCCAACCCCTCCACAATGGTGACAAATAATCTGACCTCCAGAAGCTCGTGATCTAAAGTTGGCTGCAAAAGCCATACTATCCCCAGCAGGCTCAGACACTGGTACAGGAACAATTGAGGGCTGAATTAAACGGTGTCTGCGTGCTTCACCATCAATAGTAGCAAAGGCTTCCAACAGGGATGGCATTGGTGATTCATTCAATATCTGAGAATTTAGTGGTTCAAATTCTGGGCGTAATCCCATAAAAAACTGATAGGTATGCTGATGATCAAGACGTTTGACAAGAAGAGAGGCTACCTCAGAAGGAAATTCACTGAGAGGCTCATATTGAGCTAGTTCCTCCCAACGAGATCTCAAATACCCAAAATAATCAGTTACAGACAAATTCAGGTCTTCATGCGAGGCCTTAGCAATATTTTGATATAATTCAAAAATACGAGCATCATTCCTAGAATGAGCATACATTTGATTCAAAGCAGTCCACAAGTCATTAACAGTGTCATAAAACATGAATATATTATAAATGCGTTCCTCCATAGAATTAAACATCCATCCTAAAATGGTGCAATTGTCCATATCCCACTGAGCATATTTAGGATCTTTAATATCTGGCCTCTTTTCAGTACCCAAAATCCACCCTGATTTGCCTTTTCCACCAACATAGAGGCAGAGGGAACGAGCCTAGGATGCAAAATTACGGCCGTTAAACAACACACTAGTAACTCGTTGAGCCGGTGTGTGTTGCACCGAAAAGAGAGTTTCTTTATTATTACTTGATTCAGGCATAATATTAAATAGATCAATTCAACAGATTACCAATAATTTCAAATAAAGGAGGAATAAACCTGATTTTGATCAAACCAAGAAGCTGGAGACACGGCGGTCTGATCTGAAAATGCTGCCAAATATCCCGGCAGCCCCAAAAAATTACAAACACGTCTTCTGACCATTAGTGCATGAAAAGGACTAAGGGAAAACCCCTACAGGGGTCAAACCTAGAGGACATTGACTCCCCCTAGGATTGTCGCAACAGCAACCTGAAAAAGAGAGAAGGTCTGTGAAAAAAAAAAAAAATAGGGAAGGGGCTGTAACGAGATAGAGAGAGATATTAAAAGAAGCGGTGAAAGAGAGAGAGATGGGGGAGGCGTAGGTTTGAGGCTCTGATACCAAAAAGTAACTTGGTAAAATTGGCGTTCTCAATTTGAGAGCCTGACTATTATTATATACAAGCGGAAAATTACAAATATGGAAAAGAGAATGAAATCAAATCAAAATAAAGAGATTAAAATTAAATCAAATCAAATCAAATCAAAATAAAAATAAAATCCCTAAAAATTAGCCTATATTGAAGACCCAATAAATCTGCCATAATCGTTGAGTCAACTTATAGATAAGATTTCCAACATATATATATATATATATTCTAATGCCCTCTGGTAACATTATGTTCATTAATCATCTTCAAAGGATAAGTAGCATCAATAAATACTTTATTCTTTTTGATTTTGTCATATGTTTCTTCTGCTACTGCAGGGTCCTCTTGGTTGGCAATCACTTGCAGGTCTGACTACAGGAGAATCTTTTCTACTCAGGGACATCGATTTTTTTGTTAATGCTAATGAACATGCTGACATCACTGCCATGTCCTGGGAAGCTGCTATACAAAAACATGTTGAAGAGGAACTGTATTCTTCTTCAATTGAGGTAGTTACAGCTCTTTGCAGAAAACTTGATTCATGTTTATAATCATGCAACTTTTAATATTGCATTATTTTTGGTAAGTAAAATTGTATAAAAGCACTCAAAAGGGGAGCGCATCCCAAGAGAACTACACAATATTGCATTATTACCAGGCGAGAAGTTAAGGAGACCTCAGTTTTACTTAATTAAGTTTGGTTGGAGACTCCTAGTGTCTTAGTACATGATGGGAGGATTAGATTGGATAAAAAATCTGACCTTTCACATTAATTGTAAAAAATGGCTGCCACCTTACTGGGACCCCATTCTCTCGCTTCGTAGACCAAACCTCTAGCACTATTCCAAGTAATAATCTGTTTTCAAAGTTAGCATCAAAACTTATGTTATTCTTCCCAGTTTCCAAAAAAAACTGTTTGAAAATATTGTGCTGTTCAGAAGTGTTGGTGTTATTTAAGAGGTGCAAAACAGAAAGTTGATTATGTCTTCAATCATCTCCTTGCTTTCGTGGAATTCTCCTAACATTTCAGTGTCTGGTTTTATTTCTTTCTTGTCAGGAAACTGGACTTGGACTTGAGCACCACTTGCATCGTGGACGTGCATTGGCAGCTTTTAACCATCTCCTTGCTGTTAGAGTTCAAAAGCTGAAATTAGAAAATATCCACAGAGGACAAGCCGGCACTTCACTGCATGGGCAAACAAATGTGCAATTAGATGTGCAATCACTTCTTACACCTATAACACAAAGTGAAGAGTCTCTTCTTTCATCTGTATGGATCACTTTTCATTTTTATTTATACTTGATTGGGACTTGCTTAAGATGCACTGAATTGATAATGTTTCATTTATCTATTTATTGCCACTTTCGCAAGAGAACTTTTTGGTGAATTCTAAAAACAGAAATATGTTTTTGGCAGCTGCAGTTAAAAACTGATTTTGTTTCTCTTTGGCATTAGCTTTCACATTGTTATGTTTGTTTTTGTGTTAATGTGTGGGTTGATGGGTCGGAAAGAAAATTTTCAGATTGCGACATTTAGTGGTCTAGAAGAAAAAAGAGCATATTGGATTGTATGATCTGGTTATGATACTATTTTTTGGAGTAACAGTTGTCTTATTAGTGCTCTTTTGCATACATATGGTGTATGATTTGCTTTTGATCTTAACTGTAGATTCTGCTACCAGATCTGTTCAATGTACTTCTGCACAAAATATAACTCTGATCCACTGGTATCGAACACTGAAAATGTATCTGATTAGGGTGATAAACAGCAGTGCATGTTTGTCATAAACTATAGGGTAGTCAATGATAATATTAGCACAAATGAAACTAAACATAATGTTGAGACAATCAGTAAGGAATCATTTGGATTGACCACCGAGATTGGACCAGGACGAACCTACTTCAGCTTATGGTTACAGTGAGTTGGAATTTATTTGGATCCAGAACCATAATTCAAACCTACATTATATGGACCCTGGCAGTTGGATCTCCAGCCATTCCACCTCTGTGGCATGTTGTAGGTTAAGATGGTTGTGTGGTGACAGAAGTGGTGGTGAGGTGGAGCCACTATGCTGATGGGGGCAGCACTGCTGATGGTGGTGGGGTGCCAGTGGTGATTTTTGGTGTCAGCAACAGGTTATTTGGGGTGGAATGGTGAACATCATAGTGTGTCAGAAGCTGTCTCATTTGGTCCAAACCAATTTCAATGATTGATTATTGACTCTTGCTAATACCATGGCATGTGGCAAGCAACTAAGACATGTTTGTGACAAGGAAATGTAATAATTGGATTGAAATGCATATTCAAGAGGATTCATTTTGCTGACATTGCTCACAACAGGTTATAAATAGTAGTAAAGGGTTTGGACGTCACTTAGCGTAATACTAGCCTGATCAGTTAAAATGAAACAAGAAAAAAAAGGTTACCAGAGTCATGGGCATGATGGAAAGACTTGTACCATGCAAGTGACAAACTTATGACATCTGGTGAGGTGTTGGTGGAGGTGATGCTGGTGGGTGTGTTTTGTTGTAGTGGTCTTCCAAGACGAAAAGGCAGTAACTGTGATGTTGATGGTGCAACTCTTTCTTTCAAACAATGAAGCATGAGCTGTGTTTCACTTTTTGTCTTTTTCCTCTTTAGTTCACAGTAGAATCTTGTTTTTCTTGTTTTACATGGATAAGGAACAAAATCGACCTGCTATACAAGTTTTTAAGGTACATAGGATTCTGTCTAGTTTTCAAATTTGTATACTCCATACAATCTCAGGTCCCAAATCTATGAGTTTTTGTTCATCATATGGCTATGAATATTTGTTCAATGTATATAAACTTTTTCTTGTTACCTTAGGTAAGTTCAAGTAGTAAGTCCCCACATGTAGCATTTCCGACGTCGGCTATCCCGAGCTAGCCATCCATTGTTGTCAGCCTACCTTACCCCACAGGTGTCTTTGTATCATAAGATAATTTACCTGGACACTTCTCTGTTTATAATGTGATGGAGACAAATAAGTGAAGTTTCAGAGGAAATTTCTATTTTATGGTATGTTTTTTCTCTTCCTTTGTTGGACATGCATGCTGAGTACATTTCAAACAGCAGGTGGGTTGGGTACATGTCTTTTTCCCTTTACCATATTGCAAGAGTCCTTATACATAGCATGTGTTAAAAAAGTGCAACCAGAGGGCCCATATTTGAGTCTTGTGCATGTGTAGAGAGGTCTTGTTACTTATAACACATTATGACCTTAACATATTGATTTTATGTAAATAATTCTCTGATTTTGTGCCACTTCAATGTTCAGGTCATGCCACTTGCTGTTGCGCATTTTGAAGATTCTGTTTTGGTGGCTTCATGTGCTTTTCTGTTGGAGCTATGTGGTTTATCTGCTAGCATGCTCCGAGTAGACGTGGCTGCTTTAAGGCGAATATCTTCTTTTTACAAGTCCAGTGATTACACTGATCATTACAAGCAACTTTCACCTAAGGGTCCTTTTCATTCAATATTCCATGAGGGTGATATTGCACATTCTCTTGCTCGGGCATTGGCTGATGATTATGTGCACCATGATAATTCCAGCACCATTAAAAGAAAAGGAAATCTAAATACCATTACTAGTAAACAACCTTCCCAAACTCTCATGCTTGTCCTGCAGCATTTGGAAAAAGTGAGTCTTCCGCAGTTGGCTGAAGGGAAGACATGTGGTTCTTGGTTATTAAATGGCAATGGTGATGGACCTGAGTTACGGTGTCAGCAAAAAGCTGAAAGCCAGCACTGGAATTTAGTTACAGTTTTTTGTCAGATGCATCAGATTCCCTTGAGCATTAAATACCTTGCTGTATTAGCAAGGGATAATGACTGGGTATGTCTCTTTATTTTTTTAAGTTTTGGATCATGAATATTACGATTCTTTAACTCATCTCATGTATATGTATATTTATATAATTCTTTAAAGTTGCTTTATTTTCTGCTAGGTTGGGTTTTTATCAGAAGCTCAGGTTGGGGGATATTCTTTTGAGATAGTAATCCAAATAGTAAGTCTCATGCACCTTTTAACTTTTTTTTAGTAACTATTATAACTAGATTGTACTGCTGTTCTTATGAATAGAAAAATGACCTTTTATTTTCCAATTATATTTGTTTAATCGTATGTTTCAGGCATCAAAAGAGTTTAGTGATCCACGTCTAAAAGTTCACATATTAACAGTTTTGAAAGGACTGCAGTCAAGAAAGAAAGTTAACTCCTCATCAAGCCCAGATACTGCAGAAAAAAGAAGTGAATTATCCCTTTCAGATGAAAATACTTATATCCCTGTTGAACTCTTTGGAATTCTTGCGGAGTGTGAAAACCAGATAAATCCTGGACAGGCCCTTCTGTTGAAAGCGAAGGACTTGTGCTGGTCTATTTTGGCAATGATTGCATCATGTTTTGCAGATGTTTCTCCAATGTCCTGCCTAACAGTTTGGCTGGAAATAACTGCTGCAAGGTTGCCATCAGATTCTTCTTTGTTTATTTTACAATTTTTATGCTTCCCCAAATTTGGAAAACTTTGAGCTTTCATGCTACATTCATTTTCTTGAAGTTGAATTATAGTATTGACATTTTTTTACCTCTTGAGTTTTTAAAGGTTTGTCACTAGTACATTGTGTCCATAGACTTGGGGTTTAGATCTCATTGTAAGTTTTTTCTTTTCAGAGAGACTTCATCCATCAAGGTGAATGACATTGCTTCCCAGATTGCAAATAATGTTGGTGCAGCTGTGGAAGCTACAAATTCCCTTCCAACGGGTAGTAGAGCCCTTACATTTCATTACAACAGGAGAAATCCAAAACGTAGGCGGCTTATGGGACCATTGTCAATGGATTCTTTGACTTCCTCTGCGTCTGATGTTTCTTGTACTTCTGATAGTACTAAAGTATTTGCTGCCCAAGGCATTATTGCTGACGAGGAAAGGAAAAAACAAGTTGGTGAAGATCTTAAAGTTTCAAGTGATTCTGATGAAGTGCATATTTCTTTGTCGAGGATGGTTGCAGTGCTGTGTGAACAACACTTGTTTCTTCCTTTGCTAAGGGCTTTTGAAATGTTCCTTCCCTCATGTTCTCTTTTACCTTTTATTCGTGCTCTTCAGGTTTGTTGGCATAAAATATTACAACCAAGCCTTTCCTTTTTATGACTAAAATATTACTTTGATGACCTAGCATGTTATCCTTTTTCTTTTTCTTTTTCTTTGATAAATAGCATAGCATGACATTCATTGTTTGATCAGTTTCTTGTAGCTCATCAAGCAAACTAAATAAGCTCTCAAAACTGCTTGATTCTTCAAATTGGAGTCTTGGAGAGAACATTCTTCTTTTCAGAGTAGATTTTCCTTTAGGGATATAAAATTAATACCGTCGTCTTGCTGCAAGGAAACTTCGTCCAATCAGCAGCTCATTGATCCTTAGTTAACTATTTATTTTTTGAAGCAAGCTGTAGATTCCATTTCTACCAATTGCCAGTTTTCCATCTGGATGAACCACTTAGATTTTCCCGTAGCCTCCCAATTATTACCTGAGAGTGCATTATCTTAAACCAAAATTACCTAATACTTCATTATATTAGTAAATTGGGTTATGAATTGGTCATTATTTCTTGAACTTCTGCCTTTTTTTGTTTATACATTATTCAGTGATTATAAGATGCATTATTCATCAATTACTACCTTGTCATATTTCTTTCCTGACTTTTTTTTTTTTTTTTTTTTTTCAAATTTAAAGTGTCCTTTGCGTGTTTTTTTATTATTTCTCCATATGTACAATAGTACTTTCCTATTTTTGAAACAAATGTTCGACGGTCCTAGGATTGTCATGTTAAACAGTGTCTGATATGGACACAGCTCCAGGTCATAGGGCTTGAAAAGAAGTTAAAAAATGTTCTTTGGCAGCCTTTATTAAGTAAAAAGGAAGTCCATATAAAAATGTTTTTTGAAGTAAACTTATATAACAGTTACATAAGTTTTTACAGCTAAGTTGTTTTGAACCATATTTTGCAATTCATAGTGATTTGTAATTGATTATGTACATCACAGTATTTTTGTCTTCACTCAAAAATGAGTTTGGGACAACCGAGCTTAACATAAAAACAAAAGAAAAAAAAAAGAAAAGGAAGAAAAAGAGGGAGAGAGAGATGGAGATTTACATATAACTTAGTTGTGTTTACATTTTTGGTGACTTTCTTTGGCTTAATTCTGAATGTGAATTTTGAGAAGGAATATGTCATCACTCTTCAACTTCCAATTCTAATGCTTATTTTTTAATTTCCAGGCATTTTCGAAAATGCGCCTGTCTGAAGCTTCTGCACATCTGGGATCCTTTTCTGCAAGAATTAAGGAAGAATTTCCACATATCCAGACAAACGTAGGAAGAGAAGGGCAGATTGGAACTTCATGGATAAGTTCAACTGCTGTGAAAGCTGCTGATGCGATGCTTTCAACATGTCCATCACCTTATGAAAAAAGATGCTTATTACAACTTCTTGCTGCAACCGACTTTGGTGATGGGGGATCTGCTCCAACATATTATCGACAACTGTACTGGAAAATTAATTTAGCAGAGCCTTCATTACGCAACGATGAAGGTCTACAACTAGGAAATGAGACTTTAGATGATGCTTCACTTCTGACTGCTTTAGAAAAGAATGGGCACTGGGAACAAGCACGCAATTGGGCCAAGCAATTAGAGGCAAGTGGTGGGCCTTGGAAGTCTGCTGTACACCATGTTACTGAAACTCAGGTACTCAGTTTACCTTCTATGACCCAACCTGTTTCTGTGTCTCCTATATCATATTAGTGTTGTCAAATTTTACTGATTATGGTAATGTTAACATTAATGGTTATAATGCTCGTGTATCTTATGTTCACATAGTGGCTATTTTGTGATTGAAACTAGATATATGTATATTGAATCTTTTTCACATATATAAATCTCTGGTTTTTCTATAAATAATTACATAGTACTTATCTGCTGTGCTTTTGGTGTAGGAATTATGATTTGCTTTTCAAAGTCTGTAAAGAAATTGCTAATGAAGTATTTTCTTAGTCTTTACGTTTGGACAATGCTTCTGTATTTAACATCCTTTCATACTCTTGTTCCATGATATGGGACCCCTGCATTTTGTATGGACATCCAAGATAGATATTATAGATATTTTCATATTAGAGTTTTTGATTTTTCAATTTTTCATATCGTACTAATCCCATATTTATTTGCGATAACTTTAGATGAAATAACAAGAGATTTCCAAGGAGACATTAAATGGTGCATGTTGTTTGCCGATGACATAGTGTTATTGGATACTGTTAATGATAACTTGACAATAAAAATAGAAATGTGGAAAAATATATTAGAATCAAATGGATAGAAAATTAGTTGGTCCAAAACAGAATATATGGAATGTCAATTTAATAGAAAATTTATGATATTGATAACATAGTGATCATACTTTAAAACCAAAGAATTATCCAAAATAACCAATTTCGATATTTAGGATCAGCAATATAAAATTATGTAGGGTAAATATCAATATAAATAGTAGAATTGGATCAGGGAGGATATAATGGAGGCAGGCTAGTGGCGTTCTATGTGATTAAAGAATAAGAAAAAATTTAAAAGAAATTTTTTATAGAACAGTTATTTGGCTATATATTTTTTATGGACCAGATTGTTGGGTCTTAAAAAAGGAACAAGAACAATGCATTCATATAACGAAGTGAGGATGTCAAGATGGATGGTAAGGAAAAATTAGGAGTGGCGCTCATTAGTGACAAAATAAGAGAAAGTAGACTTAGTTGTTATGTATATATACAAAAGACCTATAGATGGGCCAATAAGAAGAGGACCTATAGATGGGCCAATAAGAAGAGGAAGGCTAGTTTGCATAGAAGGTAAGAGACAGAAAAGGCGAGCAAAACTAACATGGGATAAAGTTATTAGAAATGATTTTAAGAGGTTATATTATACCTTAATTATTTTACATTATTTTCCTTTATATGCTTCATCATCTCAAGGGATGCATTCAGTTCTAATTTGGCTTGGTCTCTAAAAGCCTCATTTCAGCCGCACTCATGTTTTGGAAATGGTGTTTCTTGATTTTCAAGCATTTTTTGACCATACAGAAGTAACAAAATAGGTTGTGGCATAGCCATAATGCTTGATTCTCTATAAGCAGTCTGCTTCATCCATCATGCTTTGATTTTTTTTTATTTATTTATTATTTTTATAAGTATCCATCATGCTTGGATTTTATGGAGAGCATCCTCTCTGATTTCCTTTTGAGTGGATAACCAAATCAATACAAATGGGAACGGTCACTTTAGGTATATTATCAGGTATTATACACTATATATCAATATAATATGCAGCTCTGAGTTATACAAAATTTTCTTAGTGTTTGAATCGACACTACACTCCGTATGCACTCTGCTTCAACCATCTTGCTTTGATTTTATTTAATGCTCTCTAATCTCATTTTGAGTGGATGATGGATTCAAGATACTGGGAATCTTAAGAAGGTATATCCTAGCCAACAATCTTCACTGATCACTTGCTTCTTTTCCTTTTTTGCTTGTAAATCCTTCATACCCTGGAGGGTTTTTTCATAGTCTAGTTAGATTTAACCCTTTATTCTAGTCTTGCCAGGGTCATCAGCATTATACACTAGATATCTATACAGTGTGTAACATGCACTTATATGGTTTTGCTCCCTAGAACTTCTATGTTATAATTTTCTAATGCTTTCTCTCTCTCTCTCTCTTCAGGCTGAGTCGATGGTGGCAGAGTGGAAGGAGTTTCTTTGGGATGTCTCAGAAGAGAGGGTTGCTTTATGGGGCCACTGCCAAACACTGTTTCTGAGATATTCCTTCCCTGCATTACAGGTATGTTCATTTCCGTACCTGCAACAATTACAACAGCTAAATAAAATCATATTTTCCTTCATTCTATAATTGACCTTGTTTACCTGCTGGAAATTCATCTGGCAACTTAATAGCTTATTTTTTGGTGTGTGCTGCCATCATTTGGCTTGTAGGCAGGATTATTTTTTCTTAAACATGCAGAAGCCGTGGAGAAAGATCTCCCAGCAAGAGAGCTCCACGAATTGTTGCTTCTTTCTCTACAATGGTTAAGTGGGATGATAACCCTGTCTAATCCGTAAGTATATCTTTTCCAAATTCGCAGTACTGCTTCACATCTTTGTATAAAAATTGTTCTCTGAACCTCTATAAAAAAAATCCGCAGAGTTTATCCATTGCATCTTCTGCGAGAAATCGAGACTAGAGTGTGGCTCCTAGCAGTGGAATCAGAAGCTCAGGTGAAGGGTGAAGGAGACTTCACTTTGACCAATTCCATCCGTGAACCTGGAACTGGAAAGAGCTCCAATATTATAGACCGGACGGCTAGCATTATAACAAAAATGGACAATCATATGAATTCAATGAGGATTAGAACTGCTGAGAGGAATGATGTGAGAGAAAATAACCAGACACATCACAGGATCCCACAGGTTGTCGATGCTAGCTTTTCAGCTACTGTCGTGGGGAGTGCAAAGACGAAACGGAGAGCCAAAGGCACTGTGTCTTCAAGACGGCCTTTAATTGACACAGTGGATAAAAGTGCTGATTTTGAAGATAGCTCTGGTCCTCTCAGTTTCAGGAATGACTTGCATTTGCAAGATGAAAACGGTAGAATGGAATCATCTTTTTCAAGGTGGGAGGAAAGGGTTGGGCCTGCAGAGCTAGAAAGGGCTGTTCTTTCTTTATTGGAGTTTGGCCAAATAACAGCTGCCAAACAACTCCAACATAAGCTGTCTGCTGCACACATACCGTCTGAATTTGTACTGGTAGATGCTGCTCTAAAACTTGCAGCTATCTCAACTCCTAGTAGTGAAGTATCCATATCACTGGTGGATGAGGAAGTACATTCAGTTGTTCAGTCGTACAATATACTGACTGACCACCATATGGTTAACCCACTGCAGGTTCTTATACAAAGCTCTTTCTTGTTTTTTCTTTACTTAAGTTCCTTTGATGAAGTAGTGATGGTTTAGAAATATTAAAATAAATAAATAACACTTGCAACAAACATCAATAAACTCATGTGCCATCATTTCTACAGTATCTTAAAACAAAATATTAGCATCATCAACATAAATTGTTGTTTGTAATCAGATTCCAAAGTTAAAATATATTCTATTGCCCTGTCTAGCCCGATTTGTGTTTTGTTCTCTGTTTTCGTTTCAGCTGATTATTTTTTTACCCTCGCGGATGCTCATAAAATTCTGGTATCAGTGTTTGAACTATTATATTAGTTTCTTGTGCAATTACAGGTATTGGAGAGCTTAACATCCATCTTTACCGAAGGTAGTGGGCGTGGACTATGTAAGAGAATAGTAGCAGTTGTAAAAGCTGCAAATGTGTTAGGTCTTTCATTCTTGGAGGCTTTTGATAAGCAACCAATTGAATTGCTACAACTGCTTTCTCTTAAAGCACAAGATTCGTTTGAGGAAGCAAATCTTCTAGTTCAAACTCATTCTATGCCAGCCGCCAGTATTGCTCAAATTCTTGCAGAATCCTTTTTAAAGGTTTGGTTTCTTTCTCAAGTTTATTTCACTAGCATGTTGATGCTTTCAAATTTAGTTTACCTAGAAATACAAATGAGGATGTAGTTAAAGATTGACAATTAAGAGGTACAGAAAAGTTGTTGATGCTTTCAACAATTCAACTCTTCTTCAAGACATTTGGCTTCTGCATTCGGATGGAAGATAGCTAGGTTTTACCTTGCACGAACAAGTGGCACCTGTTGCTTGTCTTGTCCAGACTGAAGCCAAATTCAGATTTTGAAGGAAAAAAAAAATGTTTAAATCCAGTCTTCCCACATGGTCAGAGAAATTTAAATAAAACCAGTCTTCCTACATTTGGCCGTGCTCTGTTAAGTTTTTATTTTTATTTTTTATTTTTGAAGACTTACTGTTAAGTTTGGTCAGAGAAATTTAGACAAATAATGTGATTTGAATTGGATGTAACAAAAGCTACATTTGTTTTGTCATATTGGAATCTGAACTATTCTGCATTCAAGAGAAAAATTAATTACATAACTCTGATGCACTCCAGGGTTTACTAGCTGCACATCGTGGGGGGTATATGGATTCACAGAAGGAGGAAGGACCTGCTCCTCTATTGTGGAGAATTTCAGATTTCTTGAAGTGGGCAGAGCTTTGTCCCTCTGAACCGGAAATTGGCCATGCATTGATGCGTTTAGTGATTACTGGACAAGAAATACCGCATGCCTGTGAGGTATTATTGTTGTTCTTGTTTCTGTTCTATGTGCTAAAACAATCAAATATTCTTAAACATAATAGACCATGTTGGAGTTTTTGGCTGGAAATTCAATTAAATGAATAAGTGAACATGATGCTTATTGTATCATTATCTATTTATGGTAAAGTGTGCTCATGCTTTACCACCTCCTTAGATATTGTTAAATAAATAGAAAATTAACCATTTAAATTGTTTCTTGTTACTTCATTTCATTTAAATGAGCTGATGCAGTGTTGGTGAAATATGATGGTTCAGGTTGAGCTTCTTATTCTGTCCCACCATTTCTACAAGTCATCAGCTTGTCTTGATGGAGTTGATGTTCTTGTGGCCCTTGCAGCAACCAGGGTAGAGGCTTATGTGTCTGAGGGTGATTTTCCATGTTTGGCTCGTCTAATAACTGGAGTTGGAAACTTCCATGCCCTTAATTTCATACTTGGAATTCTTATAGAAAACGGTCAGCTGGATCTTCTTCTCCAGAAGTATTCAGCTGCTGCTGATGCAAACACGAGCACTGCTGAGGCTGTAAGAGGATTCCGAATGGCTGTTCTCACATCACTGAAGCATTTCAACCCAAACGATCTCGATGCATTTGCTATGGTTCGTATATGCACCCATGATTCTCACCTACAATATTGAATAATTTTAAATGCCAGTTATAGAAAAAGCGTAGCAAGTAATTGGGAAAAGGCTTGGTCATTCCTGTTTAAGGTTTTTTTTTTTCTTCCCTAAATGTCATTCATGTCAAGTTCTGTAGAAGTACTAGGAATACTTGGCTGTATATACACGTTATGGGTGCTATGAGGAAAGCTTTGAAATCTGGTTACTTGGTTGACGTGGTGGCTAACAATTAGTTGGTCATTTTATCTGCTGTTCCTTCTGAAGGTTTTTAGTCTGTAAACCTTTTCCACGCATCAATTGATTTTGGTTCATCCAATTCATTTTTCAAGTGATTGGAGCTCAAAGACTGAAATTGTTTCTGCTGCATTTGTTCACATGAAAGTATAGAATGCAATATCCTTTTTTTTTTTTTTTGGTTAATTTGCCTAGATATGACATCTTATATATCTATATATAGGGGGGGGGGGGGGGGGGGGGGGGGGGTGTTTGAGAGAGAGAGAGAGACCATCAGACTACTGTATTGTTTCTTTTCTAAAGTTCTTTACAGCTTATCAACTTTACTTCTTTTACTGGTCTATAATCACATGCGTGTTTTCCTCTTTTTGCAGGTTTATAATCACTTTGACATGAAACATGAAACAGCTTCTCTTCTAGAGTCACGAGCTGAGCAATCATCTCAGCAGTGGTTCCTCCGTTATGACAAGGACCAGAATGAGGACCTCCTAGAATCCATGCGTTATTTCATTGAAGCTGCTGAAGTTCACTCCTCTATTGACGCTGGCAATAAAACACGTACCGCTTGTGCGCGTGCATCCCTTGTCTCCCTTCAAATTCGAATGCCAGATTTCCAGTGGCTCAATCTATCTGAAACAAATGCCCGGCGAGCCCTTGTTGAGCAGTCTCGTTTCCAGGAGGCACTTATTGTTGCAGAAGCCTATGGTCTTAACCAGCCAAGTGAGTGGGCCCTGGTACTTTGGAATCAGATGCTCAAACCAGAGCTTACTGAACAGTTTGTGGCTGAATTTGTGGCCGTGCTTTCTCTCCAATCTACGATGCTTGCTGATCTTGCAAGATTTTATAGAGCTGAGGTAGCAGCCAGAGGGGACCAGTCCCAGTTTTCAGTATGGTTAACAGGAGGAGGGCTGCCGGCAGAGTGGCAAAAGTATCTAGGGAGATCATTTAGATGTTTGTTGAAGAGAACTAGGGATTTGAGATTGCGGATGCAGCTGGGTGCGGTGGCCACTGGGTTTGCTGATGTAATTGATGCTTGCACGAAGGCATTGGATAAGGTTCCCGATAATGCTGGACCACTAGTGCTGAGGAAAGGGCATGGAGGGGCTTACCTCCCTCTGATGTAAAAAGAGGTTTGAATCATAAAAGTGTTGATTCTGACTGAATGCTGTTGATCATAACATCACAGGTGCTGATGACGATGATGAACACTCCTTAAGTTTCGCGAAAAAGTGGTGCCAGTATTTCATGTGAAAATCGGGGGCTGTTGTACATTAGGTAGTAAGTGTTCTTTACCAGCTTCAGTGGAAAAGTTGAAGCTGATACGATTTGATTTAGAGAATATAGGTAGGTTAGGTTACTGTAAAATTAGTCCTGTAAGAATCATGGTTTTTTTTTTTTTTTTCCCCACACCCCCCCCCCCCCCCCCCCCCCCCCCCGTGAGTTTTGTCCCATTGATTTGAGCGTATTGATTTAGTTTTTATGTTTTTTCATAAGAAATGTACATCATTCTTTTACAAGGAATACAATCTGTATAGCAAAACAGTTTGTGAGAGCCTGATTCTTTCCATCTATTTTGTTGTATTGTATTGTAACAGATTCCAAGTCCAAGCGCTCAGTAAATTTTTGTTATTACATTCTGGTCAATTTCATTTTGAAGTGTAGCGTACGGTTGGAAAATTTACCTCTATTAGGTATTCAATCTCTCTGTATGAGATGGCTATTGTGCAATTGAGAATTTTTCTTCCTTGTTTCTGTTTTTAATTTTAACATTGCATTTTGTTATTTATTGTCAGTCTTTAACCTCCATTAAGGTAACTCGCAAACATCAGCATTTTTTCTCTCTCGATTAGATTAAGTGATTAATACTACAATCTACAACTTTTAATAGCAAACATTAAACCTTATAATTTGAAAAATATACATATTTCATATAGGCTGTATTGAGTAATGAACGGTGGATATCATCTGTTGTAGACACTTTTACCCCCATTATCAACAAAATATAAATACTTCATTTAAGAATAGACAAGTGTAACGGGGTGGGGCGTTTACCCATTTATCCAAAAGTTCGAACTGCTAGGTAGCGCATTTATACTTATGTTATTTCTCATCCGGATCGATGTGAGACAAATACCCCTTGTAACATTCTTCCCCCACCCGAACTCACAACGCCCTCGTTGCGGTCAGGCTACCCTGACACCCCGGGGTGGCTCACCCGGACGCCTTGCGGGCGAACGCTTGGCGTGACACCGAATCAAGGATTGGGTCTGGCTCTGATACTAACTGTAACGAGTGGACGCTTGCCCATTTATCTAAAAGTTCGAATTGTTGAGTAATACTGTATATCCACCCATTTATACCCATGTCACTTTCCATCCGGATCCGATGTGGAACAAGTCCCCCTTGTAACAACAAAACACTTGCAAGATTAAGATTTAAGAGATAAATAAATAAATACATATGGTTTAAGTGCAATAAACACCACCACTATATACAAAATGTGCAAAAAAATCTCTACCCTTTTTTTTATTTTTTTGGTGCAAATTACCAAATAATCAGCCATTTTGACCAATTTTTTAATAAAAATCCAAAATGCCCTCCTAGTCCGGCAAAAGACATCGCCTGCAAACACCATTTATAGTGGTAAACTGCTAATTTATTTTTTCATAAAAAGTAGGAGAGTCTTTAGTCATTATTGAATAATGTATATTACATTATTGGTACAAATAAAACCCAGTCCCACATTTCTTACTGATAGCAGACTTTGAGCAGAACCAGCAACAGGAAGCTGAAGTAGATGTCATCCTTGGCTCTTCTCTTCTCGGATTATAAAAATCCATTCTTAAAAGACAAAGAATTGAATGAATGCGTCAGAAAAGAAACTTTCCCGGAGAGTAGAAGATTAAGGCACATTCCCTACTTGTTTCCTCTGAATGTCACAAAATACATTAACCTTAATGAAGAACCTAAAATCTTGCTTCCCTCAGAATTCTCATCCTAAAGAAACGGACCCTAAAAATGAAACTGCAAAAATATACAGGTACACACGTCCCATGGAATTCAGTTAACTATCAATCCTGCTTTGAGGAGTCTGAGTGTTGACGATGGTTGGGACGCCTCTCGGAAAGTAATCGCTTAGTACTCTCAAGAACACCAAAGAATATTGAACCTCCAATGCCTATCCATAGAACTCTGGGCCCAATGCCCTACAACGAACAACAAAATATGGAACTTGTAAATATCTTGCTTCAAAGATATGGAATGCTATGGTTCTCAAACTTGGTCAAATTTTCTTTTGAGTTTCAAAGTCTAATTAATATCTAACCATCCTCCCAGCATATATGAGTGAATACATGTATACACTACAAAAATTAGGTGCATGATTGGATTTTCAGATGAACTTATGTAGTCTGAAAAGGGTGATGTCCGGTCATATTTTAACCCAAAATCTACTATATACTTCATATAAAAGCATGAGGATAAAACACAGAGGTGCAGACTATCCCACCATATATATCAATAACTAGCTGTGTAAATGCACCCATTTTTTTCAAAAGTTCATGTCCTTCAATATTAAACTTTCCAGACTACTGTCATATTCTCCCTATCTAGTATTTGAATGTTTTCAACTTTATATAGGAACTACTTATTCTTCATATTTATATACATCCCTTCTGTAATTACACAAGGAGAGAAATTTAACCCAACTGAAGAAAGAAAAAGATGATGCAAGGGGAGGGATAGCTAACTCAATTTTCTATCTGCCAGGAATAAAAGAGAATGTGAGAAACTCATACCTTCAAGAGTGCAGGAGGACCTTCTTCCCTGATTATAGTCTGAACACAATCAAAGATCCCTTTGTACTGGTTTCCTGATCCCTGCAGAGAAGAAGGGAACAGTATAGGGTTTTGCCAGCTAGTGTAAACATGTAGTGCATGACCAACATTATTTTTTTCACACACAAAAATGACATTAGAAGAATAAAAAGCCCGATCAGCCAAACCTGAACCATTAACCTAGTCTTAATCACATCGAGGGGAGTCGTTATAGCTCCAGTTAGGGCACCTACAAAAATTAATATTAAACTAACGAAAAAGTTCATAAAAAGAGCAGAGCAAAATAGTTCTAAGCGTGCCGAAGATTCTTCCAAGTAAAGGTCAGTAACTCAGGTTGTATGTAGAACAATTCAGATCTTGAAGCACACTACATAGGAATAACTCAAGAAACAATTTTCTTCCAAGAATAAATCATAAAAACATGGCAAGACAAAAAGTAACAACAACAAACCTTTATGATTGTAATACAAAAGGAAAAGAGAGATTGAATAAATGGAATCAAACAGATATCTGTGCATTATGTGCTTTAATTTTCTATATTACACTTTGTTTCAAATATTGTTTTGTTTTCATATAAATTAGTAACTTCGAGAAGTGTCTAGTCTGTACAACTATTTGTCTATTTTTTTCTTTTCGCTTTCATGAATTTACATGGAATATAATAACATGGCCGTAATAGTTTAGAAATAATATACATGTATATAAATATGAAATTTGAAGAAAAGAAATGAAACTTATTGTCTAATAGTAGCATCTAATTAGATGCTTAGGTTTACTTTTCAAACAAAAAAAAAAAATAGATGCTTAGGTTTAAATGAAAAATATAAACCACATTACATGAATACATGTATTTGCTAGAAAGGAATAAAATTAGCAATATGAATAAAAACAGGTACATGAAGGGCAGCGGAGTGAGTAGGAATCAGAAACCCCATCAAATAAATCCCTTTTATAATGAAACAATCTATCAGTAATTCTAACAAAAAGATAAATAATGTTTTTTCTATTTTAGAATATCTATGTTGAAAGGGACCTCGAATAAGTTCAACACAAAACTCTCATTTCCTTGTGTAAATATGTTGTGTAAATTATAACAACCATTATCTATTGAAATGTAACTCAAAATAAATCATATACACCATTAAGAATCTATGTCCATTACAAGTGTCGTGGAACATCAATAATAAGCATTACTATCTACTTAACTTAAATAAGACAAAATTTAAGATAATGCATAATGGTAAAATCAAGGTCAATCATATGGACAAAATTGCAACTTTGAATTTTAAAATACATATATATAGGGAAAAATATAAATTTTAAGAGAAAAAAGCGACAAAACATTCTTGAACACTCAATGTGGAAATTGTAATTATATAAGACAGTAACCAAATGACGTGAGATCTCTTAAGAATTAAAATAAAAGCCAGAATTATATGGATAGAAAAGAACTTGCCAACTATCTAGGGATGCCTATACTTTCTACCAAGTGAATTAAAAAAAATTCATTGCAAATTGGTTTTAGTTGAAACCAAAAGAAGATACATCAAACATGCTACATTAAATGAAATCATATCAGTCAAAAAGTAGGGACCACCACTTGGTGCGATGGTAAAAGTTCATGCTAAAAAGTATGAGGATGCAAGTCCAAGTTCAAGAGCAGTCACTTTATGCAAAATAATGGCTAAATATCAACTGTCTCTAGTCCTCCCCTCTAGCATCCCATGTAGGCAGGACCAGTACTTGATGACGGACTTTTAGATCAATTAAAAGTCAAATGTTCTCTCGATGGTTAATTAGCTCAAAACATCATTTACAAAAGGAGCCACTATCAGAGGCACTCATCTCTTTGGCAATGGTAAGATCACACATTCCTGGTATAAACACAGCCATCATCTAACAAAGACTTGAATATCTGATTCATAGGAACCAACATTTAATGAAACATTTGTTTTTTCTTTTTGTTTATTTTTCTTTTGTTATAGATAAGAGTTTAAATCCTCATGCCTCCTAATAAAAAGATATCTGAGTAGTTTTTATGATTTATGTCAAAAAAGAGTTGATCTTCTTCTTGATGCTACGATGACGTCTTTCATAGCCTTTGTTCATTTTTGCTACAAGCAGTAGCATGTAGTGAGGGCATTTAGTAGATAGTACTATTGAGATTCTAAATATTTGCCTCTGAATTAAATCGTTAGGGAAGTCAGAAAGTCGAGGAAATGGGAAGTCAATAATAAACAATATGACAAGAGCAGAGAAGTTGTTACAAAAAACTAACACCAATATAAATGAAGAGCTTCTTTTATAGTGATGCAATGTGCCAGCCTCCGGTTATAACTAATAAAGGCTTTTACTTTAATAATACAATATGTGTATATATAATTTTGAGAGAGACTCTACACAGTTCTGCATGAAAAAGTTTAAAAACCCCTCAATTATATGTAAGTGGAAGCAGAATCCCTTAACTGTGACTTAAAATTTGTTCAACAAAATTCTAAAGGTCCCAATACCAAATGAGTGGAGGAAAAGTACTATAGTTGCAGTTTTTTTTTTTTTTTTTTTTTTTTTTTTTTTTATAAAAAAAAAGGATTTACTAAATTGGAGCAATTATCGATAAATTAAATTAATAAGTCACACAATACAACGGTGGAGAACGGTGATAGAACAAAGATTGAGGAAGGATCCACAATGTCTCATTACCAATTTAGATAAAGAAGATGATCCGCAGTAGATATCATTTACTTAATAACACAATATAGGAGCAAACAAAATCTGCATATGGTTTTGTAGACTTAGAAAAAGCATATGTTTAAGTACCAGGCGAAACAATTTAGTTGGCCTTACAAAGAAAATAAATCCCTATAATATTATAGAGATTATTCAAGATATGTATAGGAATACAAAGACTAGAGTTTGTTCTAAATGTGGAGAGATTAATGATTTTCTTATAAAAGTAGGCATTCACCAAGGATCAGTTTTAAGCCCATATATGTTTACAATAATATTAGATGAAATAACAAGAGACTTGCATGAAGACATCCATGGTGCATGTTGTTTGTCAATGACATAATGCTACTGGATACTTCTAACGAAAATGTAGAAATGAAATTAGGCATGCGACCTAGATTTGTAGCCCAGCATTATCTTCTCTACCTCCCAAAGTGGAAGGTTGAGGATTCAAATCCCCATAGGGGCAACTTATCCAAAAAAATAAAAATAAAAATAAAAAAAAAAAGAGAAAAAAAATTAGACATGTGGAAAAATGCATTAGAGTCAAAAGTATTAAAAATTCGTAGGACTAAAGCAGTATTTATGGAATGGAATTTAGTGAGTTCATAGTTTTGACAATATAACGAGAACAATTCTGAACTAAAAACATTACCCAAATTAACCATTTTCGATATTTAGGATAAAAAATACAAAAGGACTGAGAGATAGACGATGATATAATTAATAGATTGGATTAGGTTGGACTAAATTGAGAGAGGCCAGTGGTGTTTCATATAATAAAAGAATATCAAATAAGTCAAATGAAAACTTCTGTAGGATAGTTGTTTGGCCAGCTATCTTATATGGAGTGGTGAACATTAAAAAAGAATAAGAATAACATATCTATGTTGTTGAGATAAGAATACCAACTAAAAAGAAATGAGAATGTTAAGATGGATGGTAGGAGTGACTAGAAGAGATAAGGTTCCTAATCAATGTGAGATGGAGAAATTAGGAGTGGCACCTGTTGATGATAAAATAAAAGAAAGGAGACTCATGTGGTATAGACATAAAACAAAGATCTACAGATGCACCAATAAGAACAGTAAGATTAGTTTGCATAGAAGGTACAAGACACAAAGGCAGAACAAAAGTAAATGGGATGAAGCTATTATAAATTATTATAATTTTTAAAAAAATGAACATAATAGAAATAATGATTTGTAATAAAAAAATAATAATAAATACTAAATACTACATAAACAAAATCATGTGGCCAATCCTATTCATATGAGATTAAGGCAAGGACAACAATGATGATCTTAATTATAAGTTCACAACATAAGTAACGAAAACCACCCTCAAGTGTGAGCTATTTTACTATTCACTTGTAAATTTAAATAAAACTAAAATTGTTGTCTATCATCCAGATATCATGCAGGCCAACATTATATCATGTGCATTTTGTAACACGACTCAAAAATGGAAGTGCTAGGTTATGACTAGGTGCCGAATCCAAGTCTAACTTGAGAGGCTCATAACAGATGAAATACATTAACAGCTAAAGTAAATAAAAAGACCCTTCTTTAGTGAAAGGTAGCAGAAAGAAAAAAATAATAATAAAGAAATAAAAAGCCATTCATTCATATAAAGCTGAATGTGTAATTTTTTTTAAATATATTTAGAAAAGTTGCCATGATATGGCTTAAGCCTTAAGGAACTAAACATGTATGCATGGAGAGTGAGAGGAAAAAAAAAAAAACGAAAAAAAAAAAGAGGAGATGACAGGTGTTGAATTACCAGCAAAAGCACCGATAATAGCATTCTCGGGATCATTCAAATCTCTCTTTGCCTGGCAGAAGGGCAAAAGCAGACAAAAGTTATTATTTTTGTAAACGTCCACAGATAGAAGTGCAACTGCTTAGATGGTATTTTTAAAGTCCCATTACCAATTGATCTTCCGCTTCATCAACTCAACAAGTATTAATAATTTAATATGGACAACCACGAATTTTGTCAATGACCAATGTAGTTGCAATCATGCTAGGAGTTACAAAGCATAATGATTCCACTCAGGGAACTTTTCATGTTACGGCCACAAGCAAACAAGAGGAGGGACTGACCAGGCACTTCCCTCCAACCAGGAGAACCTTAAAATTGAGATGGGGGTGACTGCAACTTGCCCGCAGTTCAGTCAATAGTGTCATGTCAACAATAAGTAAATAAATTGAAATCCACAATTTAAAGGATGCAATTTAGTGTAAATAAATTGAAAGCCACAATTTTATAGATGCAATTTAGTGGATCAAGTTAGCAACAATTACATCTGAATTAATGCGTTTAGCCTTTGGACTATCTCGTCACTCCCCTTTTGAGCGCTTTTTTATAAAATTCTTACTTATCAAAAAAAAAAAAGCCTTTGGACCATCTCCTTTGAACATACATGATGAAAAGCATTTTTAAACAATAATTGCCATAACATTTGATTCTTATTTCTTAAGAAGACAAGGTGATCCAATTTCTTGATATATTTTATCTAACAAATGGGAGCCTTAAATTATATGTCTCAATAATTTTTCTTTATGATGATGTGGGATGGTCTATCCCAAAACTCAGCAAACTTTATGTGCCTAGCATGAACCCAAGTCAAACTCAAGAGGTTCATGTCCTTGGTTTGGTACATTAATGACGTCGTATTTTGAAATTTTAGGGCAACCTTCACGTGGTGATGTACTTAGAGAACAAAGAACTCCCCTAACAACAACTTACATATCTTCTTGTCTAATTGTTCAAGTTATTCAACAATAAATCATGATGCCTAAACCATTTTCCATGTGACACATTTGTCCTTGCTTTATTGAAAAGTACCTAAAATGGTCAATTACAAAAACCCTATCATTGTCTCACACAATTTGGCCCCAACAGCAGGTACTACGAACTTGCTTTATGAAAGGCGCATAGGATGTAGATCATGGCTAGTAACTTTTGCATTAAGACAGATTAATTGACTATTTGTGTTTATATAGGATGTCTAAGTCACATCATGATATACTTGAGATATTCATTGTTTTTAAATGATTTGGTTAAAATTTCCATTTTACATGACAAGTTTAGGAACTATTTGTACAAATATTCAGGGAAGTTCAGAAAATAGGGAATAAAGCAAAGAAAAAAGGAACTGTACAAACTTAACCACTTCGATTATTTGGGGTCCATTGGGCCATGCCTTATTCCTCTAGAGGGTTGATTGAGGCTTGGAGAGGCGTCTCTGTTGGGGCTGGCATTAAGGACGCTTGGAGGGCTACGCCGCTTGGTATCTGGTGGTGTATTTGGCTTGAGAGAAATAGGAGATATTTTGACAAAAAAAAAGAAGCCTGTTTCTATGCTTAAGTTCTCTACTATTTCTACTCTTTTTTGTTGGGTTTCAAGGAGAGATTATAGATCTATGGAGGAAATTATTGTTTTCTTGGCCTCTCTGAAGGTCTAAGGCGCCCCTTGGCCCTTTTGTTTCTTTGGGCTTCGCTCCCCTTTTGAGCGTTTTTAATAAAATCTTACTTATCAAAAAAATAAATAAATAAATAACTCCCACTACAAAAAAAAAAAAAAAAAAAAAGAAGAAGAAGAAGAAGAAGGAATTTGCTGTCTAATACCCCCAGGCAGTATGCACAGCCACTGGTCACAGTGGTAACTTAGGTTTACTTCGGAAAATCCCTTCCCCAAGAATCACAAACGTGCAGCCACAATACCCATGATGACCAAAACATGTATCCCATCCATGAGTGCACCATGCTAATATAAATTTCAATTGAAGTAGAGAAGTTTTAAAAAATAATAAAGAAATGAAAAGCCTTACCGCTAGCTTATAACCTATTCGAAGCTGCTCATATAAGCAGAATTGGATTGCATCAAATGGCAAATCTCGCAGTAAAAAAGATCCATATCCCTGCAATATTAAAATTAAGGTCAATGCATGTGCAAAAAAAAAAGAAGGTAAAAATCAATAACTAATGGCACGTGCAGGTTACATGAAATATCCACATAAAACACTAAATCTGCAAACTCACTGACCAATTCTCTAATCAACCAAAAAATAAAAATGAAAAATATTAATGTTCTGCAAGAGAGAAGAAAATCGCTAACATAAATGGTTATGGAACTTAAATAGCACCCAAGAGATGATGAACAGAAAACTTTCATACCGCATAGAGACCCTTGAAACCTTCCCTAGAAACAATAAGTCGGACAGCATCAGGAGCTGAAGCAAATTGCCTGGTCTGCATCCTTTGTTTGACAACCTGCAGAGTGTCAAATAAAAAAAGACGGAAAAACTTGTATGTGTAATTATACATATATAAAAGACATGAAAAGGCCTAATGAAGAAATTTGATAACATGATAATGCGCAAGTGAACTTATGTACCTCTGTTGGAACACGGATGAGAGAAGCAGCTAGCCCTCCAATGGCACCTGCTGTCTGAATAAAATATGAAACCCATTTGAAGAAACAAGAAAAGGCTATCCAATATTTGAAATAATTTTTTTATTCTCACATGTGTACCCAATAATTCTTGGATATTCTGAGACACATGTCAGGCATGCCTTTAACGTTGAAGTGTGGCCTTTCTAGTTGTGTAATTGCAAGACAGAGCAGTAAGGGTTACATGGACTGTAGTTTACAGAATATTAAGTGAGATATGAGAACAACTCCAGTTTTCTCAGAAGTTCCTTATGCTATTTAATTATAAACTTAAAATTTTCAATAAAATTCACTAAAAAGACTGTTCATTACTTATTTGTTTATTTTCCTAACCCCACAAAAAAAAAAAAAAAAAAAAAAAAAAAAAAATTGTTTATTTAGCTTATTTATAGTCGCTCACCTATCTTATCCTATTTTCTCAGAGTTTATCATATCAACATGTCTGTATCATGACATCTCCACACCCATATCTATGTTCCTGCTACTGTGTGAGACCACACAAATTATGCAACCAAATTCCATATTCAAGCAACCAAATTATGCTACTGGACATGTAACAAGGTGCTTTCAAGAATACATCGGTGGCTGATAAGAATGCAGGAGTTATATTGTTATAGACAGTAGAATGGAGGCTATATGACAGATAAATTTCTTACCCAGAAGAAACTATTATATGCGTCATCAAAGAAGGAATGTGCCTTGGATGTTTTGAAGGCAATCATCATGTTAGTACATATTTTCTAATTTATGATTTTTTTTTTTTTTTTTTTTTTTTTTTTTTTTTTTTTTTTTTTTTTTTTGTGTTGTGGGGGGGAAGGGTAAAGTCTAAAGGGTGGGGGAAAGCAAAAGTAAATAAAAAAGACCCTATTATGCAAACTGCTCAAGTGCAATGGCTTTGAACATTCTAATAAACTAATCAACCAATTGAACAATATGATTCAGATCGGCGATTCGTATTGTCCAATTGTAAGGCGAGCAGTATGAAAAAAGAACCTATTATGCGAACTGCTCAAGTGCAAGGTAAACAGTATGATCCATATCGGCAATCTAAGTTGTGCCAAATTTAATAAATTCATATCATGGAAGGAGAGATAGAAGAAAAGCATACCAGATGAGCCACAGCACTAAGATTTTCAGGAAAAATCCTTAACAATTTCTGCTTTGTAGGCTCATAAACACCAACAAACATGGCAGAAGCCCTGTAGATAAAAAAATCATCGTCAAAAACATCACTATTCTATATTCCCTATCTTTGCCACACTATAGCTTGAGAAAATAATGTTGAAGAATTCAAACATTAAAGTTACACCCTCTATAACAGCTTAAGCTTTTAGAGTAGATGGTGGTTAACTGGTAAAAATTCGTGGTAAGGGCATAACATTACTAGATAGAAAAGTGAACTCGAAAAAAGAAAAAGAAAAAGAAAGAAAGGTGAACTTGAAAAGGTTTAAAACCATTCATCTTTCAGAAGAACTTTAACTTAACAGTTAAACCCAAAAAAAGAAAAAACGAAGGAGGAGAAGAAGGAGAATTCAATAATACTTAGAATGGAGGTTTGCTTATCACTGAAGCCATACCAAATCAGACTTAACGATTGAACTTCATTTTATTCCATTCTTTTATTTATTTGTTTGTTTTCAAGTTTACTGTAAACATAGAAAAACTGGTAAGAACTAATCTTGACACCCACAGATTCTTCATTCTTTGATTATAAATATTTGATTAAGCAACAAATCTTGACAAAATCAACAATTAATTTTTTTTTTTATTTGATAAGTAACAAAATCAACAATTATTTAGAATCAGATTAAAGCAATGAAGTCTATTCCTTCCATGTAGGTAACATTTGAGAACTGAAACCAAAGAAACCCAACATACCACCATCACTAAAATTATTTCACTCTTTCTAAAAAGACTGACAGTTCTGAAACAGAATTGACAAGAAATTGCTGTATCTCACATCATACTGAGTTCAGAAGCACTGCATAGGGGTGAACAGAGGGACTATTGCCATCAAAATAACCCAAACACTGACAAGAGGTGAATGCAAAATCTAGATTCCTGACCACCCCCACCCCCACCCACCTCCCAACAATATGAAAAAAAAAAAAAAAAAAAAAAAAAAAAAAAAAAAAAACACTCTTATGAAGAGACAGAAAATCACATAAGTATTTCTTTTACATTCTGCAATGTGCAGACTACAATGCAAAGAACCATCCCGCTGTATAATTTTTTAAAAGTAAACTAATCTCTTCATGAAACTAGCAAGGGTCGATATGTGCATCAAGCACGTCAAGCTTGTGATCTTGATTCCTGAAAGCCTTTCTATTAAGACTGATTGAATGTTGAAGGTCCATGATCCTGTTGATTTAAAACAACTTCTTTATAGAATCCATAATACTCTGGTTAGACCAAATGCTAATAATCAAGCCTTCCCTTTAGAGATGAAGAGACGGTTCAAATTGTACTTACGGTAGGACACCAGCAAGATTTCCAGCCAATCCAGAATAAAGCCCCTTCAGAACTATCTTTCCTCCACCGTGAGCTGCCTATTATAACAATTCGGGGTAAAAAACTTCATGTCTCACACAATTTTTATAGAAAATAAGAAGATGCAAATTTCTGGAATACATATATAGAGACGTACAACAAACATCCTCTTAGGAGTTCTTTAACCATTTTACTGCTAATAATCTAATAGCATAAGAAATAGTCATGACAAGATACAATCATTTTCTGCCTAAGTTTTTTATAAAAATAAAATAAATAAAAATAAAAATAAAAAAGAGTCAAAAATTAAAAAGAAAAAAGGAAAGAAGAGATTAACGGTCAATATATATATATATATATATATTTAAAGATACCTATGATAAAAACTAAATTTGACCGGTGCATCTCACATCCTTGACCAAGTATTAAAGATGCAGTCTAATCAAGAGAATAGAGGCACACATCAAATTAATCCATGGTATACATCCAATTAAGTTGAAGAATCAGATTCTATTATTGGATAAAATATAGTTCAGTTGAGGAGAAGAACATTATGTACTAATTGTCTGGTCAAATCACTGGTAATGCAGCTCAGAAAAATTTGGTAGAAAAAGTGTGTAGGTGGAAATGATAGTAATAGTCTGCTAACTCACAAGTACAGCTAAGACTCAACATTTAAACAACAAGATTTCACTAGTAAATCACATTATTAAGAAAACTTTTATCTTCAATTTCAAATCAATATAAATATTTATCCATAAGGTTGACCTGCCTGGAGTCTCGTCTTTATTGTATCAATTGGGTACAAAGCTGTTTCAACAACAACACCAGCGGTGCCCCCAGCTATAACACCCTCTGCAAAATTCACCAGGACAGTTAGAAAAAGTGGATTTTTTTGTCAAGTTTTCTCATCACAAAAGAGCCGATACATGGGATTTTCAGAAGCAAAGTATTGCCTATTCCAAGACAATATTTTCATATGTTAAGTCTACAATCGATACGCTCTAATACCAGCTATTAGATTGATATAGGTACTGTTACCCAAGCCTCCAATATGTCATAGTGAGTACATTCAATTAGACCTAGAGGAGGGGTGAATAGAAATTATGTATATTAATTTGCAACTAAGTTTTTAAATTACGTTTAACCCTTGTTTAAAATTTCATTAATTAATTGATTACGTTTCTCGATTACAATCATATGAACATATAAATAATAAATAAAATAAAGCAAAGAGACAACATTTTTTACAAGGAAACCCTAAACAGAGAAAAAACACGAGATCTAGTCCAGGAAGATCAAAATCCATTACATGAGAAAGAGGTTACAGACTAAGTTACTACACTCTAACCCAATAACCACGTAGTCCCTGCCAACTCAGACTTGCACAAGATCTCCACAAATCATCTCACCATTGTTTCATCCACAGACTCACTCCTCGCGCAATCTGCTCCCCCATGGACCTCAAATCTCCACGACTAGTGACGCCCAATCATCTTGTCCTTTGCAAACCACTCATTTGATGGTCTGCTGAATAGTTTTAATATTAAACCTTGCTTTGATTCTCTCAATCACATAAACTCTGCTAATTTAATGAACCGTAGATTGATTCTCAAAGTTTTCTCTCTATAAAAATTCAGTTCTCTCAATAATATGTAAAGAGCTGAAAGCTCCTGTGACAAATCCCCTAAGCTGACTATTATAGCCAATATAAGAGATTCGTGTAGTATGGGAAGTAAAATCCTTTTAGGATTCTGATTTGACAGAGTTTCTATAATCCCCTAAGCTGACTACCTCTGGGTGCTCCTTCGAGATGTGTAGGAATTTGGGACCCAGTGGTGGACAGATTTGAAAGAAGGCTAGCGGGTTGGAAGAAGCAGTATCTTTCCAAGGGCGGCAGGGTCACTCTGATTAAGAGCACCCTCTCTTGCCTCCCCACTTACTTTATCTCTCTTTTTCAAATTCCCTCTTCAGTTGCGGAGAGGATTGAGAGATTGCAGCGTAATTTTCTTTGGGGAGGTAGAGCTGATGAGTTTAAGTTCCATTTGGTGCGATGGGATCAGGTTTGCAGGCCTATTCGAAATGGTGGTTTGGGTCTCCGTAGATTGGTGCCATTTAATAAGGCCCTTCTCGGGAAATGGTTGTGGAGATTTGGTGTGGAGAGACATTGGCTTTGGAGAAGGGTTGTGGCGTGTCGTTTTGGGGAATTGAGAGGAGGGTGGAGTTCCTTGGAAGTGCGGGATCCTCGGGGGGTAGGGGTCTGGAAAGTGATTCGGAAGGGTTGGGATGAATTCTCTAAACACATTCGATTTCGTCTTAGAGATGGGAGGAGGATTTGCTTCTGGGAGGATGTGTGGTGTGGAGATGTTCCTCTCGCTCTCGCTTTTCCTCAGCTCTACAGGATTGCTTCGAATAGGCAGGCCATGGTGGTCAACTGTTATCATCTTGATAATGGGAGACTGGTTTGGGATGTTCAATTCAGGCGTCACTTTCAGGATTGGGAGATCGAGGAGGTCAATCGCTTCTTGGAGCTGCTTTATCGCCAAAGGATTGTGGAGGAGGATTCGGACTGTTGGTCTTGGGTAGCAAACTCTCATGGGCGTTTTGAGGTGAGGTCCTTCTTCAAGTGTCTCTCATTTGATCCTGATGTTCGTTTTCCTTGGAAGTCTGTTTGGCGCTCCAAGGCTCCTCTCAAGGTGGCTTTCTTTGTGTGGTCTTCGGTTTTGGGAAAGATCCTAACCCAGGATAATTTGCGAAGGAGAAGCCAAGTGGTGATCAATCGTTGTTTTATGTGCCTTCGTAATGAGGAATCAGTGGATCACCTTCTCATTCATTGCTATGTGGCTAGAGAGTGTTGGGATTTGATGCTTGGCTTATTTGGGCTTTTTTGGGTTATGCCTAGATCTACAAGAGGGTTGATTGAGGCTTGGAGAGGTTGCCCTGTGGGGACTCACAGTCAGGATGCGTGGAGGGCTACGCTGCTTTGTGTATGGTGGTGCATTTGGCTTGAAAGGAATAGGAGATATTTTGAAGGAAAGGCGATGTCGATTTCGGTGCTTAAATTCTCGATTATTTCCACTCTTTTTTGTTGGGTTTTAGGGAGAGATCATAGATCTCTGGAGGAAATTGTTGATTTTTTGGCCTCTTTGAAGGATTGAGTGGCTTTTTGTATCGTTCTTGGGTTCCGCTCCCCCTTGGAGTGTTTTTTTATAAAAATTTTTATTTATCAAAAAAAAAAAAGGATCGATCAACACCCATTGGACAACCTTCAATGGATCAACCTTTCAATTGAATCTAGATTTCAAAAATATTTTTCTACAAATATCTCGATTGATAGTCTCTAGATCTTGTATGATGATCGGTGTGCTCTGTTTTTCAGTAAAAACATAGTTTTAAAAATTTGTTGAAAATACTTTACTTTTGAAAAGTCACTACAAAAACATATTTAAAATAAAATTTTGATCCTTATCAATATCAATCTAGGTCATTTAAAGTCTTTTTAAAGTCAATTTACCTGTGCCCTGCATAAGTGATTGAGGCTGTGAATTTATAGTGTTCAATGCAAATCTCTGTCCGAATTGTCTTCAATGGTAACCATATGATTCAAGACAGATTGACACAATACAACTAGAGTTTTGAATAGAAAATTACCAACACATGACCCATATCCCGAACAACATATTTTAGCATCACATATGCAATTTATCTAAATTTTAGCAGACATGAAAACATGAAATTGTGATAATTAAATACTCATTTTCTAGGCTGATGGCTCCCTTTTAAGACCCAGCCACCATGCCCCTCAAAGAACTTTAAAAGGTTACCTAGCAAGGTTCCTAACCACATGAACATAGATATATGCATAGATAATGCTGGAGAAAAGATAAACTTTTATTGTTGCATTGCCATATATCAGTTCTTTAAATGTTCAAGCAACAGAATGAGACATCATTTTATTTATATTATTATTATTTTTGTAGGTAAGGCAAACACACACCCGCTATTTTTCCCATTCAGGACTCAGCCCTCAACCTTCCATTTGGAAAGAAGAGAAGATACCACTTAGTTAAGCCCTTGGAGTTGGAGACATCATTTTATATTTGATAATTGGTTCTCTTTTCATGCTTTGGACTGAAAGGATATAATTTTTTAAAAATCAGCTCTCCTTTTCATTCATGTGAATTTTCATACATTAATGTCTTTGTTGATGCAAGGATATCACTCATTAACGAAGAAACGAATCAATATACAATTGTTTCATCCCCATGTTGGAAAAGAGATCTGAAATCAATTTGGTCAACTATTCTTGTGGTTTGATGTCAATTATGTACACAGTATTATAAGATTCAACTTTTCATAAACAAAAATATCCACCAATAATAAAACTTCCTCCTGTAAAATACTCTTCCCTTACAACTCCTTTTTTGCCATTGCTTGGTACAAAAGCTTGGAGGTTAGATTTGCCTCAGCCAACCATCCCAGCATCCAGGTGATTGTCGGACCAACAACAGGTAATGATCTTCTTTTAAAATTTTAAATTTTAAAACAGTCATGAAGTTTGACCTAGAAATCATGCTCAATCAAGCAGTATGATATTCAATATACATTAATTGTTCCAATTCGAAAATAATCATAGTAATAATTGATCATACCAAATAAAATACGTAAGAAATCAAATGGCTTTTCTTCTCTTGTGCTGACAGATGCAAAAAACTTTTTTGATTCCAGATGCAGGTTTCCTGTTTTCCTATTGGATGCATCTGCAAAACCAGATCACCTGCTCAACCAAGAAGCAACAAAATACAGCACAAAATTACTGAGGTAAACTTGAAACAACATCAACGAATGACTCATGCCAAAAGGAGATTTACAAAGGTTCTCCTTTTATTCAAATCCGAGATCATTTCTCATGGAAAGATGCATAAGTTGAATTGTATGTTTTTTTTTTTTTTTGGAGAAACAGTCAATGTATATTTTATACCCTCTTACTCTATAGAAGCCCCAACTCAAACAGTCAAACTGATCATACCGTCTATTTTTATGAAAAATATATTTGTTATAGCTACGTCAAATGCATTTGCAAATCCTAATAAGGTTTCTCAAATCTCATTTTGCTCTCCAAAAGCATATCCTTCATAAACTCATGTGTATCCTATCCGATTAACGCCTACACGTCTATTAAAATCCTCTCCCGTGAACATGCTTTCATGATTAGGTATAAATTGCATTATTTCATCTACTGAATCCCAATAGAGTTTTTTGGTAGCTTTATCTAATGCTCCTTAAGGAGTGTGTGCACTAATTATATTTGAAATACTCGTATCTGAAATAATTTTAATAACTATTAGTCTGTCCTCTTGTCTTCTTACTTCTCACTTTATCTCTCATGCAATGATCTACAACTATGTCTATTCCATTCTTTTGGTTATCCTTACCGGATAAAAAAGTCTGTACACTTCCCTGATCTCCCTAGCATTTTCACCTTTTCATTTTGTTTCTTGTAAGCAATTTTTTATTTTTTTTTCTTTTGTTTGATAAGTAAGATTTCATTAAAGGCGCTCAAAAGGGGAGAACTCTCAAGAATGTACACAAAATGCCGACAGCGGCCAACTATAATTCCAAGCTATCAACAAAATCCCCCACAGATTTACAATTTCGCCCATTTACCCAAAAGAATAGAGAACTCGGTAATATATTTACTTTTCTCCTTTTTAATGTGTCTGTACTCCATCCCAAGTATATTATACCTACCCTTTAACGTACCTATGTTCCATGTTCCTATCTTAATTTTTTTTTCTTTATTATTTTGATGTTTTTTATTTTAATGGGAATTCATCAAAACTTCTATCGGTCCAAGGATGAGATGCTAAAAACTTTTATGAAATGTGGACGTAAAATACCTCACAGCATCCAGGTCAGTTTTTGTACATCAATGAACTGAAAACGTCAAATGTATCACATATTGAAATTTATTCTTTTGAGACCCAGAAATATAACTAAGAAAAACGAACAACTAAGCGTTCTTAATATATAACATATGCTTGTGCATGGGGACACATACATAAACATGTATAATTATACTACGATGCTATTTCTGCATATCTAAATCACATCAACATTTTTACCCTACATAAGACAATTTAAAATTTAAATTACAACGAAACCACGCAGCCAGATTTGACCCATTTGCACAAATTAGGTTATCATTTAAAATAAATTCACAATCGCATAACTCCACAAATAACAAAACACTCAGAGTGTCCCCAAAAAATTATTATAAAAAAAATAATAAAAAAAACTCTGAAAATCAAATTGAGACGGACTAAGATTAGTGAATTACCTGAAAACGTTATTGAAGTGCTTTTCGCATTGACTGCCAGTGTCAAAGGACCCATCTAGGTCTACACAATTAATTGAAATTATTAGTAAATCAATCAGCAACCATTTCAAGGATTTTAAACGAAAAGAATAAACATTAAACCACATAGCATATGTGTTTATATAGAGAGAGAGATTGTACTAGTGAGCAGTGCTGTACTGTAATGCAATGCGAGTTTCTTTGGAATTGTAGGTGAGGGAAGAGATAGAGGGCGTTTACTTGGTAGAGTTTTATAATTTGGAAAATTACTGTTGAGCCCAACTCGACTAAAGCCGAATGCTGCATGAGTGGGTCCCACATAAATGAGGGAGCCAGAGCCAGAGCCGAGCTCTAGGCTGCTCGAGCTCGCCTTGCCTAAGTCAGAGTGCTACTCAGGCTCGATCGAGCTTAGACTAGCAAGGTTCGAGCTCGGCCGGTAAATTTTTGTAGTGTGTTTATTGTATACACACTTATCTATCAAATGGATGGAGGAGAACCATTTTGAATTAGAAAAATGTCACTATCAATTCACATGTTAAACACTTATCTTCTCCGTTCTTCAAACCTAACCTGATGTCGCCTTAGAAGTAGAAGACAGACGCCTGAGGAGTAGAAGGATGTTGTACTGACTGGATTTCCATTGCCGCCAATTAGATTGGAGAAGCCGTTGCAACATCTTGCGGCTACTTTTAGGGTTTCTTTATTATCAATTGGCTGAGACGAATCTATGATTCGTTAGTGGGCTACTTAATTAGTTAATGGGCTAATGAAAATATTCTTGTTATTTGGGGCTGGAATTATATATATGAGCTAATTTTAAAATATAATATTTTATATTATAAATATATATTTATGTAAACGAGCCTGCTCACAAACTCACAGACTGAGCTTAACATTGTTTAAGCTCAGCTTGTTTACTAAACGAGTCTAAAAATTGAGCTCGAGTTCGACTCGTTTACTAAACAAACAAGTCCGAACCGAACTTTTAACGAGTCGAGCTCGATCTATTCATGGACGGTTCGGTTCATTTGCAGCCCTACTTGTGATGGGAAAATAAGGAGCTAATAAATACTGCATGTAAAATCAATACGTAGTAGTCCGACAAGTTATCAGGGTTGCAGGGACACTCGAAAGTGGGGTGGGGTAGGTGGGGGTTGTTTCGGAGATTAAGTATTACTAGTGCACCGTGCATCGAATTAATCAAAGTCGTAGGCGCATAATACGCGCCAACTTGTGCATATCATGCACAGGTCTGATTCGTTCAGTACATGATATCCAACATACTAAATATTTTTTGAGTTTGAGAGCGTGACAAGAACCCAAATATTGCCCTAATACAAGAGTATTTATTAATTTTAAATTCTCTATATTCATTCATTTATGTAATCTTATATTGTAAAATATGAGATTGTTAATTTTTGCAACAGCTTGGTCCAATTCAGTTTAAAAGCAAGATTTTTTTATAATTTTAAGAGTTTTTTTTTTTTGTGCCGGCCTGTCTAACTCTTGTGAGTGGGTCAGTCCAGGCCAGTCTGTCCAAAAAGTTGTTTTCATACAGTATATATATATATATATATATCTTGTAGCCATCATAGGTATGTGTATATACTGCGTATAAGCTTAGTACAGTTAAAGCAATTGGCTTACTAAATGCAAATAGTATCGTTGGATTTTATTATTATTATTTATTTATTGTTTGTCCTGTCTTTCAATATGTATGTTTGTATATGGTAGAATATTATTTTTGCATATGTAAATGTGTTCATACTAACTTGTTACAGTTAAAGCAATTAGCTTACTAAAAGCTGATATTAAAGAATAAAGTTCGGTAAATGAAAATCGTTGTATCTTATTTCAGTATGCTTGGCTTCAGTTTTTTTTTTTTTAATTGAATTTTTTTTTTTTTTTTTTTTACTTTGAAACGAGTTTGTTTTATATTATAATCAATGAATTTTCCCCCCTTTTTTAATAAGTTTTAAATCATTCATGTTTTTCTTAATTTTTTGTAAAAGGTTTTGACTAATCATGTGCTTTTTGTAATTAATAGTTGATAAGTTGTCAAATTCGAACATTGAATCACTCCCTATTATTAGGGTTGTAATTCGGGCGAGTCTAATCCGAAAAAACCCAAGCCCAGCCCGAAATTTTGTGGGCTTGGACAATGTTTTTCTAATTTCGATTTGGGCCTGAGTTATATATTTTGAGCCCGAATTCAATTTGTGCTGGGCTTGGGTTGATATGAATGAAGCCTGAAGCCCAACCCAAGACTGAAAATATTATATATATTTATAATTATATTAAAGTCACAAGAGTGTAGTAACTAAGTTGGTAGTGTGCTTGAGGTTTATGTTTAAGGTTTCACGTTCAAGTTATGAGTGCAACATTAATTAATTTATGTTTTACATACAAATTATTCTGGGGTGAACTTAGTGTGGGTTCTGGACAAATTATGTATGGGCTGAGCTTGGACAGCTCGGCTCGGGCTTAAGGTGGGCTGAAGATTTTTTATATGGGCCTAACCCGAGATGAGTGTCAAGCTCGCCGGAGTTGCAGCCCTACCTATTACACAATGAAGCAAGATCATGATAAGAATAGAACACAACTAACCTTGAATTCATAAAGTTTGGAAAAACAAATTCTAATAAAAATATTAAAAGCAGTTCAATTTGACACTATTTTAAAATTTAAGAGAGGAATAAAACACTAGTAACTAAACTAGGATAACTACCAAAATTTAGCTCAATCCGCATCCGTTTTCATCTCCAAAAAATTCAACAGTGTTTCCATAGGACTAAAAAAAAAGGGACCTGAAACAATTAAATTCAGCCAAAAAATAGCTCATATTACAAAATATAACTTGTGAACATTGAATATTTTGAGTTATTTTCAATCAAAAATAGGTTTTCACATATTCAATTAGGCTAGTTGACACTGCATTAAAAAAAAAAAAAAAATGTGAGTCACACCTTTTTGGTTTTCTAGCTTAACCTGACAATCTATGTAGAATTTGACAATATAAACGAAAGGTTCATGAATTTTGTAGGTAATCCAAGAGGCTAATTTGAAATTCCATCCCATTTAATTTGGACAAGAGATCGTATTTTGAAGCACCTCACAGGACAATAATAGCAATTCATCTAGAGGGAGGACTTTGTCTAAGAAGAAAAAATAATAAAATAAAGATCGAATAAGTGAATATCTTAATTCTAAAATAATGAAAAATTTGTGTCGCTTAGTCAAATCTGGAGTAACTTTGACATAAGGAGAAAAAAATATAATTTCTCAAATGACAAACATAAACTTAATGTAATGAGAAAAATATCATGTAAGTTGACAATATAATTTTAATTTTAGTAATTGTTTAGATTTATTAATACTCGGCTTAGGTAATACGCAATAAGAATCAAGTTTAAGGTAAAACATGCTTACAAATTTGTGTCCAATTATTGTCCCCCTCCAACACATAGGTATGTGCGTTCCGAAAATGTGGGGATTGACACCTCTTCTTGATGTGTACCAACTAAAATTGGAAAATCCACTAAACAACAAACTACTTTATTTTCCCGGTAAGTAAAAACAAGTTAAACAACTACCTACTTTTTGAATGTGCTTGTTCTGGCAAAAACAAAATTCTCACCCTAAACACCATGAAACCCACTCTCGACATGATCAGAATTTTGATCACTGCTTTCATTAATCTCCAAGCTTCAAGACCCTAGTCCTCTATTACAATTGAATCAGCTCGAATCATGGTCCAAGTCGAGGTCTTATTATGGGCATGTTTGGTTCTCTTGGTGGTGGCCAATCTTACCAACGGTATAGGAGTAAATTGGGGGGCTCAAACAACAAACTACATAGTCCCATCTGCTGTAGTTTCGATGCTTTTGGAGAATGGCATCGATAAGGTTAAGCTTTCCGACGCCAATCCTGCAGTGGTTGCTTCCTTAGCAGGGACCGGCATTGAGGTCATGGTCTCGCTCCAAAATGCAGAGCTACCAAAATTCAATGGCAAGGCCGAAAATGCCAGAGAATGGGTGAGACAGTATGTCGCAAAACCTGTAAAGGAAGGATCTGTCAATATAAAGTAAGAAATTAGGGGTGTATTAAAACTTAGATTTTATTATTTCCTATGCCTTTTTCTTGATGTATGATTTGGGATGTTTTTATAGGTATGTTTCTGTTGGGAATGATCCATTCTCGAAGAGATTCAATAATAATACATTCATACAAAATGCTCTCCCGGCATTGGAAGGCATCCAAAAAGCTCTTAACGAGGCTGGTGTTGGAGACAAGATCAAAGCAACCATACCATTTGATGCAGAAGTATGCAAGTCCGAAACAAAAGGTCCGTCGGGGGGTGTTTTTCGCCCGGACATTAAGGACCTCATGGTCCAAATAGTACATTTCCTCAACAACAACAATTCCCCATTTTTCCTCAACATGTCTCCCTTCCTTAGTGTGTATGAAAATCCTGTTTCCTTTCTAAATTTTTCCTTTTTTGATGGGAATGCGAGTGCAATTACAGACAATAAGACCACCTACACAAATGCGTTTGATGTAGTTTATGACACCGTTGTCTCGGCTCTATCTAAGGCCGGTGTCCCGGACTTGAAATTAGTGGTTGCGGAGATTGGATGGCCAACTGATGGCGACATAAATGCCAATGTCAAGAATGCTAAAAGGTTCTACGACGGCTTGGTAAAGAAGGTGTCTGGCAACAAAGCAGGGACTCCACTTCGTCCTGGCACTATCGACGCCTATGCCTACACTATACTTGATGAGAACAATAGGAGTATAGCTAGGGGACCATTCGAGAAGCACTGGGGCCTTTTTACCTATGATGGTAAGCCTAAGTTCTCATTTGATTTCACGGGAAAAGGGCGTGAGCCGGAGGCTATAAAGGGCGTCGTGTTCATGCCAAGCCGGTGGTGCGTGGTTAACAATGAGACTAAGGACCGTAAAGATCTGGAAGAGAAGTTCAAACTTGCATGCTCAAAGTCGGATTGCACAAGCTTGGGATATGGATCTTCATGCAATAATTTGGATTTTCAAGGGAATGTTTCGTATGCTTTTAATATGTTTTATCAAATGCATGGGCAGAACCTTTGTACGGAAAAGCTAGGCGGCGTGGTAGTCTTAGATGACCCCTCCAAGGGTGAATGTGTTTTCCCAATTACCAATATAGGTAATGCCTGAGACAGAGTACCGGAGCAGCAATTCTAGGGCATTATTGTTGGTCTTTGTCTAGCTTGTCCACATTTTTTTAGGGTAAGGTATTATAGTCCCAAACTGATATATTGAGGTTATTGTCAAAGTCCGAATCAATATCTTTTATTTCTGGTTGAAGAACCAAATATCGTATTGGAAGCAGCGTGTGCTTATATGGGTTCAAGGCGAGAAAGAAGTGGAAAGATTAGGACTATTGTGGATCAATTTTCCGAAAATCAGAATAGAAAACAATTTTCAGTTTTTTGAATTTCAAAATCCGTTTAATTGGGAAAACTGGAAACAGTTCAATTTTTATTTTTATTTTTATTGTTAAGCAGCTCATTTATTGCTACTGTTGATGTATTATACAATTTCATATTGTTGACTGTTGAGGTCCTAAAATACTTGTATAAATATATGTGTGTGTGTGTGTGTGTGTGTGTGTGTTGTGTTGTGTATGATGTTTTATAGAAGTCATTTCCAGACCTCCTAATCTTCTATGTCGGCACTCAAAATATCTCATGTCCAGTGAGAAATTTAGATGAACTTTATAAAAGTGTAGGTATCATTAGTTGAGAACCAAAATTAAATCTCTAAAAAATGTCATGAGGGCACAAAACGTACACTTTGGGTTTTTTTGTATCATTATTTTCTTTTTACGGTGAAATTTTGAATTGTGAAGCTCACAGAATATATTATGTCCATTGGTCGTTTTGTTTTTTTGACAATGATAATTAAGAATATTCCAACAATGAAAAGCTGCGCTTTAAATAACTTGGGATTGTGAACTATTGGGAGTAATGACAACAATTAAGCTTTTAATCATTTGACTTTTTGTTGAAAACTTTTGTATAGTGCTCTAGTTGTATAAAATCTTGGTTTCTTTTTTAACACAGCAATAATATAACAGTTTTGTTTGCAAGCCTAGTGCATTCAAAGACTAATCTAGCTTCTTTGTCAAAATGAAAAGGCAAATACATTTCCTTTTTTTAGAAAGGCACATGTACTTCCATTGTTTTTTTTTCCTTTCTAACACACCATTATAACTCATGGGAGAGTATCATACCACAGATCGAAAATAGGCAAATGATCCTTAGTTTAATTTTCTGAGAACTAAAAATTATAAAATTATAAAAAATAAAATAAAAAAACCTGCTTGATTGACTCTTTTTTTAGAACAGTTTTTTGAAAACTCTGTTTAAAAAGAGAATAATTCTCAAGAATTCAAAAAATAAACTGTTTCCGAGTTACAAACCAAAACAGTTTGTTCATGATTGTGATGAGCTCAAAAAGCTCAACTTGGGATAGCGTCGAGCTCAAGGAGTTGGGCTCGAGCTTGCCTTGCTACGAATTTGAGAAGCCTGGGCTCGACTTATTTAATAAAATGAGCTGAATTCAATCTCATGTTTGTGTTCAAGCTCAATTTTGCTAAAAAATTGAAAAGCTCAGGCTCAACTTGTTTAATAAAATGAGCGGAATTCAATCTCATGTTCATATTCAAACTCAGTTTGAACTTTTGTTCATAAAAATTACAAAATATACAATTTAGTTTCTGTCATATAAGCTTTGAAAATTCACCCGACACACCGGAGCATACTTATTCATGGACAGCAGTACAACCCATAAGATCATGGTTCATCAACTCAAGTTAAAAAAAATAAAAAATTATTCCATGACATTCATGCAAGCTGTAAGTCCATAGGAAATTAATTCAGGTGTGTTCGGCGGTACGAAATTAGAGTTTGATAAAATTTTGGCTCAATTTTCTTAGTTGTTTTTCTCAAATTCCACTAATTCTAATTTTAAGACTCTAATGACATGCAACCCAGCACACTCTCAGTCACATTTACCATATTGTTATTTGCTATACCTATTATTAGCATCATTCCCAATTCCTGCAATATTTCTTACCCTCATTGTTATTTGTTATTTGCCATAACCGTAATTTAAATAAAAGAAATGGGGTCTATATGTCAATTTGTGTGATTTGTGAACCAACTAAAATTAGAAATGTGTTTGGTGGACTAACGACTTTCTGAATCAATGCTTCTTTGGCGGGTAAAAAAGAGCCACAAGTGGACTCTTCTCCTCCCTACAAAACCAACGAAAACCTGTGATCATCCACCTCTCTCTCACTCTCTCTCTCTAAATCTCGCAATCCCCATTAATTCTCATATTTCTCTCAAAAGGGTTATTACAAAACCTCCCAATTCAATCTCCATTAGAAAAGTACTGGTTCCTTAATATACACTTACTCCCCCCATCGAACCAGCCTGAACCATGGCTCGCGCCGAGGTCCTGTTATGGGCCTGTTCGGTGCTTCTGGTCACGGCCAATATAGCCGAGTCTTCTGGTCTAAATATAGGCGTGAACTGGGGCTCGCAAACCTCTCACAATCTGGCCCCTTCGGTTGTGGCTCAGTTGCTTAAAGACAATGGCATTGCCAAGGTCAAGCTTTTCGACGCTGATGATTATACTGTCAGGGCCTTCGCTAATACCGGCATTGAGGTCATGCTTGGGATCCCAAACAACGAGCTATCTCGATTTAGCGACAGTCTTGACAATGCCAAGAAATGGGTGAAAGAGAATGTCACCAGACAGTTAGACAAAAAAATCATTATTAAGTGAGCAACTTTTTCCTAGCTCATGCTCAAAAAATCATTTTCCATCATATACAAGGATGTATATATTTTTTTCCATATGTTTGGGTGCTTTTATATGTTCATAAGGAGTCAACATAAAAGGATTTATTTTCCCCAACTTATACTCATAATATAAATATACCTATTTTTCAATATAGTGATTTTCAAAACATTACATCTGTTTTTCAACACATTACATCTGACTGAAAACGTAGATGTAAATGTGTTGAAAATATATGTAATGGTATTGAAAATCACTACATCGTCACTATAGTAATTTACAGTAGAGGATCCAGGTGTTATGAGTATGTATGTTTGTTTTTCATATGATTGGGTGTTTTTGTAGGTGAGGAGTCAACATAATAGGTTATACACACACATGTTTGAGTCCTCTATGTGTGTGTTTTTCAATTTGTTTGGTTGGTTTTGTAGGTGAGGAATGAAGGACCTCTTTTCTTCCTAATTCATTGTCAAGTAGTAAATATTTATATATGTTTGAATGTCAGCTTCTTAAATATTTATGTGTTTTTTAAATAAATAAAAAAATTGGGTGTTTTTGTAGGTATATAGCTGTGGGTAATGAGCCATTTTTGACAGCTTACAAAGGAGAATACACAAAAACAACATTCCCAGCAATTCAAAACATCCAAAAAGCACTTAATGATGCTGGGCTCGGAGACAAAATCAAAGCAACCACCCCTCTGAATGCGGATGTCTATGACTCCGGAAAAGATGGTCCATCGGGAGGCAATTTTCGCAAGGACATTAGAGACACCATGGTGAAGATGGTCCGTTTTTTCAACTCCAACAACATACCATTTCTAGTCAACATATACCCCTTCCTCAGCCTCTACCTAAACCAGGATTTCCCTACTGATTACGCCTTCTTTGATGGCGGCGGAAAAACAATTAATGACAATGGTTACACATACAACAGTGTGTTTGAGGCGAATTTCGACACACTTGTTCATTCACTCAAGAAGGCTGGTGTCCCAAACTTGAAGATCATTGTTGGGGAGATTGGATGGCCCACGGATGGCGATAAAAATGCCAATGTCAAGCTTGCCAAGAGGTTCTACAGTGGGTTCCTCAAGAGACAGGCTGCCAACAAAGGAACACCACTACGCCCTGGGCGAATTGAGACCTATCTGTTCAGTCTGTTGGATGAGGACCAGAAGAGCATTGAACCTGGTAACTTTGAGCGTCACTGGGGGATTTTCCGGTATGATGGGCTGCCCAAGTTTCCTCTGGACTTCACGGGACAAGGCCGCGAAGTATACCCTGTAGCCGCAAAGGGAGTCAAGTACCTGCCATCACAATGGTGTGTGGTTGATAAGGATTCTAAGGAGTTCAATTCCTGGCCTCAAGAAATTGGCTATGCCTGCTCATTGTCGGATTGCACCAGATTGGGATATGGATCATCATGCAATTCCTTGGATCAGAATGAGAACATTTCCTATGCTTTCAACATGTTCTTCCAGATGAATGATCAAGATGTGCAGTCTTGCAATTTCAATGGGTTGGCCAAGATAGTCAAGCAGAATGCATCGCGTGGGAATTGTCTCTTCCCGGTCATGATAGAGAGCGCGGGAAAGAGGCTCGAGGTGGTGTCTGCAGCAGCAGCGAGCATTGTTGCAGGACTGTTGATGTTGTTTGCAATATTGTTTTAGTATGATAATATATACATACATATAATGATATGAATGGAGATGGGGTTCAACGTTTGAACACTAGTTTGTTTGTTGTGTACTACATTTTTTTTCTTTTTATGTTGGAACAAATAAAAGTTGACAATGTATTGTAATTATATATAGTGACTGTATAAGTTTGAACCATCCTGGAAATTAAGCAGGATGATGATGGGTTGGAGGGAGAAGAAGTTCACTGATGCTTACTGTGCCCTCAACCTATCTTGTTAGGTCTTGTTGTCATTTGCATTTTTTTTTTCTAAATTAATGATAGTCAAATGTACATAGCAAGTTCGTCCATATTCTAATGGTGATACATTATACAAAAGAGAAAGAAACAAATAATAATAAATGAATACTATTGTTGGTACAAAAAAAAAAAAAAAAAAAGAAGAAGAAGAAGAAGAAGAAGAAGAGAATATTGTTGTGTTCCAATGTAAAATAGACGGATTTTTGAAATTTTGATAAATTGAAAACATCGTTTCATATCTGTCAAGATTGTTGAGTTAAGAGGTCAAGTAAAGTTTCAAGCTAGCTAGCATAAGAAATTGAGAAAGAAGGCTTTTATGCTTTCCTAATTTATAGTCTCATGGTGTATCTCTCTTGGGGGTGGCCATAGATCGAATCAGATTAGGCATCAATCTTGATCCGATCAACTCGCAACGGATTAGGAGATTTTGAATCCGCCACCAATTCATTAGCTAACGGATCGGATCGGATTCGTGAAATAACGGATCGGATCGGATCCAATCCGCGTACATATTCACTTACAAAGCTGTATAACAGAACATAGATAAAACCAATTTAAATGCATAATAGGTGAGGCGACCGCTTTTCTCTATACTCTTCTTTAATACTTTGTGGTCCATTACTATTGATTGAGTAATAATTATTATAAAACTAATTGTATAATACTTATTAAAAAAAGAAAACACAAAAATAACGGTATGTTGGGAGTTCATATCTATCTATATCTATACTATTATTAAATGTGCAAAGTGTTTCGGTGTTTCAGTATTTATTTATCAATTGATATAAATTCTATAAAACTCAAAATTACTTAATAAAATTAAAATTAATTCAAATTAACAAAATATAAAAAGAGTTTAATTCAAATTACAAAGTCCCACATTGATTTAAAGTAAAAAAGATTACATGAAAGCCTCTTATAAAACTATAGAGCTAAAAAAATAATATTCACACCTTCTCGGCCTTTTGGCTAAGATCTAGTGTAATACTAAATTTTTTTGGGGGCCTTTTGGCTAACCTTTCTTGGTCTTTTGGCTAAGATCAAGTTCAGTATTTATTTATTAATTGATAATTGATATAAATTCTATAAAACTCAAAATTACCTAATAAAATTAAAATTAACTAAAAAGGATTACATGAAATTATTAAATGTGCAAAATGTTTCAGTATTTATTTATTAATTGATATAAATTCTATAAAACTCAAAATTACCTAATAAAATTAAAATTAATTCAAATTAACAAAATATAAAAAGAGTTTAATTCAAATTACAAAGTCTCACATTGATTTAAAAAAGATTGCATGAAAACTTTTTATAAAACTATAGAGCTAAAGAAATAATATTCACACCTTCTCGGCCTTTTGGCTAAGATCAAGTGTAATACTAAATTTTTTTGGGTCGGCCTTTTTGGCTAATCTTTCTTGGTCTTTTGGTTAAGATCAAGTTCAGTATTTCAATATTTATTTATTAATTGATATAAATTCTATAAAACTCAAAATTACCCAATAAAATTAAAATTAACTTAAATTAACAAAATATAAAAATAATTTAATTCAAATTACAAAGTCCCACATTGGTTTTAAGTAAAAATGATTACATGAAATTATTAAATGTGCAAAATGTTTCAGTATTTCAGTATTTATTTATTAATTGATATAAATTCTATAAAACTCAAAATTACCTAATAAAATTAAAATTAATTCAAATTAACAAAATATAAAAAGAGTTTAATTCAAATTACAAAGTCCCACATTGATTTAAAGTAAAAAATATTACATGAAAGCCTTTTATAAAACTATAGAGCTAAAGAAATAATATTCACACCTTCTCGGTCTTTTGGCTAAGATCAAGTGTAATACTAAATTTTTTTGGGTCGGCCTTTTGGCTAACCTTTCTTGGTCTTTTGGATAAGATCAAGTTCAGTATTTCAGTATTTATTTATTAATTGATATAAATTCTATGAAACTCAAAATTACCTAATAAAATTTAAAATTAACTCATATTAACAAAATATAAAAATAGTTTAATTTAAATTACAAAGTCCCACATTGGTTTTAAGTAGAAAGGATTACATGAAAACCTCTTATAAAACTATATTACTAAAGAAATAATAATCACACCTTCTCGGCCTTTTGGCTAAGATCAAGTGTAGTACTAAATTTTTTTGGGTCAGCCTTTTGGCTAAGATCGAGTGTAGTACTACTTTATTGGCCTTTGTGCAAAGAGTTTTAGTATTTATTTATTAATTGATATAAATTATATAAAACTCAAAATTACCTAATAAAATTCAAATTAATTCAAATTAACAAAATATAAAAAGAGTTTAATTCACAATAAAGAGCTCTCATTAATTATTATATCCCACGATATATATAATAGTATTTCAGTATTTAAATTACCTAATAAAATTAAAATTAATTCAAATTAACAAAATATAAAAAGAGTTTAATTCAAATTACAAAGTCCCACATTGGTTTAAAGTAAAAAAAGATTACATGAAAGTCTCTTATAAAATTATAGAACTAAAGAAATAATATTCACACCTTCTCGACCTTTTGGCTAAGATCAAGTGTACCCTTGTTGAAAGATGCTCATTGGTGAAGAAGAGACAACTATAAGATTGTATTTCTTTCAAATATCTCAATAAAAACTAGACTCCAATAATTAAAGCAAACAAAAACTAGACTCTAATAATTCAAGCCTACAATCTTCTCAGGATCGTTGGAATAAAATCTGTAAAAGTAGATATTTTGTTTAAAATATTGTTCTGTTATATATGGCGCAGCCTCGTACCTAACGCAGTTAACTAACTAAGATCTTTGGGAAAAATCTATGGACAAAAAGTTCACCATATTTGATATATACATACAAGAAAACAATTTACTTGAATCATGTTTTCAATCCATTTGCCGCACAACTAGAATCCTGTAGTTATTATTATTTAAATAGAATTTCTCTTTGATGAAAATTATTGGGTCGGCCTTTTGGCTAACCTTTCTTGGTCTTTTGGCTAAGATCAAGTTCAGTATTTCAGTATTTATTTATTAATTGATATAAATTCTATAAAACTCAAAATTACCTAATAAAATTAAAATTAAATCAAATTAACAAAATATAAAAATAGTTTAATTCAAATTACAAAGTCCCACATTGGTTTTAAGTAAAAAAAATTACATGAAAGCCTCTTATAAAACTATAGAGTTAAAGAAATAATAATCACACCTTCTTAGCCTTTTGGCCAAGATCAAGTGTAATACTAAATTTTTTTGGGTCGGCCTTTTGGCTAACCTTTCTTGGTCTTTTGGCTAAGATCAAGTGTAGTACTACTTTCTTGACCTTTGTAAAAAAAGTTTTAGTATTTATTTATTAATTGATATAAATTTTATAAAACTCAAAATTACCTAATAAAATTCAAATTAATTCAAATTAACAAAATATAAAAAAATTTTATTTCACAATAAAGAGCTCTCATTAATTATTATATCCCATGATATATAGAATAGTATTTCAGTATTTAAATTGCCTAATAAAATTAAAATTAATTCAAATTAACAAAATATAAAAAGAGTTTAATTCAAATTACAAAGTCCCACATTGGTTTTAAGTAAAAAAGATTACATAAAAGCCTCTTATAAAACTACAGAGTTAAAGAAATAATAATCATACATTCTCGGCATTTTGGTTAACATCAAGTGTAGTATTAATCTTTTTTGAGTCGGCCTTTTAGCTAACTTTTCTTAGTCTTTTGGCTAAGATCAAGTGTAGTACTACTTTCTCGGCCTTTGTGCAAAGAGTTTCAGTATTTATTTATTAATTGATATAAAATCTACATAACAAAATTGAAATTAACCTATTTATCTATTTATTATTGTGAATTTTTTAATAAAAGAAAATCTAATTCGACAAAAATTATTAATATAAAAAATATTTATTAATTGATATATAAAATAAAATAATTTTTATAAAACTCTACCACAAATTAGCTTTTATTATGAGTTTCTTAATAACATTAAATCTAATTAGACAATGATATATTTAAAGAAAATAAAATAATTTCTATAAGACTCTATTACAAATTACTTATTTTATTTTCAATAAAACTCTATCAACAAAGATATATTTAAAGAGATTCTATAAATTCTAACACAAATTACCTATTTATCTATTTATTATAAGTTTTTTAATAAATGGAAACCTAATTAGACAAGAATTATTAAAATAAAAAATATTTATTAATTGATAGAAAAAGAGTTTTTAAAAGAGTTTATATTAAACTCTAACAAAAATTACCTATTTATTTATTTCTTTATTATAAGTTTTTAGCAAAATAAAATCTAACAAGACAAGAATTATTATTATAAAAAATATTTTTTAATTGATATAAAAAATAAAATAATTTTTCTAAAACTCTACCACAAATTACCTTTTATTATGAGTTTTTTTTTTAATAAAAGCTAATCTAATTAGACAGGAATTATTAAAATATAAAAATATTTATTAATTCATATAAAAAGAGTTTTAAAATTTTTTTCTATAACACTCTAACACGTATTACATATTACAATTTTTTAGTAAAAAAAATCTAATTTTCAGAGTAAAATATAGAAGCTCTACCAAAGTGTTTCAGGATTTATTTATTTATATAAAAAATATTTATTAATTGATATAAAAAGAGTTTTTATCTGTACTACTATTAAATATTCAAAGAGTTTCAGTATTTAAGTATCTATTTATATTAAAATATATTTATTAATTGATATGAAAAGTGTTTTTCCAAAAAAAAAAAAAAAACTCTATCAAACTCCAAAATCTATGTAATAAAATTTAAATTAACCTATTTATCTTTTTATTATTATGATTTTTTTAATAAAAGAAAATCTAATTAGACAAGAATTATTAATATAAAAAATATTTATTAATTGATATATAAAATAAAATATTTTTTCTAAAATGCCACAAATTAACTTTTATTATGAGTTTCTTAATAAAATTAAATCTAATTAGATAAGGATATATTTAAAGAAAATAAAATATTAAATTTGTAAAATGTTTCAGTATTTCAATATTTATTTATTTATATAAAAAGTATTTGTTAATTGATATGAAAAGCATTTTTATATATAAAAAAATAAATAGAAGAAAAAAATACTCTATAAAACTCTAAAATCTACCTAATAAAATTAAAATTAACCTATTTATCTATTTATTTTTATCAATTTTTTAATAAAAGTGAATATAAAGTTTCAGTATTTATTTATTTATTTTAAAAATATTTATTCAATATGTAAAGAGTTTCAGTATTTATGAATTTATATAAAAAAAATATTTATTAATTGGTATGAAAAGAGTTTATATATATATATATATAAACTCTATAAAACTCTAAAATCTTCTTAATAAAATTCAAATTAACCTATTTATTATTATGAATTTTTTAATAAAAGAAAATCTAATTTTCACAGTAAAATACAGAAACTCTGCCAAGGTATTTCAGTATTTATTTATTTATATAAAAAAATATTTATTAATTAAAATAAAAAAAGCTTTTATCTATACTATTATTAAATGTGTAAAGAGTTTTAGTATTTAAGTGTCTATTTATATGAAAAAAATATTTATTAATTGATATGCAAAAAGTTTTTTTAGAAAATAAAAAAAAAGTCTATCAAACTCTAAAATCTATCTGATAAAATTTAAATTAACCTATTTATCTATTTATTATTTTGAATTGTTTAATAAAAGAAAATCTAATTAGACAAAAAATATTAATATAAAAAATATTTATTAATTGGTATATTATAAAATAATTTTTCAAAAACTCTACTACAAATTAACTTTTATTATGAGTTTCTTAATAAGATTAAATCGAATTAGATAATGATATATTTAAAGAAAATAAAATAATTTATAAAAAACTCTATCACAAATTACATATTTTATTTTGAATAAAACTCTTTCACATTAGATAAAGATATAATATTTAAAGAGTTTCTATGAAATTCTAACACAAATTACATATTTATATATTTATTATGAGTTTTTTTAATAAAAGGAAATCTAATTAGAGAAGTATTATTAATATAAAAAATTATTTATTAATTGATCTAAAAAGTGGTTTTAAAAGAGTTTCTATAAAACTCTAACACAATTTACCTATTTATTATGAGTTTTTTTAATGAAAATTTAATTAGACAAGAATTATTAATATAAAAAATATTCATTTAGAATTATTAATATAAAAAATATTTATTAATTGGTATAAAAAGTGTTTTTAAAAGAGTTTCTATTAAACTCTAAAACAAATTACCTATTTATTTATTTATTATAAGTTTTTTAATAAAAGAAAATCAATTTAGACTAGAATTATTAATGTAAAAATATTTTAAATAGTTATAAATAGTTTTTCCTAAAAAAAATTTAGAATTCTAGAGATTCATTGGGGGCATAGACCAAGAATTATAGAAGTTCTGCCAAAAAGTTTCAATATTTATTTATTTATATAAAAAAAAATTTATTAATTGATATAAAAATAGTTTTTATCTATAAAATAAAATAGAGAAGCTATTGCAGAAAAGAGTTTTATTATTAAATGTGCAAAGAGTTTCAGTATTTCAGAACTTATTTATTTATATAAAAAAATATTTATTTATTGATATGAAAAGAGTTATTATTATTATTTTTTTTATTAAAAAGAACTTTATAAAACTCTAAAATCTATTTAATAAAATTCGAATTAATCTATTTATCTATTTATTATTATGAATTTTTAAATAAAATAAAATATAATTAGACAAGAATTATTAATATAAAAATATTTATTAATTGATATATAAAATAAAATAATTGTTTTCTAAAACTCTACCGCAAATTAGCTTTTTTGATGAGTTTCTTAATAAAATGAAATCTAATTAGATAAGGATATATTTAAAAAAAATAAAATAATTTCTATTAAACTCTATCACCAATTACATATTTTATTTTTATTATTCTTAATAAAATTAAATCTAATTGGAGAAAGAAATATTCAAAGAAAATAAAATAATTTATATAAAACTCTATCACAAATTACATATTTTATTTTCAATAAAACTCTATCATATTAGACAAAGATGTATTTAAAGAGTTTCTATAAAACTCTAACACAAATTACCTATTTATTTATTTATATTTAAAGAAAATAAAATATTTTTTTAAAAGAGTTTATATAAAACTCTAATATAAATAACCTATTTATGTATTTATTATGAGTTTTTTAATAAAAGAAAATATAATAACTGGACAAGAATTATTAATATAAAAAATATTTAATAATTGATATAAAAAATAAAATAATTTTTCTAAAACTCCACCTCAAATTACCTTTTAGTATGAGTTTTTTAATAAAAGAAAATAAAAACAAGCTATATATGGATATATTTAAAGAAAATAAAATAATTTCTATAAAACTCTACTTTATAAAACTCTACTACAAATTATCTATTTTATTTTCTATAAAACTCTATCACATTAGACAATGATATATTTAAAGAAAATATATAATAGTATAATAATACATATAAATAAAGTATAAAAGTGTAAAGATTTTAGCATTTCAGTATTTATTTTTTAATATAAAAAAATTATTAATTAATTTTAAAATAGAACTCTATCACATATAACCTATGTATTTATCTATTTATTATAAGTTTTTTAATAAAAAAATCTAATTAGATAAGGATATATATAAATAAAATAAAATAATTTATATAAAATAATTAAAAAATATATGAAAAGAAAAATTTCATAAATTACAAAACATTCATCATGTGCATCGCACATGCCTTTTACTAGTGTATATATATATATATATATATATATATATGCTAGTTACCAAAGAGTAAAGATATTACTATAATATTAATATTATATATATATATATATATTACGGATTCAGGATCAGATCGGATTTTTGACAGCCTAATTGACCACTGATCCGTGGGACAACGGATTCAATTTTTTGAATCCGCCATCAATCCGTGGGACTGGCAATCCGATCTGATTCGTACGGATCGGATTGGATCGGATCGGATTCATGAATTCACAGATTTTTTGCCCAATCGGATCGGATTCACGGATTCGTTGATTTTTTGCCCACCCCTAATCTCTCCCCTCTGTAAATATTTTTTCAACAGTATGGGTTTTAGCATATTTCAAAAATAAATTTTATAAAATAATAATTTATAAAATTTATTTGATTAGATATTTCAAATTATATGAAAATTTCATTTTTGGAAAACGGCTTAAATTTGTCTAATTTGGTTCATTGGTCTCTACTATAGGCAAAGAGGAATTCTAATAAATCGGGAATTCTAATAAATCAAAAGTACACTTTTGTACTATATTTACTTTGAAATTTCCAAGGTCCTAAATTACTAATAAAATCAAAAGCACATTTTTATACTATTTCATTGTGCAACTTTCTATATTTACTTCGAATTTTCATTGTCATAATTCAATGTTTAAAGTAGTAAATTTTGAAAAAAAAAAAGAAAAAAAGAAAAGAAACGAAAAGAAAAAGCCCGAACATTATTGGATTCATATTGCGGGTAGGGTATTTAGCAGATCTGATAACGTGGGTTTATCGCAACTATTCGGGTAGAGATTTAATAATGGACTTTTAAATTTTTAATCCCATCGAGGATCAGATCTTAACACACTCCTGGGAGGCCTGCTTCTGCTTGCAACGCAGGGAGGCTTATATATATATATATATAGAATCTATGTACGTATACACGCACAGTCAGAGAGAGAGTGAGGAGAGGCGGGAGAAATAGAACTGCTGCAACTTATGCCAATAATAATATGGATATGTTTTACTATTATATATAGCTTAACGGCATTGCCCTCCAAGTGTTTGTTCGTTGTTCTCTGAGAAGAGCAAAAGTAGAGACCTCTGTTTGTTGAGATGGCAAACAGCAAGTACGAGTACGTGAAGTCATTCGAAATTGAAGACGAAGTGATGTTGCCCAACTTGATCGTTATTCGAGTCGACGGTTGCAATTTTGGCAGGTAAAAACCACTGTCTTGATCAAAACAGTAGTTTACTTTGTTTTCGTGAAGCAAATCTTCTGACTATATATATGTATGTACTTAGTGGTTGAGAAAAGGTTGTTGCATTGATTTATAGGGAGTTTAGTGGATGTGATTCGTGTTGGCTGTTTTTTTTCTTTCTTTTAATTATTTAGAGAATTAACTGTTACTTAAAACAAGTCCTATGTTCGACAAGAAGAGTTAGAAATTGGTTATGGAAACACTAAAAGGTCAGTAACATATTTGATTGATGATGTTGGTGTGAGTGGTGGAGGTGTGGTTTTTCTCCTTGAGCCACAATGTGAGCATGTGAACTCTAAGATGTGATATATGGGAACGATCTATCCCTTTTTTGATTACCCATATCGGGCTCCTGCAAAAATTTGGTATTAGTGGTTGGATTCTCCTTAAAAAAATTTAACATTTAAAGCTCTGAAATTTTATGTGGACCCACACATACTAAAAATGCACATGCAATGCATGCAATTATAAAATCTATTTGCAACAAATCTAAAATTAATCATTTTGAGTTATGTCTCAATTGTGTTTTCAAAAGTCTAAGTATACAAGTGTATCAAACTTAGAAGTGTATCAAAAATTTTATAAACTTCACATGATAATGAATTTCAGTCCAACTGAACAACAATAATAAAAAAAAATTGTATGCAGTAAGCATGTTTTTATACTATACAAACAACCATCAAAGTATAAGTAGATTTGATTAAAATAAGTCTTTCAATTGAAAATGTATCCCAAATGCCACCACGTTATTGTATCTTCAAAATTTGGCAATTTTCTAAATGATCTACCTACTTACAAAAAACACAGTTAGTAGAAAAATAAACATAATATGAAGAAATAGGGAAAAGTACTCCTTCTAAGTTCTAATATATTCAAAATATTTAGAAAAGTCTCTCTTTAAGAAGACTTTTGTAAGAGAGATGCACATCACATTTTTTTGTTAGATATTAAATGCCCAGAACAATTATTATTTTTTTGTATAAATAGAGAAAGCAGTAACTATTTGGGATGATATATGATTTTTGCGACGCCATCAATAAACATTCTTTTTGGGATTAGATGTGAGTTTTTAAAATTTACCAAAAGATCTAACTTTTTGAATAAATAAATATATTTTATTTTATTTTTGTAAAAGGTATATAAAGAATAAAAATTCTATTGACATTTGTATTGTAAATATACAGTGGTGAAAAGGGGTAGCGGTGTTGAGGAACTTGAAATAGTTTACTTTTTATGATTCTTTGGTGAATTTTAATAGTTTAGGCGTAAGATATTCTTTTATTACTCATCGATGAATATTTTGATATGAAATGCCTAATATTGTTGGAATTGCGGAGTGATTGTTCATCCACAGTGCAGCTTTTGTTTTTATCTCTACTTCTTCTACGCCACCCTAGGTGCCTAATGTAGCCCCAAACATTTGATATTTTATTTCATAGATCTCTCTCTCTCTCTCTCATGTGCGTGTGTCAAACCTGCATTGAGTTGGTACCTAATTGTAAGTATTAAATGCAATGATGCTGGGTTGCAGATTTTCTGAAATTCATGATTTTGAGAAACCAAATGATGAAAAAGCTTTGAATCTGATGAATTCTTGTGCAACTGCTGTCTTAGAGGAGTATCCAGATGTAGTCTTCTCGTATGGATTCAGTGATGAGTATAGGTTTGACACATTTTTATTCATCATTTTATCTCAAATTATATAACTTTATGATTCTTTCACAGACCATTAACTTTGTTATGTGAGGCCTTGTATATTTTTTTTGTCATATGACTTGCAGTTTTGTCTTCAAGAAGGAATCCAAGTTTTACCAGAGACGTGCCAGGTTTTATTCTAATCTTTTAACATTTAGGTTGATAGAACTCAATAACAATTGTTTTTGTTGCTTGTGGACTAAATTCTAAAATTTCCATGTGCCTTGTGGACTAAATTCTAAAATGCGTATTCCTGTGGAAGTTATTTATCTTATGTGCTAGATATAGATAATGTCAAGGCTGTTCATTTGAATTTATTTCTTTTTCTCCTCTTTTTTTTTTTTTTTTTCCCAATCATACTCTTAAAGTTTACATTACTCTGTTTATCGTTTATAGATGTATAATTTTTCGTTGATTTAAAACAAATGTGACAAAACTATATATTGCTTATCATGTATGACATGAACTCTGTGCAATCATCTGGTTTAGCAGCTATATTTATAGATGCTTGGTTAGTGTCAAATGGCTGTTCTGATTTATTGGCTCAGTAAAGTAAGATCTTAATATCAAATATAGAAATGTAGAGTCTCATTTATGGGTGTGATGCGGGTAGCTGTTAGGACTGTTGTTGTCCCAAAGATTAGGAGATGGCTTGACCATAACACTTCTTACATTGTGTACTGCCATATTATGGAATTATTTGCAGCTTACAGCTGAAAAGCAACTTTATGTAGAAAAGCAATTATAGGTATCAGAAGTTTGATCCCAGCCTAAAGGTATGAGATTTTCAAAAAATAAAATATATCTATCTACTTAATAAGTGGTAACGACTGCATCAATTTTTGAACTTAACCTTCAAAAACAGGTTGAGAGAGGAAGGGAGGAGGCTTCAGCTCTTCCCCTCGATTGAGGCAACTCTTCTCCTAGTTGGAGCTTTGTTGGAAAAGTTCCTTCTTCTTTTTTTCCTTCCTTTTCTTTGTTTCCAATTTCACAAAGTTTAACTCAACTCAGTCAATAAAGCCCACGTACTTGGGGTTCGCTACATGAATTGTTTTTACCATTTATGTTCAATCTTAGCAGTTATGCCTTACCAAAAAAAGATCTTAAGCAGTTTTGTCTTCTCACAGCCTTGACCTGTGTTCTTTAGGCCTTTCATCCTTTTCATGCCGTGAACTTGGATCAAGTTACTGCACCATACCAAGTCATAAGGGCATTCATCTTTGTATAATACACATGGTAAAACCACGTTAGAGAACTTTCCATCATCTCATCTATGGTTAGACTGTTAGAGGTGCTTCTATTCTCACACATTTATTCTTTTTGTTCTGTTGTTTTTTGTACTACCTCAATTTATTTCACACATCCTCATTTTTCTTAGATTCACTTATTGAATATATCTTCTTACTACCGAAGATTTTGTTTTATAAAACATAACTAGCCTAATCGTTAAATTATAATTTTTATTTCCATACATGAGCACAAGCCATTCTAAAGGCTTATTTTTAGACTTTTCCTAGGCCCACATCTTGGTGTATTGCTTCCCCTTAAAACACAGCTCGTCTTAATGAGATTCTTCTAGATCTATCTTTTCTTTTTCTTCTTTTTTTGGGTGAAATATCAATTATTAGCTCATTATTTGAATTGAATTTGCAGCAAAATGCTATCGCTCATTGTATCATTCTTCACTTCTGTATACGTCACAAAATGGAAATATTTCTTTCCTCAAAAGGAGTTGAAGTTTCCCCCTTCATTTCAATCGAGGGTCATAACTTGTGCATCAATGGAGGTTCTTCAAGTATATCTTGCATGGAGACAAAACGAGTGTAAGTAATAGCTAGTTTAACAAACTAATTACACAACTTTAAGTATATCTGTAACAAACTTGTCATCTAAATTTGGATTTCATGTTTTATAAACTCTAAAAGGACCATTTACCAGTGTTGATCCAATCCATGTGAGGTGTTAGGATTGAACTAGAAACAAACCTTCTCTCTGGCATTACTTTGTATAAAGTGGTTGCTCTCAGACTCGAACTCATGTCCTCAGTTGAGCTTTTACCATTATACCAAGCAATGATCATGTCTTATGCACTCTGTTTCGTTAAAAATATTTAGGTGCCTAAACTCTAACAAAAACATGAAAATGATGATAACATTTATTTATTTTGATGGATTTAAACCTATCACTCATATGTTCTTTTAACAGGTCATACAAAAAACCAGTATGGTACTTGTCTTTGGATGCTGATTAGATGTGGAAAGGCTGAGAAAGAAGCACAAGAGATACTGAAGGTGCTGACATATAGTTTATATGTAGTCAATTTAGCAATTCTTTCATGTTAGCTCCCCTTTATGTAGTTTTACTTCTCTATAATGGGTAGCACTGCATGGGTTATATAATTGTTCTCGTTGATTTCCTAGGAAAATTCTGTATATGTACTTTCAGAGAGGATCTATTTTGATCTTCAGAAATAAGGATAGTAATTTGTTTCCTTTATCATATGACCAAAAGCAAAACATATAACTCAATTTATATTCTATGGTGCGTTTAAATGGAAGAGGTTAAGAAGGTTTGTTTGAGGGTGCTCAACTTTTTGGCATCTTGTGTAAATGCGATTTGGTTAAGTTTGTGATCTTGTACATTTCAATCTTTTCAAGAGACAAGTTTAGGGAGCACTTTTATATATATATATAAAATATGTATTAGGATATTGAGTCAGGAGTTGGCAATTTCCTATGCAAAACTAGGGTTGTAAGTTGAGCAAAATGTCTTGAGTCATGTTTACAACCGAAAAAAATGACAAAGATGAAGAATGAAGAACATGCCTATATTTTTGTCTAGCAAAATCACATATTTAGGTAAAGGTAAGAAGAGACCTTAGCAGAATAGGAATCTAGTTAGATTATTGAATTGATGGATGAACCTCCTATGATCTATGTTTGATATCTAAAAGGCTCAAAGTAATGTCTAAACATGTTTTAAAAAATTAAGCTCATCAATTGATCAAAATTTGAATAGGAAAACAACTTAGAAAACAGTAAACGTTGAGTGAAGCATCGATTGTTCGAACATACTCGAACCTACTCCAGTGAGTTTTGATTGATAGGTCGATGAATCAAACTTGACAAGCACATTGTTTCTCTTCAACTGTTAAAATGATTTCAAAATAGATAGAGTTGTAGTCAAAGCATAATTCAATTTCAAACTTTGCAACTTTGTCGTTAACAATGATCTGTTGGATGAACATCTATAGGAAAAGACAATTAGAGAAGGCAACTCTGTCATGCTTTCTTTAGTCTATATCCCAAGAGATGACAATTTTGATACATTTTGTTCATCTTTTGAAGTTTCCTCTTTAACCAGTAAACTGATCACCATGTTTTGTTTCTAAGCCTTCTATATATATATATATATATATGTTGTATCTGTCATTTCTGCAGGGCACACAGAAACAAGAGAAAAATGAGCTGCTTTTCCAACAGTTTGGTATCAACTACAAAAAGCTCCCTAGCATGTTCCGCCAAGGGTCTTGTGTTCTCAAGACACAGGTTACATCCATTCTTTTTTCTTTTCCCTTTTTTTTTTTTTTTTTTGGTTTCGATAAATATCCATTCTTGTAAGTCATTTCAATTTATTTATCTAAATGTGGCCAGGATTTGCACTTCGTCTCTAATAGATTTTAAATCATCAAAATTTTAATTATGGATAAAGATTTTGAATTGACATAGTTTTTGAAAATTGAAAGTGCGAAAATTGTTCAACAATCCAATTGTAGTTTATTTAGAAGAAGGTGTTGAAAAAGAGATGTTTACTCCATACTACATTCTCATATCTCGACTACAATCATCTAGTAAGTCAAATTTGAGTTGAAATTACATCTTAATTGGCATATATGGTTATGATACTCTCTTAGGACATAAATAGCAACTTTTGGAACATATAGAATACAAACTATCAAATGTTCTTACCCATATGCAATCAGTGGTAAATAATTTTACCTTTTTAGTTCCATTTTTTCAAATCTAGTTTTTGGTCTTGAAAATATTTATCATTTACACCCTTCTCTTTCTTCTCTCTGTTACAACTCTTTTTTGAGGTTATCGTAGATACAAGCATATTGATTCAGACATTTAGTTACTGCTTGTTAGAAATTTCCATGAATTATTATTGGATTTAATTACTTCTTCTAGTGTTGCAACTAAATATGATTTTAGATTTTTATTTTAGAAAAATAAAATTTTGAACCAAGGTATAATTGAAATATCAGGTGTGTGCCTTGAGTGATAAAATCCCCATGCCTTGGTCTTGGGACCTCCATTCCAATTTGCTCATTGAAGATGGTCCTTGTTATCTCCTTAGTCCGATGTGCTATTGCTCAAATCCTGTTGTTCTCTCATGTCAGATACCGGACCATTTTTTTCTCACCCTAGTTTTGGCCCCAAGTATGTCCTATAAGCCGAACTAATTAATTTCCATGGTCAGGCAAAGGGATGGCAGTTCCCGTAATTGGGTTTTTGCCTCGCCCCGAGGACTTCAATTTCTAAGAACTGAGCCTAATGCTGAAAATGAAGTTATGTAACCCAAAAAAAAACATGTCAGCCAATGTGTGAATATAGCCTACTGAAGCAATATATATATATATATATATTTTCTTTTGATAAGTAAAATTTTATAAAAGCGCTCAAAAGGGGAGCGGATCCCAAAAGAGCCTACTGAAGCAATATAACTTATGCCTTAAATTAAAACAGACTCATTTATTCTTTTCTGGATAGGAATAACTCAAAATTATTAAAATATAAGGACTTAACAAAGCGTAACGGATAAGAAATCATTCTTCATTGAAAAAGGGGAAAGGGGAATGAAAAAGGATCTGCAAAGAAAAAGAAGACAGAAAACCACTCAATGCAATTTTAAGATACAACCCCTGCCGAAACAAAATGATCTAAACCCCTCAAGGAGGGTGGAAATGACCTCTAAAACCCTCCATTTTAATAGGTTCCTGTTTGGCCAGAACATCAACCATCTTGTTGAAAGAAGGTTCCACTTCTATCTCAGCTTCCAAGGAAATCAAGAAATCCACAATCCCATGCATTAGTCAGTGCTGCCAACATCCAGTGAACTGTAGCACATCTGACTGCCATCTTAGAATTATCCTCAATCAAATACTACTAGAATCCCAAATTTGAGGCCTCTTAAAGGCCTTCTAAATGCTTCAGCTCTAGTGGCATATCCTGTTCCCATTGGTTTTGAGAAGGGAAACACCATGTTATGTATATTTCAATTGCAAGCAACAGAAAAATTGCAACTAATGACAATTACTAGAACTTCTGAGTTAGAGTATCCCTGGATAGAGAATCCTGCTCTTGACCAAGATTTATATACAAATGACTAGCTCATAGTTTCCTTGATTCCAGGTGACCAGTACCTCTACGCCTCAAGTATAAGGACCACTTGTTAGAGTCAGCTTCTCCTATGTTACCCTTTAAGAGTCAATCCTAAATTCTGAACATGTTTCCTTTCTTCCACTTTCCCCTGCGCTGCATGCCATCTCCCTTTGTTCTCCATCTTTATCCACTTTACCCCGTGGCTTTTAATTATGTGGTGTAAGCACCATGAAGTGAACAAATTCTATGCATGAACAATGATGCTTGTGCTCCCATAGTGGAGTGCCTAACATGCGTACTCTCTCTCTCTCTCTCTCTCTCCAGAAGATTCATAGTTGATGTGATTTAGTTGCAAAATTTTGAACAAGTGATGCCTATTCTCTGAAACTGCAATTCTGTGTGTCTTCATATAATCTTGGTGACAACCACAATCGCGACATGATTTAACTCCTGGCTGTGTTGGAACAAGTTCAGATTAGAAAACTCAAATATTATACATTGGAAATAGTTTACAATTTAGGAGTTGCACAAAGAGTAGTCTAGGATCCCTCTTTTATACACAAGTTCTCCAAGGCTTTAGTGTACTTGCTTTTTCATTTTTTCTTTTTGTTATCCTTCTTTTGTTTGCATTAAAGTTATGAATTGCTTGATTAATAGGAATATAATTTGGTTTCTAAAAGTAACAACATAACTCATTAACTAAAGTTCAGAAGTTACTTCTAGACAAATAGTGGCAACTAACATGGCCTATTTTAGACATCATGTTGGCAGATCTGAATGTTAACTCTGTAGTACTTCATAGTGAACCATTTGTGTGTGTGCATGGATAAAGGAATTGAGGATGTAACGGGTTCGCTTAATTGAGTAAGAGTAACTATGCATTGAGATGGGTTTGAGAGGCAATTTTCCAGATTAGAGGTAGGTTCAGGAATCATCATAAACCTGTATTTGGTACAGACCGAGATCAGTTTTAACTGCACCCTGCACCTAGTGTTCTCCATGCCGCATTAGAGCATGGATTTTGGAAGTGACAAAGTTATACCATGTCTCAGGCTTAGGATGGGTTGGGAAACGTTTTCCTCTTACAGGGTGGTGCGTTCCTCATCCCAAACCGGCCCCTTACCATCCCTAGTGATCTCTTCTGCAATGATCTTTCCTTTATATCCCTTTTAAAATTCATAAAGTTCTCATTACAAACTATATATATATATATATATATATATATATATATATAAATAAATCAATATATTTAGATCTATTTAATCAACTTTGCGAAGATTTTTACAGGACAAGTCCAGATTGGGTGAAATTATCCTGTTAAAATGTTTTGCTGTTCGGTCATATCTGGAGCTTGACAAGAATCTACGATAAGTTGATAACATCTGGCAAAATTATATACTTACTTGGCAACACATTAATACTCCACCCAGGTTTGGAATCCAGAATGCAAGACCAAGATCTTAATGCTGGTTTGGGATTTTAGAGAACTTGGCTTTATCAACAATTTACTTTTAACTACAAAAACTGGAGTCCGTTTCGTTTCTTGGAAATATCATTTGATATGACCAGAAACATAAAATATGTTGCATCTTAAAATTCCTTTAATGCTCTTCTTCACATGACCTTGTGTATGACTTCTAACTTGGCAAGCTGAAACCCTTTTTTTTTTTATCTTGTTATTCAGGCAGAAGATATTGTAAAGTACAAGGATAATGGAACTCCTGTTAGAAGACTGCGAAAAAAGGTGATTGTTGTCCATTCAGAAAATATAGCCGCAAGAAGCTTTTGGAGTGAGCACTCATGTCTCATTAAAGAACTTGGATATTTTGGAGAAGACATCAACAAAATTAAACCTGAATATGTTAAGTCTTTCCAATTCGAGAGCAAGTTGATGCCATCTACTTGGATTGTGGTTCGAATTGATGGCTGCCATTTTCACAGGTAAACTCCCTATATGCTTAAAAGTATAATTCTTGTTGCTTCAAGTGCCTCAAATGATGTTATCCGTGTTGATAGTCTATCAATATTGGACCTATTGAGTTCCTTTTTAAGAACATATGATAACCCTGACCAATTCTCTATTAGTTTTTTCCTTCTTTTTTTCTGAAATGTCAGAAAAATATCTATGGTATATGGTCCTAAAGATTTCCAAATTGAAATTGAATCGCTCTTATTTGGTATATTTCAGCGGTGATGTTCCATATGTAAAATGGTTGCTATAGGCCGTATCAAATTTATGGTGCAGGAAGATGTGTTTGCTCCGTTTAATTTTCTCTGTTACTATATCTTGGAATATGACGCCAGAGTTTTAGATTGTTGAGCATTGAAATTTTAAAGTTAAGAATGACCATATTGAATGACCACTTTTTTTACAATCAAATGTTAAAATAAAAAATAGCCATGAGATTACTGCGGGATTAATGTCTCCTCATTATTTTATGGGAGGTTGAGGGTTCAAGTCCACTTTGGGGGCACAGTGGGTGCATGTATTTAATTGGGTGTGTGAGTTCTTACAGGAGAAGAAAAAGGGCTATTCCAACTATGGAAATTAGTTTATTCCTAGACCATGTTGCTATTTTATGTGATGCAAGGTTTGTTGCTTGGTTAGTCTGCTAAGATGTTGCAATTGGAACTCAGTAATTCAGTTTTATGACTTTTGGTAGATTTTCTGAAGTTCATGAATTTGAGAAGCCGAACGATGAGCAAGCCTTGAACCTTATGAATTCATGTGCAGTGGCTGTGGTGGAAGAGTTTCAGGATATAGTTTTCTCATATGGGGTCAGTGATGAGTACAGGTACTTAAGTTATTGTGTCAGCTTCAACCCGTTGATTCTACGCATTTATGTACTTAAATTGTTATATTTGTGACGTCAGTTTCATCTTGAAGAAGGATACTCAGTTCTATCAAAGGCGCGCCAGGTTTCTATTCCAGAATTTCCCTTCTAGTTCCTAAAATTTTCGTACTCTCCGTATTATACTGTTTGTCAGGTAACACTCAAGTTAAGATGGGAGATCTGGAGAAATCCATCTTCCACAAGGAATATATGCAAGGTATTCATAGCATATATGTACCGCAGTTTGGATGCCAATATATCTTCCACACGGGATACCTCACTTTAGGCATACATTTTGTTAGTTGATTTTTGGCCAAATCCCTTTCAATCTGAGAAGATCTGAGAGCACTTTACATATTGTCCCAAGGATAAGAAGATTATGCTTATTTGTCAAAGTCGACATTTGATTCCCTTGATGGGAACTTTCTGTGGTGTATCTGTTTTTGAATGACAGAAGTGATAAGTGGTGAAACACTTCCATGTAATCACTGCAGATGGTGATAGGTGCTTTTTGACCTTATTCCTTACGTGGTTTTAAAGTAGTCTCTTTTACACAGATAATGGTTTGAGTTTAGCATGATAATCTCAAAACATTTCTTATAGGATTAGACTAACAATTACGGCATCTTTTTAGTAGAATTTTGAAATTGTAGGTTGAGAACATGCTGATATTTAGGAGCCACCTACAATCATGATTAAAGGTCTCCCTCCTCCAACAAACTGATCTTTGGGGATGATTTGGTGTGCGCATGTGAGCCCGGGGGGTGGGGTGGGGTGGGGGGGCATAAAATGACTTTTACCCTAGAAGTACTTTCTGCACATTCTGGATGCCGTGTCAAACATGACCTCACTGGTCCCAGTACTATTTTGGGAAACTTTGTTTAAATGATCAATCTGACTGCTTATTCTATGTTGGACTTACTCTTATAATCACTTCTGCAGTGAAATAGTGTCCCTCATTGTATCATTCTTCTCTTCCACATATGTACTCAAATGGAAAGAATTCTTTCCACATAAACAGTTGAGGTACCCGCCATATTTTGATGGACGAGCTGTATGCTACCCATCAGCTGTGATTGTTCGAGATTATATAGCATGGAGACAAGTGGATTGTTAGTTCTATCTTCTCAACCTTTTTTTTTTTTTTTTTTGTCCAAAGAAAAAAAAAAAGGGTTAATTTTGAATATTGAGATTTCTTTATATTATCTTTTGTAAAGGAGGACCAAGTAATTCATTAAGTATTCCTTTAAAGTTTTAATTTCTATCTCTGTGGTGTGCTAAAATCTGTTCATTTCCAGGACATCCTTGTAAGCTCGGTACTTTATCTTTGTGAATTTGCAGGCCACATTAACAATCAGTATAACACTTGTTTCTGGATGCTTGTGAAGTCTGGAAAGAGCAAAAGCGAAGCTCAAGACTATTTAAAGGTGCTAAATTCTCTGACTTGATTACAAGAATTTATCTTGTCTAAGGAATGTTATTGTTTTTAATACCAAAGCGTGAATTTAATTCCTCTCATGTACATGTTTCAACAGAATTTCATTTTTGTCCTTTCACTTTCCAAATTATCTCTATATATTTGTCCTTTCCATGCGATACGTATAATGTTGTTTCCATTGAATTCTTCACTCCATGGAAGTAGAAAATTGGTTTTAATCGTTCTCTTTCAAAGGAATGCCCACCAAGGAATTGAAAATTGGTTTTGTAAGCTTGGAGGCGCAAGTCCACGGGCTACCTCATCTGTGAACAAATCACTATCATATTATGTATAGATGTGATCATTATTGTGTTGATTTCGGAGTTGTTTTTTCGAACAATACTTGGGTCCTCACCGGTGAGAAGAAACCTCCTTACTGCTGATGTGGCACAATCTCAAGATGTCACGTCATGAAAAAAAATAAAAGAAATTTTAATTTTCCCATTATTATATTTATTATATGCATGAATTAATTATACATTTAAAATATTTGTACTAGTTTCAATTGGTTCAGTGAGTTGACCCAACAGTTGATATAGTGACTTTGACCAACCATCTTGATAAAGTTGCCAAGTTGGTTTAAAGTCGGGGTCTGATAATTGTGACTATCATGCAAAGAAAGCATGGTACACGATAGGAAGTTTCTTTGATATCAATGATGTATATACCAGTATTATATGGGGTGGCTCTCGGGCCCTTCAATCTTAAACTTAATCCTTTTCAAAATAAATACATCAAGAGTTCAAAAGACCAAAATATTCGACATGATGAAGTTGACTGTGGAAACAAGAACTTGTACACTTTTCAATACTTACTAAAACCTTGTCCTTGGATATCATGCTAGGGGCAATCTTATGTTATGGATATTAAATTACACTATTAGACTTCAGAACCTTAATATTTGAATTCATTAATGCAGACAACATTAGGCTAGGACTGGAGAATATCCCCTTCTTCTACACATTTGGCTTATGTATGAGCCATAAATTTGTAATTGCAAATTGAATGATTTAGTGAGACTAAGAATCCTTATAAGTGTGGTTCTCAGCCCTCTGTTTTGCTGTTTTATTCTTCATGCAGGGTACTCAAACACGAGAGAAAAATGAACTGCTTAAGCAGCAATTTGGCATTGACTACAACACATTACCAATCATGTTCCGCCAGGGATCCTCTGTTTTCTGGGACAAGGTCTCTCTCTCTCTCTCGCGCGCGCGTACACACACACAAGTGATCATATTATTATTTGTTCCTTGCTCTCATTTGATCATGTTATTTTTTTTATCCTTGTTGGGGATAGCACATATACAAGACTTGAGGTTTTGACTTTTATTTACTATTTAATCCAACACCAATTTGAATGTGTAAAACAACCGCCTGATCACCTGACCGATCATCCTACTCTGGCCTTTAAATGGGTTGATCCAGACTTTTAAACCATTAGTCTGCAGCCTGACGGGTCTGATTTCCCAAGCCTACCTGGATTCAGGATCTTGCTCCAGCACTTAATATACAAGCCCACTGGATTAGCTCAGGTCATGGACATTGCTAGCAATTAGACTCCACTTTAAGGACATGCCATATGGCAAAATCGAACCAGATCACATCATCATTACCATCGACTTCAACAATTGCACTGAACATTTTTTGCTATTTAGCGCTTGCTCCCCTGGACTTGGCAAATTGTTATGCTAGCTGGGAGTTGGAACCTTACCTGTCTAACCAGATAAATTATATTATTTTACCATTTGCATATAACCATGCAAAATAATCATTTAATCTATGGTATTTATTAGATGGTTTATGTTGCTTTTCACTATATGATCCTGAAACCATTCTTATCTACTGAGTACATGCATTTCCGTGGTTTTGTTGTTCGAGTTGCTTGCTTCACTTTCTTTTATGCTAGCCTGCAATTCCTGTTATTCTTCTAATGTTCTGGGTAATCGACCAACAAGTTATGATGTAGAAAATGTATTATGATGAAGAAAAGCCCACCGGACATCCACTCAACAAAGCCTCATTGGGGTCAGCTAAGGTGTCGAGCCGACTCAAGCCCTTTAGCTAATTTAGTAATTTGTCTCATCCAATCCTATTATCTGGGGCATGTTTGGCTCTGCTGAATCTTGCACTGCCCCTTCTCTTTTTTGTGATGTGCTTTCTTGTCCCTATAGAGCTAAGTTCATAAATAATAATGGTTTCAAGCTTAAAAGATGTGCACTCTGGCTAAGATTTTGTGAGGACGACCCCATTAGCGGGCTTCAGCTACTAACGTGCATGATTTCTTGCATCCTGCCTTAAAAAACTGTCAAAGCTGAGATATTAACTCTTGTACACAGGAAGAAAAGATGGTGTTTCATAAAGATGGAGATGCTGGCGAAAAATCTAGGAAGAAAGTTGTTGTGGAATACTGTAATGTAATTGATATGAACTTTTGGAGAATACATCCATCCATACTTGAGGAGAAGACACGGTTACTGTGAAGCCTTGGTCACAATTATATTTTCAGCTAACATAAAGCTCTAATAATTTAATTGCTACCACCTGTAATCTCTGTACATTTGTATTATTTATATTGACTGGTTTTCAGAAATTGCCGAAGTTATTTGTCTAATGTATACGTGTTAAATTCAATCTGGTTAAGACACTACTGGTCTAACCAAGATCACAAATGTGTGAAACCTCGGTTCCGAGATACCAGAGGAGTTCCAGCTGAATGTCTTGAAATGAAGTTTATATGCAAATGAATGTCCCGGGATTTTTGCAACATTATTTGCTACACAGGATCAACAATGATTTAGTTTGCCTATCATTTCTTGATTCCCTCCTGATTGGTGCCACTATAAATTTATAAACCACCAAATATTTGTCAACGCAATTTCTATTCATCATGATGATTTGAATTTAATTCAAGATTAAAAATAGGATCAATAGTTTTGACAAAATACAAGTAGAGGAGACTTATTTTTAAACAAGAGGAACCAATCTCCAGCTACCAATTTTCAGTCTTTGCCTTTATGAACGGACGGTTACAAACACTCCACCAAAGTAAAACGGACCTATAATAGAACAAAAAAAATTACTAATATATTTGTTTTAGTGGAGTATTTGCAAAATTAATATGTGTAATGGAGCATTACCATCGTATCAAGTCATCGTTGCAACAGAAGTCATCGTTGCAACAGTTGCAATGAATAATTTCTCTCGTATTACAGCATTTATTATACTAATATGGTTTTAGGATGGTAAATGTATTATGAAAAAGTATAATAAAGCGCAAAAAAAACAGGTTTAAGCAGAAAATATACGAAGATGAATTTAGAAAGCATTTATCAGACAAAGGGAAGGCCAGGACCAATGGATGTTTATCTAAGTTGATTTTAATTTTAAACTGCATTTGTATGAGATTTTAACCTCTTCTTCGAAATTCCATTTGATAAATACGACCGGACCACCAGCCAAGGCTTGCTCTGTAAAGGTAAGGCCACCAACTACTACTTCTTTAGCTTTTCGCTTGCAAAGAATTGTTGATCGGTCGAGGTAGAATCTAATGCCTTGCCTGCAGCACCAACAAAAGGAGGGGCAGAGGTCGACCAGGATGAGATGACGGCTATCGAGGAAATGCTGATTAGCTAAAAAAGTTTCCCCGGGTGAAGTGTTTTTGATGCTATTGTTCTGAGCCTTCTGTGATGCCAGTTATGAGGTTCATGTGCTGGGATAACTCACCAGACAATCTGAAGGGATGTAGAATCTTGCACAGAAAACAGTGGAATAGGGGTCCTGCAAGAAAACGGCCTAGCTAACGAGCAAGAAAAACGACTTTCTCATAATTGGAACGGATCTTCCGGAGCTTTCTCATAGCGTCTTCCGCATTCCCCTACCTTTTGATTGACCTCGCGAAGAAGTATTGATATGGAAATAAAGGCATAGGAGGAGTGTGTCGATACCTAAAGCCTCAGGGACTCTTTCAATCAATGAAATATTTCAACGATTTCCATCTTTGTATTTTGAAAGGAAGGGGGATACGGAGGATAGGAAATTTCCTCACTGTGTCTTTTCCAAGCTTCCCTTGAACAAGGTTCCCGTAGCCAACAAATTCTTGGACTGTTTGCTATCAATCCTGGCACAAGAGTCGTTGTTAACAAATCACCTGCAAGGTATCTGACCCTCCCTCGCTAGTGCCAAATAGGTGTATGTTGCTAAGGCATTTCTTTCTGTAGATAGCGTCTTCCGCATTCCCCTACCTTTTGATTGACCCCTTTCTCGCGTAAAAGCGATCAGAATTCAAACACGACGCGCTTTACTGTGAACAAACTCAGAGGCGGTTTCTTCTATCCTCCTCCCTCGAGGTGGAAGAATTCTAAACCCTGGCCAATCAAGAAAGACTAGAAGTTGCTGCCTAATCACTCCCGTCTTCAATGGGGTCTGCTCTTTCTTTTTTGGGAGAGTATGCCAATATGATCTTAATGAGGTGCGGGGCTTTGCATCTGCCTAATCTGTAGTCCACCCCAAAAAATCGATTGGTCAAAGTTTCCACGGAGGAGACGAACAGGACAGAGTAATAGATAGCGAATCACAACATAGGTTTGAGTCAACATCTGTTTGAGTGAAACGATCAGAAGCAACTACTAGTTGTTGCGAGGTAAGGGTCAATCCCACAAGCTACAGGTCGAATCAAGGTCTGTTTTCGGTCCGAACTTCTGAAGGCAATGGTAGGGCAAAAGAGGGAACGAGGCTTCCACGTAAAGACCAGAACGAGCAGCTTGAAATCCAGAGAAGAGGGGGGGGGGGGGGGGGGGGGGGGGAGAAAGAAGAGGACTTCAAACCTAATTCTTCCTAAATTTTCTATTTCAATAATTCAATAAATGGGTTCTTATCAGAATTATATATGAACAATGAGGAAGAACCACCTCTCCAACGCATAAATGGTTGGAGGTTCACATTCTCATCATCTTTGGTAAAATCAAGTCCACCGCGTAGACATTCATAAACCGCTCTACTCTTCTAGCCGAGCTAGTGCTTTACCTGAGATCTTCTGTCTCTATGCCTTCAAGACCGATTGAAAAGAGAGCTTTCTCCCCCCTTATCTGAGGAATTTTTTCTGCTTACTATTAATGTATCGAATTACCGGTTCCATTTCTTCCATGTATGTCGAGTTCCCAAAACGGGAGAAATGTTGCAAAGACCACTGACTGTCTCCCCCCCTGAGCGATGGCCTAACAGTGAAGAAGATGGTCATCCTTCTTGACTTATGGGCTCCGAGAGAGAGGTCTCTTTCTCAATTCCAATTCCCCGTTTGATGTTCTGGATTCCTCGTCGATTCTTCCCCTCGTTCCTTTTCTATTGGGCATCTCACTTGGAATGAAAAGCATGATTTTAGATCTTCTAATAAGGTACACCTCACAAGCAGCAGCTGGTTCAGGAATCCATTTACTAGCCTCACGGAGAAATTCAAAAATATGACCCTCAGGAGCAAGAGCGTGCCCCTTCATCGTTGACTTTATCTTTTCGAGAAGAACTAGATTTTCATTTCCTGCTCTTAGGCAGGCATCTCATTTGGAACTGAGGATTCACATTCATTGCACTTAAACAGCAGTTCGCTATTCATCTATTTGTTCTATTTCTTCCTTTAGGTCCCCTCCTTCCTAAGTCTAATCCATTTGTAGATGGAGCTTCAATAGCAGCTAGGTCTAGAGGGAAGTTATGAGCGTTACATTCGTGCATAACTTCCATACCAAGGTTAGCGCAGTTAATGATATCAGCCAAAGTATTAATTACACGGCCTGGAGATATCAGAAGTGAGAATGCTGACATGAGTAACGATCAATCCTGTGAAAAACATGATCGCCTGCCAGTGGAAGGTTTTCTGCGCGTCGAGCCCATGCGAAGGGTTTGGTTAAGATATGCCAAATTCCACCAAGTATACAAATGGAACCTAACCATAGAAAACTTTATCATCAAAATTGTAATTTTGCAGATTTCTATCCAAATAAAAGCAGTAACATCCGTAACTACTACAAAGGAAACCCAACCCATATGGCTATACAAGAGCTTTGTTTTCTGTCGAATTGTTCTGTAAATTATCGGATGACGGGAGTTTCTGCTGGTTTGCCTAGTTCCAGCTCAGATTCATATCCAGACCGCATCTTTGACAATTCAAGATAGAGCAATTAAGGCACGATTCAGGAACAAAGCCTTACAAACCATATGTAACAATAGATGGTTGAAACAAGTTTACCCATCAAAACAAGGGGAGTTACCAACTCTAATTTCAACTCTAGGGTTGATGCAAGATTGCAAAACCTTAACAGAATTAACTGGAAACATTAAAAAAGAACAGAACAGTAATACAGTTGTAGCTTCTCGCTTACAAATATCTCTTTTTTTTATTTTAAAGAATACCTAAAGAGGTATTCCTTCATCTTCAACCAATTGCTGGATTGCATTCTCCAAACAATTGTTAATCTCAAAACAAACTGACAACACAAACAAATCTCAAATGAAGTTTCGGATGTCCAGTGATTTCACATCAACCATCGGTTCGTCCTTAAATTCCTCCCTGAAAAATAAGAATGCGGCAATGTCAGTTTTTCAAGTATAAGAATTGCATGTACTCTATATAGACGATGTATGGGAACTGGGGTCGGAACTAGGGTCCATGGAGCAGGCTACTCTACTTTCAGATCAGTATGTTGCAAATACACCGACGACGCTATAAAATTTTAACATTTTTGTCCATACACAAATCATTGGAATAATTAATCTTCTTAGTTATCAGGCCCATCACAGCAACATGACCACTCCCTCCACAGACCACTTAAACAAGAGGCTCAAAGCTGAGATTTCAGAATTATCAATGATCTCCCTACGGCTGTAAAATAAACTGAGCTACTGAAGCTCAGCTTGTGTTCAGTTCATAAAAACTTTCTTTGAATTTGTTCGCTAGCCTTAATAGATCTAGACTTCAAATTTAAGCTCATTAGGGAGATGACCTCAGCTCAATCAAAAACTCCCTTCTCCCCAAATCAACAAGCAAAATGAAAAAGAAAAGCTCTTCTCCCATCTCCGAAGAAAAAAATAATTACCATTATCGACCCAAGAAAAAATACTCACCATTCCATATACTATTTCCATTAAAAAGTTAGCTGAGTCAGACACACACTGAGCCTTTTTTGTTGTTTACTAATGAAAATCATGAAATCAGATTAGACTTAGCTTATTCTTAAGAAATTTTCACCCAGACTCCTGAATGTTGATATTTGACCTTAACAAAATTATATTCCCAGCTTTTTCTCCCCTTTTGAGCGCTTTTATAAAATTTTACTTATCAAAAAAAAAAAAAAAAAATTATATTCCCAGCTTTTCAAATAAAATATTGCACGAGTCACAGAGAAATTTCTGCGCAATCACGTAAATGTCAGCCATATAAATTTAATAACCTATATGAATCTCTACAAAATTTCTATGGACTCTCAGGAATCCAATCATCAATGGGTAGAAATATTCTGAGGCATCACAAATACCAAAGACTCCAGGCATCTCTATTTTATAGGATACACAAAGGTTTACTTAAATGAATGAGTCAAGAATGAATGTGGTTTATAAGTGCAAGATGGTCAGCAAAATGTGTTTACCTTTTCTTTTGAGTTTCCATTGCCTCAAGAGCTTCCTTCTTCAGCTCCACTAATTGTGCTTTTGCAATTTTATCTTCCAACTGTTCTTCGTACTTGGGCAAATCTTCCCTCCGAACTCCAAGTCTGATAAACAAACAAACATGTTATCCTTTTTCTCTTAAATACATTCATGAAACCTGCATAACACCGTCTCCACATCTTGGATAACTTAAGAAGCAACTGTAGGGCAATTGAATACTACGATTAGAATGCATATGACAGAGAAAGTTAAACCATTCACCATTATTGAAGAAGGGAAAAGAACAAGCCAAGACATGCCTGGAATTTTTTATAAGCCAATCACATCAACCACATGGAGAATCTGTAATCCTAATGAAGAATTTATCAAATTTAACATGAACCAACATATAGATTCATCAACAAGATCTTTTCTTCTAACCCCAAAATGGAAACAGGAGGGTCAAGCGCGCGCGCGCACAGCGGAAAATCAGGAAAATAATGTTCTATCTTAAATCAAAATTTGAACACAGCCAGGATTGCCAAAGTGGTGACTAGAATGGTAACTAAGTAATCAAGTTTAAGCGTTCCATGTGTTAGTGTACTCAGATGTTTCAACAATCAGCTGTTAATTAACCATAATGGAACTAAAATTAAAACGCCCCTAAAGATGCATCCAGAACAATATAGTAGGAAGAATATTAAAGAAGGTGAATAGACCAAGTAACTACACCAATTGTAGTTTGAAAATCAAGGCTAATGCACACTTTAGAAGCTACATTCACAAACATTGCACCCAGAAAGTATGTCTGCTTACAACCACAAAATATGGTCAGTACCATTGGTTGACACTTAAGAATACTACCCCTTTCCGAAAAGAGAACTGCATACACATGAAAGTGCACACGAGCAGTCACGGAGCCAAAAATTTAGTTGAGAGGGGGCAAGCATTACAATAATATGATATGAAATTTTGAATTAAAATAATAAATAGCAAAAGGAGGAGTATTTTCTGAATTTTGATATTTAAAAATTTTGTGGGATCCGTTGGGAGGAGAAAAAACATGGGTATTTTCTGAATTTTGAAAATCTTGTTGGGCTAATGAGTTGGAAAATGAGGGGTCTTTTTGAATTTTGAAAGTTTTTCTAAGGGCTTTTGTGAATTCTTTGGAGTTCAGTGGGGGCACTTTAAGAATTATCAAAATTTGTGTATATTTAAATTACAAATGACAAAAAATTCCAGTGGGGAAAATTTCCCACGCTTGACCTAATGTGGCTCCGCCACCGCACACAAAAACATATTGACATTATTATGCAACTTATATAACAACAATAAACCATTACCCATAAAGTATTAGCATAATAGACATGCCCATATCTGTTATAGATGTTTCATAAGTAATAGGTTTATATGGAAACAACAGACATTTCTACTGTCTGCTACCTCTCTTTTGCATCAATCCACTTGCATAGAGTGCTCCATTAAAAGGATTGAGCACATCTGCTACAAATAAGAAAAACACATTCAATTTATGAAATCACGCTTACTTCTGATTTATCTTATCAAACTCTGACAAAAGAAGAGCCATTCCCTTCTTGTCATTACGCATGAGCGGCTTTTTGAGTTCTTTTTCAACTTTATCCAAAGCATCCATCATCATAGCCTCCGCACCAAGTTCATCAGTGAGGCCTCTCCTGAAAAACATAAATAAATGAATAACAAGGGGAATGCAAAATGCCAAATTAGTTGTCAACTGCAGCATTCACATTATTCTTTTTTTTTTTTGCCATTAGTAAGTACACCATTTACTATATAAAAGCAAGGACACAGCCCGAATGCAAATGCGAGGAAAATGAAGCCATTTACTACAATAAGCATTTACGTTATCCTGCATAAATGCAAACACCTGGATCATTGAAACGGGAAGCCACGTGTCCACCAAGGAAAATGACAAATCAAAATTTGCAAAAACCTCCCATCACAGATGAAAGATGGATCACCTTCACCAGATTCGGTAGTGGAGGACATAACCCTGAAACATGGAACCGTGTTGGGCTCAGCATTCACTCTCTTTTGTCTTCGAAAAGGATGTGCATTATATACGATTCACCAAAATCGCAGACAGAACTGCACGAAGTTCGAATGTCGAGAAAGACAAGAGTAGACACGATTTTCACTCGAGTGCCAAGGCCATCACCTTCAACCACCCATCTTAGCCATTAATGCTTCAAGAAACTTCATATCAACTTTCAGTGGATAGGGTCCAGGAAGTAGCCTTAAAACGCCACCTCTCCTCCTACTTCAACCCAATGCATATCTCATCACAGACACACTATGGTCCATGAAGGAGCCCATTCTGCTTTGACCACCAAGCCCACGGCCATAACCACCACAAGCTTTCATTACCGTGGTGACCAAACCACTCGTCTCCAACAATGGAGAGCCCAAAAAGCTGCAGGAAGGAAATGCAAAGCAAAATGTACGGCACATGCCTAGGCCCTACTGTCGCAACAAACTCCACACATCTCCACAACGAACCAAGCCAAGGTTATGACTTGCAACCGCAAACCTACGAGGCATAGCAGCTGCTCCTCAAGACCCAGGCATCCATGACCAACTGACCCAAAGGATTACATGTTTGAAAACCCTGCATCCTCTAAGACTTGGCTCAACAACACCCTCACAGCTCACAGTCATGACCATGCTCCTAGTCACTTAATCCCAATGACGGAGACGATAATGGAGTAGAGCCAGTGTGGTTTCCAGAGTCTTGTAAACTCAACACTGTGCGCTGGTCATGTCTGAAACCTTGCATGAAGATCATTTCAAAAGATTTCAATACCTTCCATGTACAGATCAATGAGGAAAGGAAAGGAGTAATGAAGAGAAAAGAGGATGGCCAGAGAAACGCCACTGGCTCATGGCGACTGAGTAGCAGAAAATAGTAGTGGGTCAATGAGCAAATGGATGGGAAGGGGGAAAAGAAGATTTGCAAAAACAGCCAGGGTAGCTTTCTCTCTTTAGAAGCAAGAAAGAGAAGTTCTCCTTCCCCACTATAACATCTAGTGCTTCCCCACTATAACATCGCTCCCTAATATATATATATATTTTTTTGATAAGTAAAAATAATATAAGAAAAGGCGTTCAAAAGGGGAACGCGTCCCAATTACAAGAGTGGGACCAGGACTAAGGCCCCAACGAATCCAAGAAAGTAATTAAATCATCCGAAGAAGAACAAAAACTTCTCTTCACATAATTGAAAAGAGAGCGAAGAATGTAAAGTTTGACCATTGCCGTAGGCGACTCTTCCCCTTCGAACATTCTGCTATTTCTCCCCTTCCAGATGCACCACCATACACAATGAGGTACAATTCTCCAGAAATCGCGAAATCTCTTCTCACCCAACATCCTCTCCAAACATGAATTAATTCCTTAGTAGATTGTGGCATAACCCAACACATGCCAAACAACCCAACAATAAGATTCCAACAATCGGTCGCTAGAGGGCAATGCAAAAGGAGGTGATCAACGGACTCTTCAATATCCTTGCATAGACAACACCGATTAACAATATAATTACCCCTTTTTCTCAAGTTATCAACTGTCAAAATCTTTCCCCTCATAGCAGTCCAAACAAAGAAAGCCACTCTAGTTGGAGCCATAGACCGCAAAATGGTTTTCCATGAGAATTCTTGATTAACAAAATTAGACAAACATAAGAACAAGGATCTAACTTCAAAACGACCGTGGGAAGAAGGAACCCAAATCAAAACATCATTATCTCTACCAACACCCTCCTGCCGATACAAGAGATCCAGAAAAACACACACCTCGTCCATCTCCCAGTCCTGAAGAGAGCGCCGAAAATGCACATCCCACGTAATCCCACTGCTATCAAGCCGATAACAATCAACTACGTAGGCGTGTTTATCAACAGCAATACTGAATAATCTAGGAAATGTACGAGAAAGTGGCTGATCCCCACACCAAAGATCATCCCAAAACCGAATACGACGACCATCACGGAGTTTAGATCTAATATGGGCAGAAAAAGCATCCCATCCCTTCCGAATAGCTTTCCGCATCCTGACTCCTCCCGCGAGGGTAACTGGACGTGTAGACCAACCTCCAGCCTCGTCCCCAAACCGACAAGATACTAGCCTGCGCCATGGACGATATCTTTCCCTACCATATCTCCATAACCATTTACCCAAGAAAGCTTGATTGAAAGGAACTAAACGTCTTATTCCAAGTCCACCCAATTTCACAAGCTTACAAACGTCCTCCCATTTGACAAGGTGGTACTTGAATTCATCGCCCTTTCCTCCCCATAGGAAATCCCGTTGAATTTTTTCAATCCTATCTGCAACGGAACAAGGAATTTGGAACATAGAAAGAAAATAAGTGGGAAGGCTCGATAACGTACTTTTGATAAGAGTAACTTTACCCCCCTTTGACAAGTATTGCTTCTTCCAACCTGCCAATCTCTTCGCATACCTATCAATCACGGAATCCCAACTCCCCTCTAACCTTGCAGAAACCCCTAGGGGTAAGCCCAAATAAGGAATAGGGAAAGAACTCACTCTGCATCCAAGGACTGCAGCTAAAGAGGAAATGTCCTGAACATTCCCTACTGGGACAAGCTCACTCTTAGCCACATTGACCTTAAGCCCGGAAACTGCCGAAAGCAAGTCAAGATACACCTCAAGTATCGAAGTTGAGACACATCAGTATCACATAAAACCAGGGTATCATCAGCAAAGAGTAAATGAGAAATCTCCATCTGATGGTCTAAATCTCTGCCCACCCTGAAACCTTTTATAAAACCAAGGTCTTCTACCCTACGCATAAGTCTGCTTAAGCCCTCCATAACAACAAGAAAAAGGAAAGATGACAAAGGGTCACCTTATCTTATACCCCGAGAGCAACCAAAGAAACCAGCGGGAGAACCATTCACAAGAACCAAAAACTGGACAGACGAAAGACAAGTCTCAATCCACTTCCTCCATTTACATCCAAACCCCATTCTTTGTAACAAATAGAGTAGGAAATTCCAATTCACATGGTCATACGCTTTCTCAATGTCAAGTTTGCATAAAACTCCAGGAATACGACTCCGCAATCTGGAATCTGCACATTCGCTAGCAACAAGAACTGAATCAAGAATTTGCCTACCGCCAACAAAAGCATTCTGGGAATCCGAGATGATCCCATCCATAACTTCCCTCATTCTTAAAGCAAGCACCTTAGCAATAAGTTTGTAAATACAGCCCACCAAACTGATTGGACGGAAATCCTTGATATCTGAAGCGCCTCCCTTCTTTGGGATAAGGGCAATGAAAGAAGCATTAAGCGACTTCTCAAAGACGCCAAAAGAATGAAACTCCTGAAAAGTACTCATTACCTCATTTCTTACAACTGCCCAACTTTCCATCAAAAATCGCATAGTAAAGCCATCAGGTCCCGGAGCTTTGTCCCCATTACAACTTGATAAAGCCTTAAGAACTTCCTCTTCAGTGAAAGGATTCTCAATCCTATCTCTTTCAAGCTCAGAGATAGCCTCAAAATGAAGACCATCAAGTTTGGGCCTCCAAACTAAAGGCTCGGTATAAAGCTTCTGATAAAAGGAGGCAATACCATTACGCACCTCTTCCTCTCTCCACAACTCCTCACCATCCACCCGAATTCTTCCTATATGGTTGCTCCTCCTATGAGCATTAGCAAGCCGGTGGAAGAATTTTGTGTTTCGATCACCTTCCTTTAGCCAAATAGCCCGAGATTTTTGTCGCCACGAGATCTCCTCCATACTTGCAATCTCAGCGAAATCCACCTGACAAGAGACTCTCCTGGAACGTAAAAATTCCATATCCCCTCCTGCCTCTTCAAGACGATCGATCTCAGAAAAATCAGCAAGAACTCTATTCTTTCTCCATTCCAGATTCCCAAAGACATCCTTGTTCCACTGCTTAAGAGCAAATTTGAGAGCCCTTAACTTCTTTGTAATTACAAAGCTGGGCGATCCCGAACAGTAACTTCCTCCCACCAAGATCTGACTTTCCCTTGGAAATCTTCCGCTCGCAGCCACATATTCTCAAATCTAAACGGGGATCTTTGAGAACATAAACCACCACAATCTAAGACCAAAGGAACATGATCAGAGGTAACCCTTGCTAACACTGCCTGAACAACATCTGGGAATTTCTCTTCCCAATCCCCTGAAATTAAAAATCTGTCCAGCCTTGAAAGAGTGATTGGATCCCTACCATTTGACCAAGTAAAGGCTGCACCTTCCATTGGTAGATCAATAAGAATATGCTCATCAATAAAATCAGAAAATTGGTCCATTTCCAGGGATCTTCTACCCCCTGTAGACCTCTCTGACGGGGATCTAACAGCATTGAAATCTCCTCCCAAACACCAAGGGAGAGAACACAATCCTTGGACATGGCGAAGCTCCTCCCAAAAGATAGGTCGCTCATCATCAACAACCAGGCCATAGACACCAGTAAAAACCCATTCGAAGTTGTCCTCTTCCAACTTAAACACACAGGATGCAGAAAATCTCCCCATCCAGGCCTCCTTTCGAGTTAACCATCTACTATCCCACATGACTAGGATCCCACCCGAGGAACCTATAGCATCCAAAGCCTCCCATTCCACAAACCTTCCTCCCCACAAGCTCTTAACCACCCTATCAGAAATGGATGCCAACTTGGTTTCTTGTAAGCAAACAAGCTGGGCACCCCACTTCCTTAAAGCTACCTTCACTACCCTTCTCTTGTTCGGATCATTGAGACCGCGAACATTCCATGAGATAATTCGTAGCTTCATTGTAAACCAGATAAAATAATCTCCCCCCCACCCTTCCTGAGACTCCTACTCCTGGTTCTTCCCCTTTCCTTCGCCACTCCTCCTTTCCCTTCGTAGTTAACTTCAGAGATGAGATTCTTTATCTCCTATACTCCTTTCCAAGACGATAAAGGCTTCGCGTTCATAACCTCATTGGTAACTGCAACTTCTCTCCCTTCTACAATTGCTTGAAGGATAGATAATGTCTGAACGTCATTACCTTCTGAAGAGACTCCCAAAAGCTCACTAGTTACTCCAATATTGTCAACTACCCAATCTTTCCCCATATCAGCAATATGTTCATCCGGTCGCACCGTAGCCAATGGTACCTCCTATAGGATTTCAGAACTATTCTCCACCCAAGGTGCTCATTGGAGCAAACCTGTTGGATAGACCCCAAATCATCACGCACCTCCTCATCCACCTCCCTGTCATTCTAATAAAAGGAATTAGTGTCTGTAACAAAAGGGCCTATTCCAGCGAAGCTACCAGAATCAGTCTCGTCAACCCCTGTATTAAGACCTTTCAGGGCTACATTTAATCGAAGCTCTTTGATCAAAGCTGCTGCTTCCTCATTGGACAACTGAAAATGCAAATCTCTGCCCACACAGACTGTAACCCCTTCAGATAATTTCTTAACAGCACAATCTGCAATTATCATCTGTTTAGAAATGCCAAACTCACTATCTTTCCGTCCCTCCGTATTCAACCCATGCGAAGAAACAGTTCCATTATTCGTGACAATCAATTCGCACCTCTTCTCCTAATCCGGCACAACACCGGCGCTCCTCATTGTACAAGAAGGGGTAGAAGAAGAGGATGGATCATTAAGATTCTGAGGATGTGAAACTGAATGCGTACCTGGAGCAATAGTAAGAATCCACTTTTGCTTCTCTTTTCGAGACCATCTAACACCGAGATTTCTGTTAATGTCCCGAAACGAAGACCTGACGGTACTTCCTTTTGGCTGTAAAGAAACAGAGAGAGATGAAGATGATAAACCTGCACAGCATTGAGGGTGGCGAAAACCTTTCTCAATAGGACCTCCACCAGTCGCCGCAGCAGAAAAGTTCATCCATCTCCTTTTCTCCGGTGAACTCCAGAAGATTGTAGAAGGATCGTCAAAACGACGCCTCTGTAATTGGCTAACACCTTTAGAAATAGGTGGGCTGGGCTTGGAATTGATGAGAGAGACAATGATTTTATTATTGGGCCCCTTCAAAACCTTTATGTTCAAATTATTCACATTTGGTCCAGATCGTGAATTGGAACTGGGCTGTGGGTTGGGCTTGTTCTTAAAATAAAGAGGCCCCCGATTAACAGCCCTTTGCGTCACCTGTGGTCTATGATGAGCGATCTGCCCGATTGGCAAGAGAGGCCCGTAACCCGCTTCAGAACTGCATTTAGGCCCATTAGTAACAGCATCGTAAATATCTCCCTTAAGGCCACACGTGGTTGATATCCGTTAGCGCGGATTTTACGAGGGAACGTAAGGTGGTGACTAAGGGCATGATTGATGGACCTGCGACGCGCATCAGGCACGTGAAAGGGCAATCGCCACTTTCCTTCGGCACCGCGGAAGATCTGTGCATTCCGGTGTCCATTTTTAGTTGCAGCGGCCGAGATATTTGAGCTTTCCTCAACACCATAGTAAGATTTCGGTAGAATACGAGGTGTGATTTCTTCTATTAAGTTGACCCTGTAAGCAACTCGTTGATCCTCGACAAAAACGTACTCCGGCATCGATTTTCCGGCGGAAACATAGAGAAGAATTCGCAGTCCACACGGCGAGACGTCCGCCTCTACACCTCGAAACCCACCACACAAGTTTCCAATTGCTTCAAATAACTTGTTGCACCAGAGATGTAGCGGTAAACCAAACAAAACCACCCTTCGTATAACTCATTCTTTAACAGCAGAACAGCCGACGGCGAAGTACCAAATGTCGATGGATAATAAAGCTTCGCCCCACCTCTTTCTCCCTTCATCCAAAACTCGTAAGGCTTCATTCTCCGATGGAAACCTGAATAGGAGTAGATCATCAGGTAATGGAGACACTTTCACCCCACATGAAACCTTCCAAGTTTTTGAGGCCCATGCCTCAATCCCTTCAAGGCAGCCCACGTCTCTGTCGAATCGACCTACCAGACATGATCGCAATACAGATTCACGCTCCTGGATGCTATGATGATCAACCCTGAAGACCAGATCATGGCCTATAGAGCAACTTTTAATTTGCCCGTGGAAATTAAGGCGTGGTAGGGTCGCAACAGAAAGATAGGAACGATGCATATCACGAATCCTTTCCGAAAAACAGACATAAACGACCGACGCCGGAGTAGAAGACTCCATCGTCAAAAAGAGAAGAGAGAGAAGTCAAACATAAGTCAACCGTTAAACTTTTACACACTTCCTAGTTTTCAGATTTATACAAAGAAAAATGAGTACATGACATGGTGGAATTTCGTAGAAACTATAGAGACTAATCACAATAAAGTAGAAATAGTGATAGAAAAGTACCGAAATAAATAGGTAAATCATTGCTACTAGGCTCCCTAACATATAACATTTAAATGATTATGTAGTGAGCTATGAACAATCTTAACAATAGTTAACCAGGAAGATTTTAACAGGCTCCTAAGTCACAACCACATGCAAAAAGAAGAATATTGACACTCCAAATTCTTATTTGATGAGAAAAATTGGTTAAGAACACATCAGATGAGACAGCTGATTGGACATAGTCATCATGAAAAGCCATAATAGAAAATGAAAATTGCATGTCTGTAATATTCAAAGTATAAGCAGGCAAGGCAGTAGGCAAGGTGGGAAAAAAATGTCTAGACGGTACAAACAAATGCCATGGCAGGGTGATATGAGCTTCTATTTAATAATTGGTGCAAGTGGTGGAAGAACAGAATGGAACATACTTGATCCGTATCTCCTTCAACGTCAAGAGGTATGTCCGAGCATCTGGAATACCTTGTGTTCGTGTTTGAATGGTGTATTGAATTCGTTGAGATTCCGAGAACAATTGTGCCCTGAAAAGTTTGCAGTTGCACAATAGGCAATGCATCATAATTTGAACAGAGAGATGCAAGTACACTTACATGTGAATCCAACATAAAGAAAACCATGTGTAGTACTGTAGTCTCATCCACGTGACATGTCTATATTGTGGACAAATATTTGATGACAATATAAAAGGGCAAGCAGCAAGTTGATGAATGGTGAAACAAATGCATAGTAAAGAAGTAACCTACCAGCCACAATTTACAAATATGAATTATTAAATCTATGTTAAAATTCAAGGAATTGTGTAAATGTGTGATTGGCTCTAGTCCAAAGGGAGCTAATAAATTGGATGATTACCATAAATGTCCTTGCAGACTCACTCTTGTCGATCAAAATTATCTATGGTTTACGAGAAATATGTGCGCTATACATGATAGATTCACACAGCTTCCAGAAATAAGTAAAAGTTTATCAATGGTGGTGTGAACATAAAATCTATACAAGTATCTATAAGTGATTAAATATGTACACACCCCTTCTGCTTCCTTTAACCACGGTGAAATGTAATTAATATCAATCATGTGGACCACTAAAAGCTCAATCAATGAAAATCCTATCCATCGAATTAAATGCCACAATACTACAGTACAGTCAAGGTTGGGGTATAGCAGCGTACAGAGTACAATAAATGGATATTTCACAAAATCTATCATGGCAGTAAATTTTTTCTTCAAGCAAGCAAATCCTGTGACCAACCGATAAAAATATTTTTATCTATTCAGGCCATTTGTTGATGATTTTTTTAAAACTAATTTGCCACATTTTTTAAAACTTTTAAGAAGTATATTGTGGATTTGATAACACCTAAAAATGGGAAGCTGTGGGTATATTTTAGATATAATTTTCATTACCAGAATCAAGTTTAGAGCTGGCAAATCATTTATATCTAGTCAAAGATCCTACAATAGACAAAAAAAAATTTCCCTAAGAAAAACCTAACATATGTCCTAACTCCACTAAAGAGAAGCAATTTTCATTGTTAAACTTGATGGATCTCTGAAAGTGTGAAGGTAACCAATACACGGAGTTTCCTAATTTGAGAATGAGACAGTAGACCAAAAAAATAGTGGAAAAGATAGTTGATGGCAAATTCTCCTACAAAAACAACGAATACAATATACCCAAAAGAAAAGGCATGTCTCTCCCTCTCTCTCTCTCTCACGCACGCGCACACACCTAACCTATCACATATCTCTTCCCTACAATCCACCCCAAGAAACATTAGACACCATTCCCTAATTATACCAAAAAGATTAAAAACTTAAATACCATATTGATTCAGCAAGAAATCAGTAAACAATACCATATACCTCATCTAAAGCCATCTAAAAATCAGCAATCTAACACCAAACATCTTCTAACTTCAAAATAAAAGATAAAATTCCCTCTTTATAGATGGAGTGACATAAACTAATATCGGAACAAATTCAAAATTCCCAAATCGTTAAAGAATTCTTAAATATTTGGGAAGGCCTCTCTTTAGTAGCATATGCAATTGTGGAGGCTTCAGATTTGTATAAATATATAAAATAAAAGAAAAATAAAAAATCTTGTACCTACCAAAGAAACATAATAAATATGAATAAATTCATAGAATATAAAAAGACTATCTATATCAAGGCCAAGACTTTTTGAGATGGTCCAAGGTGGGCCTGCAAAATTTTAAAGCCAAGCTCAAATTAGACCCTGATCTCAAACCAAGCCCCAACCCGAGCCAAGGCTTGCTGCAAAAATGAGGCTAATGTTCAACATAGGGTGTGAAGCTCCTTATTTCTTGGGCCCAATTTGCCTAGTATTCATATGGAGCAGGTGAGGCTCGGAGTGGACCACCCATGCTTACATCTATTTACACATATTTAGTAATAAAGAGAAGAAGCCTATCAACATCTTTTTAATCCTTGACCATTTGGAAATGAAGAATTCAACTCAAATTTTTACTTACTGCTTAAACCACTAAAAAGGAAGTTTACTTTCCCATTTAAAATGGGTGGAATAGAACTTCATGGGTTAAAATAAATTTCATGTTTAAGATATACTAATTGGTTTAAACTTAGAAATTGGCCTTTAATTGAGTTTAATGCACTGGAGCTAACCTTCAAACCAACCCAGGCCTGGTCCATGAGCGACCTTATTTGTTGCTTATACTTTTTGGATATATAAGGCTTCAAGCCAAAACATGCTTAGCTAACCAGAGTCTTTCAAGGCTCAGCAAATTAAGTGGAAGGGTAAACCGGCTAAGCATATGCTTCAGAAACTCAGTGAGGTGAAGGTACTTGTGAAACCCTTCTCCACACTTGTCCAAGTCCACAAACTCCTTCGATCAGTACTTACTCGAGAATGGGACTTCCTTCCCTCCTTCCTATGCCAAAACCTTTATTTCCAACCACTTGTGACACCTTACAGTTCTGTTTTCTCTCTCTTTTTTTTTTTTCTTTTTTTTTTTTTTTCACTATCCTGAAAATTGCAGTCATTTGCAATTATATAAACAGCACACTCGCCTACATGGTGAAATTAGAAAGGGAAACTAATTGAGCTTGAAGACAATCATTAATTGGTATATGGTAACACATGCGCGCTCAAGTAACAACCAGCATAAGCAATTGTTCAAGCTGAAATCACAAAAAGACACTCCAAAGGTAATAACTAATTATATATTTAAAAAATCAATGAAGACAACAGAATGAAGAAAAAATAAAACATAGAAAAACTTACTTTTCTCTAACAGTCTTCATGACCTTTGCATACTGCTCTACTGCAGCAGGGTCATCAGGGTCAATGGTGATCTTTTCCTTTTTAAGTATCCCCAGGGCAGTCTCAAATTTCGTCTTAATCTCCAAGAAAATGTTCTTCAACATCTCTTCTCAGCACAAATGCAGGTCATTTGTCAGATATACTTACTCAATTCCCCAATCATTATAAATTAAACCATATACAATAATTGCGAAAAACATATACCGACTTTCTTCAACAATAGATCTCATATTCATTTAAACATTAACAATATTGATAAATTTTCACAGAATGCAACCAAAGATATTCAAATCGGTAAAAGTGAATTTAAGGTATCATTCATTGGATGCATGTTTTGTTTGCAACAATAAATTGTTAAATGCAATAGCACCGTGTCCGATATGGTAAAAACACACGTCACAGACAAATGCATTATTTGATTTCACTTCATCAGTCTTCTATGTTATAGTGGGCAAGATAGTTCCACCATGTCCATTGATAAAAACACGTGTTTAATTTTTAGCCAACCACCACACTGAGTTCAATATTAACAATGGGTAAATTGCAGAAAATCCCCTGAACTATAACAAATTTGCAAATGGATCCATTGAAGCAACTAACCCCCTAAACTATCATAAACTTACAATTAAGGCCAACTTGTCCGGTTGCCGTTATCATGTGTGTTAAATGACATTTTTACCCTCTACGAAAGATGAACAATGATATACATTGTAAAGTTTCAAAATAACCCCGAATGACTATCTTAAATAAATAAAAACTGTAGGAATTTTATTTTTTTTACCAGATTCAACCAAAGACTCTGTTGGCATTATAGCTGCTAAAGATTTTGAAGATGGTGTTGACATATATGACCAGAAAATCAGGTTCTAAAGGATCGGAGACCACAAAAGCCAAAGTTACCATTGGGTAAAAGAAATTGCCTGGCTTCAATGGAAGCCCAGCAGCCCGCCATCAATATCCTCCTCCTCCTCCTCCTACTCCTCCTCCTCCACCTCTGCAGTTTGGCCTAATCCCATAGTTATGCAACTCTTCTTTTTATCTCCTTGCATGCCCAAGCCTACAAATCGCTCTCTCTGTTTCTCTCTCTATATATGTGTCACACATACATATGTCTATATACATATCTCTAGTCTCTTCACAAAGTGATGGACACGGAGTAACAACAGTACTTTACGCTATTGGATGGAAGTGGGCAATGAAAATGCTCCAATTAAAAGTTGGGTGCACGCGTGTCTGTTTGCACGCGTGTGTGCATGCACACATATACATGATTAAAATATACGTCATAGAAACCCCAAATTGAAACTTGAAACAGAGTATTGAAGTATATTTAAGAGTAAATCAGCATATGTGATTAAATATAATTAATGAAATACAATTAGGTTGTGAAAATCAAATGGAAATTCTTCTGATCATAAGGCTTTCTGTTTGATTTACAGATTTGATACACTGCTCTACCTCATCATATTCAGTATTAAAATTTTCATCTTCAAGATCATTATCTTCCTCATCCTCATTCACCCTTCGACTCCCTTTTGCGCCTCTCACCTTCTGCACTACAATTACATATACAGATATAGATGTAGATACACATATATTGTTTGTGTTGTTATATGGATCAAACTAATAACCCATTTCCTGTACACATTTACAAATGGGTTGGTTATGAATAAAAGATTACCAAGGGGTTTTTTTTCTCAATAAAAGGGAATTCTAGTAATTTCATAACTGAAAATGTCCAGTGCTCGGCATGTGATCGCTATTTTGTCCATTTTCTAATGGTGCACAAACGACAAGGGAGTGAATTGCTAGCTTTGAGGAAAATTGAAACAGTTTTTTGCTAAAATGATAGTTCGCGCGGGGGGGGGGGGGGGGGGGGGGGGGGGGGTTGTTGTTTTGCAATTTACAATTTGACATAAAACAAACATATATGTGCATACTGCATAAATAAATGACAGACTTTTAGGTCATCTGCATAGTACAACAAATATACAACCACAAATGTGTAGCATGTGAAGTGCAATCACCCAAGAAAACAAACAGAAAGTAGAGAATGCATATAGGTGACATGCAACTAGGCCTACTTATGCATGATATCATTGAGAGAGAAGTGTATATTTAAGATATGAAATGCTTGATGAATGATGATGCAAAAAAGGAGGGAAGGGAAAGAAGAAAAGAAAAGGAAACAATGAATGAATGAAATATAACTTTACAGATTCACTAACCATCTCCCTTAAGAACTGGGCGAGCAGCTTCTTTAGCAAAGGAACGGATAGGAACAGCATGCTCCCGTTGCAAAAGAAACTGGCCAGCATGCAACTGTATAACCACAAGAAATGAAATAAACATACAGAACCATGAACAGGACATATAAGAAAACTGCTTAAAAATACAAAAATACGACTTACGTGTAACAAGGAAAAAAAAAAAAGTAGTTTCCAAATGTTGAATCATGACAATGAATGCCTTAAAATTCGGTTGGCAACCGAAAGAGAGCATGGTTTTACATTTGCAATTGTGCAGAATTCTTCTACTCTATCTTTCTCCTCCTCCTTGGAAACGAATACAACTTTGTTCGGATTGTTAAATATAGGAATGATTTGGAAACAGAATTTTGCGAAGTCCAGTTTTAGTTATTTGGCTGTTTTGGCAAATTTATCCAAATTTTAAGTAACGAATGTCCACCTAAATCAACTTAACTAATGTTGTCCCAATTGGGTTTGTCTATTAATTTGTCATTCCACACCAACTAGAGCCATAATATCATGTAAAACCATAAGTCAATCTGAGCATTATAACAATTTAAATATTAACGCAGTGTACTCTGGAATTTCAATTTATCTTAACCAAATTGGCAATTTGTCTTTTAATCAAACTTTTCCCCAATAAAATTAACGGTGCCTTTTAATCTCGATATTTTATTTTATTTTATTTTCCGAACATATTATGATCTTATCTTCCAAATGAAAGATGAACAAAACGTATTGCTAGTATGAAGTACTCTACATTGCTATAATTTTCTAAGAGTTTTCTGTTTTCTTCTCTCGTTCCCATCAAAACCTAAAGAGGTGCATAGAATCACTTTAAAAGCTTACTCTATAGCTTAGAACAATATATTTTCTTTTTCTTTTCTTCTTTTCCGGAAGGTAAGGCTTAGAACAATATAGAGCCCCGAACACAGGAAATTCCAATTGAAAAGGTATGTCTGTATTTTAATATCAAAATTGGTGTACTAGGGCACCATATTGTCACCCAAAATGACACAACATTTTTTTTTTTTTCATTTCATTTTGGGTAAGGTAAACTGAACCAAAATATTGAAGCATCGAAACCAAAAAATTGCCACTGCGTAATGGTTTCACATCCTCTAAACAATTTCTAATCTTATGAACACCATCATTTCCTTAAGTCAATTAAAAATAAAAACAAATAAAAAAATAAAAAAACAAACCACATTACTAAGATCAACAGATTACAATCACGGGATTTAGACGCAATATACATATATAGACATAAACACAAGTTGCATCGCCCAAATTATCACATCTTATCTGCTATATAGGAAGATGGCAGATCAGACGTTTAATTCTGAAGTCAATGAATGTGATCATAAATCCAGTGCAGAATCCAAACCACATAAACTAGAACTCAATACAGGCACATATATATATATATAAGTAAAAACGAGCGTACCTGTCTGGACTTGGACAAGAGGCGAGTAGAGAAGGACATGATCAGAGCTAATTTTTCGTCGTCGTCTTCTTTCTTCTTCGAGCAGTTTTGCTGGTTAGGGTTTGGGCCAGATATAAGCTCCCTCTCTCTATATCGTGTTGTTACAATGTTACTGCGCGAGTGAGTGATGATGAAGTGGTCCTCAGTACGTTTACCTGAGATCTGGACCGTCGGATGATCCCTCCTCTGATATATCATTGTGTGATTTCAAATCAACGGTCGTGAGCTCCAAAATGTGGAAAACCTTCCGTCTAGATCCGATAGGTCGGGAGGAATTAAATTACCAGAGTGCCCCTCTTTCATGAAAATTTAATACGGAGTACTTGGACCAACGACATCATGTGAATTTTTTTTTTATTTTTTATTTTTATTTTCTTTTTTGGAGAATTGACACGGTGTGAATTGCGGCAAACTTTCCCTTTTTCCTTTTAATTGAAGCAAATTTGTATAAATTACTTTTTGGATTAAAATTTGTCCTCCTCAACTATTAAAAATTCCTAAAATATCAAAAAAAAAAAATCATTTTTGTAATTGAAACTTATATATCACAAGGGCTTTTTATCAATTAACCCCAAATAGGAAACTTTAAATCCCGTGGTATGATCCTTATACATAATTTTCATCATTTCAAGTAATTGAATAAATTAATCTTACGACATTGTGTCTTTTGATAGACTTTAAATTTGACTTTTATTCAAAGATATGGACATTTCTCTCTCTTTCCTTGAATTTCATTTTCTTTCTTTTTCAAATATTTCCGTTGACATTGACAGACGGAAATTATGCATCTTTGAGATAATTTAGTTTGGGAGATGCTAATCCGGGCTGCAATGAAGTTTTCTGAGCTAGGGTCGGTGAAGTTGTGAAGCTGGGTTACAGATTTTTTCTTGGTTTAGAACCATCTGTAGTGCCTTGACGATACAATGCACTTAGGATAGACATCACCTCACAATGGTAGGATTCACATGCCCATAAAGTCCACACCTCCAATGAAATTATCTCCACGCTCTTCTCATGCACTAGAGAGGATCTAAATTTCAAATTTACTTGAGCATGAACTTGTCAAATACACTTGAGCATGAACTCGAACTCGAACACATCCTTGCATGAGCATGACATCCACCAATTGGTTCCATCATTTACAACGGAACTACCAGCACATGATGAAGAAGACTGAAGACCTAAGGTTAGAGAGTTCCACAAATATGATGAGTCATATAAAATTTGAACACAGTAACTGGGAAGAATGTTTAGAGAGCCGTGAGGGATAAAGTTATAATGGCACTGGTGCCCCTGCAAAGAGTAGGCCTCAATTGTCATAAACTTGACGAGTTGAAATTCTTCTCGATTATTAGTCGGGCTAAATCCCCGAACACCCCAGTTATTGAAAAAAATTCTTCTCGAGGGACCAATGCATTCACTAGAACTTAGAATTAGGTCACAATTAGCTCACATAGTAGATAAAGATGGGAAAGTCCCCCAACACGGTATGGCATGTATAATTTTGACCAAGCACTGCACCTGTATCATAAAGTGATTTAACCTGAGCTGCAAAGCCCACACAACAGAAGAGACAGACAAAGGATAGCGCTATGAAAGAGAGAATGGTTTGCCCATAATATGGCAACCACATAAAAGGCACGAAGACCACTGGCTTCAAAGGCAGTTGAAAGCACAATAGCTCCAGAAATTACTTTCAATGTCAAAGACAAAAATAAGAAAAAAAGAATTTGAGATAAACATCTCAAAGTTTTAAATTAAGGGTTTCTAGGTATTAGGTACTCCCGAAACACAACTTATCGATGCCAAAATTGTAATTTAGAACTTTAGATGTGTAGTATTCCAGAATAGATTGATCTAGAAGCATTGCCTGGATTATGAGCCCATATTCCTGTTGCATCTTACCATTATATAGATGCAATAGTATGAACTTAAATGAGCTTGGGGGAAGCATGATGGCATGCAGAAACACATTCCAAGATTTCAGAAACAATGACTTAATGATTCTCAACCAAACAGTTCATTACAATATCAAATAGACTAGGTTTTTCTTATGACAAATTAATTCTATGCGTAATTTTCCATGTACAAGTTTTCACATCTCAGCTGCAAATGATTTACCACAGCCACAAGTTTGCGTTGCATTCGGGTTTTTGAAAGAGAAGCCTCCACCAATAAGTGCATCACTGAAGTCCAACTGCATCCCATAAACGAATAGAAGACTCTTTGGATCACAAACTGCAGAAACAAGTAAAAAGAAAATGATATAAGACCAATTGGCATAGAATTATTACTTTAGATGGTGCAACTAGTAGCTCTTCTAGTATTTTACATGACCAGATGCATTTACGTTTTGGCATTTATACAGCAAAAAGATGAAACAAAAAAGTAAGCTACAGCATGACCTACTTCTTTCAAATGCCAGTTGTCCTAACACCTAACTATAATTATAAGTATTAAACCTGAACCATGGGTTGGGTCATTATTGGGCCAGTTGAACTTTGCATGCCAAGCAAACTTGCACAGTCAACCCAATCCAAACTTAAAGCCAAGAGATTTTGGATCAGTAATTGCATGCTATAGCCCCTTCAGTTCATTGTCAGTGGTGATTGTCTAAGGGTTGAGTTTAATAGATGTTTTAAGTACCCTTATAGGGTAAACCTAAGCAAGTTTCGGCCCAGGGTAGGAGACGTCAGATTTTCCTCCCCTAACCTCAACTCAAAACAAGCTACTTAAATGTGAGATGCTATATTAATAAAATAATCAAGTCACTCTAACCAAGTTTGAATTGAGAGACGATATAGATATATATATATATAATATCAAGAACTCTTCCAAGTGAAGTAACTTCAAGTTCTTGTGATCAATAATCTAGAAGAGTTGATTTGAGATCAACTCAAAAAAGCTTCAGTCCAGTTACTTTCTTTTCTTTGATAAGTTGAGTCCCGTGACTTTCTTGAAACAGTGTACCCTCTCGCATAATTATAATATCTATATCATTTCTACTTGTTCAAGCTGACACATTTCACTGGGAATGAAAAGCAAGGCAAAGCGATCCCTCATTTATGTTGTCTTATATTTGGCTGGTTCCATGTGTTTGTCATACCAAGGTTTAAAGAGATTTGCACTGAATCAAGCGAACTCTTCTGGTTGATTTTTTTGTTGTTTTGATTTTTTTTTTTTTTTTTTTCTTTTTGGGCAGGGGGCAGTACTGTAATTCAACCACAGAATAGAAATACATGATGTAGAAACAGTATCATCCCTAACAGACATAACAAACTACCCTTCAACCACAAGCACACTTTTCTGGTTGATCTCTTCCTTTTGGTTGTTCAGTTCTACCCAGACTACCCTGACAGACAACAGATTCAGGGAAAATTTGGCCATCATTTTTGGACTGCTTAAATGAATTCATTTTTGAACTCCTTCCATGTTTGACTACAATTTGTGCTGCTGCTCTATTTCTTCATTTTATTTTTTTTTTTATTTTTTTTTTGCCAACCTCCTGTTATTTAAATTCTTTTGTAGCAATTTGTACATTGAATGGAATCATGAATTTCTGAAAATAGTTCTTACCACTGATTGATGCAGATGCAGCAGTGGAAGGAAAGGAAGAAGAATAGGATAGAAGAGCAGGTAATAGAAAGTGTAGGGTTGATTTCCTTATCAAGGCATCTTTGAGCCTCCTGATTTACCAGGAGGTGTACCTACATGTGGACTTGTAGCATCTTCAGCACTAGTACATGTTCATCCACCATTTCAACCACATAGTGTAGACCAGATGAAGATGGGACCTATGCGCAAACAGGAACAAGGGTTCTTGGAAGTTGTTTTTAGGGTTCTAATTATTTGGTACCACTGATTTTTTTGCTAGTATTTATCTTTACCTGTTGCCTATTTTATTTTTAGTGTTCTAATTATTTGGTACCACTGATCTACCTGTGTATGGAATAATCGTCATTCCTTTAGGAGATTAATAAGAATTGCAGATTTCTTCTTCTTCTTTAGGAGATTAATAAGAAGTGCAGATTTCTTCTTCTTAATCATCATTACTTTAGGAGATTAATAAGAATTGTGGATTTCTTCTTCTTCTCAGCAGCAGACATGACACAGCCTCTACTAAAATTAAAAATTCATGCAGATGTTATTCTAACATGCTTCTTATTTCCTAGTCTGACCAGCTTAGTGTTAATGCAAATCAATCAATTGGGTGATCATTCCCTTCTTAATGCACAATTAGTTTCCACACTAATTCCATTCAACCGCAATAACATAAAATCTTTAAGAACCTGTTTTCATCTAAATATTTTGCATAACCATACCTACAACCAAATTATGAAACTTAATACATCTAAAAGCACATCAAACAATCCCTAATCGCTACTATAAAATTTTATTTAAGGATTACCACCCAAAAAGACTCGAATTTGTACTCCAGATTTATTCAAAGAAAGGTCAGGAACACAAGTGTGGGCCATTGGCTGGGGATTTGGTTTCATAGTAAGATATTAGCAAGAAAAAAATGTTGCCAAATAGGTTATATTCAAAAGGCAGTTGCGATGGATTCTGACGGGTAAGTTAGCGTATTTGCCTCGTGTTCAGATTTACTGTGTAAAGACTTTTCTCTTCCTCAAAAGGTTTTATCTTGGAAATGTTACATTGGAAAATGATGCTTGGTTATCGTCAACAATGCCAAGTTTACTCTTTAGAATCCCTATTGTTCAATGAGCTATGTCAGGTCCTTAGGGAAATTCCAAAACAAAATTCTCAAACAGAAACCTATTAGCAGACTTGAAATGGTTACTTGTACATTGTTTTGTTTGGTTCAATTTCAATTTTTCACGTCTCACACTCTCACTTACCTGGATTGTTAGATAGGAGGTATCTACAAGGTCTTGACTCAACCTGAATATACGTAGTAAAACAAATGATGGGAGAATTGTCATCAAGAAACACATAGGAATTTGGTTGCTCTAATATCAGTTTATGTTACTCGAGAACATTAAACAATAAAGAAACAAGAACATAAAGCCTACCAATCACAAAACCATTGTATTCGATGATGGAATCATCTGGTCTGGCGTTTTTTCTGTTCTCAAACTCCATTGTGTAGGACATACCAGAGCATCCACCCTGTTTAACACCAATTCTTAAACATAAATCTTCATTCTTCTCAGATCTCATCTTATTCAAATGCTTCAGTGCATTATCCGTCACAGAAATTGCAGGCGCAAGACCCCCTGATGTTGGTGGTGCTGAAACATACAACTAATTTATTAATTTATTCATTTAGCAGGAGAACATAATCCATTAAAGGCACCAAATAGGGCTTGACATAAGGAGATTTGTACAACTACAAGTCTACAATCATATAATAGTTCAAGAAAAATTATAAACCATCAATAACATATCAAAAAGTACTACATCAATTGTATTAATTAGTAAATTTCATGACAATTACAAATTATTTCAGGTTAAAACTTCAACTTTTCAAGCATTTGGTATATTATTGTGCCGGGAAGAAAAATTGAAGGCAAATACTTGTTATCCGCAAAATTCAGGTCATTATAATGTAATTTATTAAAATGATTTAATCATTAAATCATTCTAATGAGAAAACAATGAATCCCACGAGAAGAGAGAGAGAGAGAGGAAAAAGGAAAGAAAAAAAAGAGAAAGGCCTAAATTTATCCATGTAGCCTCCATATTAAATCATAATGATTGAAATGAATATATCAAGGCCATTGCTCGGTGGAAGGGTAGAAGCTCGGTATGAAAAAAGTGAGAACAAATATGCATATTCAAGCCTAAGAAAGCCACTTTGCACAAATAATGCCAGAGGTTAAGCTTGTACTGTTCCCTCCCCTCCCAGTTATTATTAACATAGCACACTGCATTGAACACCTTCTCCAAATTATCACTCTTTGTACATAAAGGAGTTTTAAGTAACGAAAATGTTTACTTTTTGGTATCTATTAACCAGCGATCTTCAATGCATCCCCACTTATATTTCATGTGATTGCATGTGGTTTAACTAACATTGTAACTTAAGCTAGCGCAAATGGCAAAAACTGATTTATGTAACAGAATTGAAATACTTGCGAAAAGACAATTTAAAGGTTTTTTTTTTGTATTATTATCAATTTTTAATGTGGGGTTGGGTTGGGGGATGGGATTTGTAATTAATTCTCTCCCCCATTCCCCGTGTAACCCAGTAGAGCGTTCGGGAGTTGAGGTAAGGCTTTTACATCCCCATGTATTTTGTATTTCATTTATTTGAATTAGTGATTAATCGGTTGGGGTCCAAGCCAATTGCTCTTAATCTAGGTAGGAATTGACCAGTGAAATATAACATAGCGTCCACGGGATTCGTGGATGATCAGTTCGGGCTGAAGCCCCTTTAACTAAGGGCATCATCCAGAGCCCTATCGAATCAAACCAGAGAAAGGGCCCTATGTGGGTAAGGATGAGAAGGTACCCCTTCTACTAAATTGGAGCTGGGAAAGTTAAAGCAGGACGTCTGATGCGACAGACACGCGACCTTATGGAATACAAATTTATTTATGGATTTTTTGGGCATAATTTTCATTTTTATACGATCATTTATGTAATTTTTTGGTATCTTTTGATAATAATCTTTAAAAATATGTATATAATCAAATATTGGAAAACCAGTGGCTCTAAAAACAATACTTATAATTTTCTAATGGACTTTGAATTCTTGAAACCTAAATTCGATATGTTTTTCAACAAGTTTTTTCAAAAATGGTTTCTTTAAAGCTTCTCGTGTCAATTACGATTTCAATTACAGAAAAGAATTAAAATGATACCTAATAAGTCCTTCATTTCTCAGGTGACATTTTTATTTTTAGATATTTTCAATCGAAATTTAATGGAGATACAACAAAAGTAAATGAACATTGAGCTGAAATACATAATTAGCCAAATTAGGCAATCCTGAAAGGAACTTTTCCTTGATATTTTTTTACTAAGACACACACACAGATACACATACATACATACATACATATATATATATGTGCAATACCTTCGATTGAAGAAGCGGATCGAATTGCCAATGATCTTCTCTGTTTGAGAACTGCCGGTGAAGATCGGAAGGACAAAGAAGTAGAGGTCTGAGGCAAAGGGCGTGAACTATTTGGAAGGCGGAATAGAGAGGGACAACGCAAAGTCGCAGAGAACGCCATTGGAGGCACCGATGACAAAACAAGAGAGAAAATAAAAAAGAGAGAGAGTTTCTGTATATGTTGAGGGCAGATGCATAGACAAAAAGTAAAGAGATAGTAATATCATAGCCGTACAAGTTTGAAGAATCTCCATTGACTCAGTTTTGTTCTGTCAAACAACGTACAAGATGATTTTTATGAAGATCGGACGGTGTTGGTGGCTTTTAGAAATCTCTGGTCTGGAACAAACACGTGGATGTAGCTGTTTAGTTGTATTGTTAAGCGAAGTATGAGGTCCTTTTCAGTTGATTGTTTAATCTTTTTTTTAATTGAAATTTACATATTTTATTGAGGTCTGTATTGCAGAACAGGAAGATACTTCGAGCCTTTAAGCTTTGTATATTGAATATATATATATACATATATTTTTTCCTAGTTATTTTTTGTGTCATTCTTATTACCTATGAAAACACACGTGCCTCGCATGCCAAAATTTACTTCAAAAATAAACAACGTACCACAGTTCTTCTATTGGAAAAAAATATTTTCACACCATTACAATTTTCAACCTAATAAGAAATTGAGGACATCACAAATTCTATAAGTATGTAACAAAACAATGGTAATAATTTGACTTTTTGAAAAACGAGCCGTCTTAGCTCAGCTGGTAGAGCGCGTGGCTTTTAACCACGTGGTCGTGGGTTCGATTCCCACAGACGGCGTGTACTATCAATTTTAATTTTTAATTAATTAATTTATTTTTATATATCACGTTTTATCTTAAATTATGCTTGTAAAGAGGTCCTCTGAAATCGAATTTTGAGAGTAGACCTAACATCCTCAATTGATGGAGACATTGAAGAATGGCTGTTTTTATTTATTTTTCTTGTCTTCTTCTCTTTAATTTAAAAATGGAATGGTATGCCAAACTCATTAACTGATTCTCGAAAAGGTGAAGCTTTGTAAGAAATCAAACTTGAGTATAATAACTTCATTCAAACTTCTGATTTCTTACTCTTATGATTTAAATAGTGGAACAACAGTCATTATGGTCTAAAACTCCTCATCTAGGTTTAAAGAGGTACAAAATACACTTCCAAACATACATATTCAAATAGCAAAGGTTTATTGCTTGTTACAATTACTTGTCGACTTCTCATCTCGTACCCCTCTGAATGTTTTTTTTAGGGTAAAGGTAATTGTATATAGGAACTAAAAATATGTAGAGGCCCAAAAGGGTACAAACATAATGTTTTGTAGTTGTGACAGTATGTGTGTGTGTGTAGCCAAGTTGGAGTTGGAATTTACATCCATTCAACCACAACATGTTTGAAATACTGAACACTGTGTGTGTGTGTGTGTGGAGAGCCAAGTTGGAGTTGGAATTTACATCTATTCAACCACAACATGATTGAAATACTGTAGGTGTAATTTCTCACACCTGAACCCTTGAAGAAATAAATCAGAGGAGATACACAGAATATAGACAAGGCAACAAAGAATTTTCGAAGAGAAGAATAATAATGGGAATTCAATGCCTTTTAATTCTCATTTATGCTCTATTTATAGGCTTTGTTCAGAGAATTACATGGAACCGTTTTCTGGCTTTATTACCAGACGTGGGTATTTATGCTTACTTATCGTGTGCATATTTCTTTTATGTCAAGCGTTATGGACTTATGGGCCTGTCGAGATTGGGCTATCCATAGGTTCTTATGCCAAGCGGAGCTTCTTTTGTCTAATTGGGCCGAGTTGACATGTGTGTATGGTTTCTATTGTTGGGCCTTCAACTGATGGTGGGCTTTTGGGTGTTTTTAACTTAGTATAGGCTGCTCTTTTGCTGCCATATGGTGTATTATAATTGGTGGGAATTTTTCCCCCTACAAAAACCAACCACTTCCCTCTGCTACATTTATTTCCAACCCCTATATATTATTGCTGGAAATAGAAGGACTTGAAATTAATCAAATTGCCTAAGATTTAGAGTTTCTATAATAAGACTAGAATTTTCTCTTTTTATTCTCAGAGGGGAAAAACAGTAACGCAGGGAAAAGAAAAAAAAAAATCAACAAGAAGCAAAGAAAAAAAATACAAAATGAAGAAAAACACAAGCACCAGTGCAAAGGTTTGGCAACCAAAGCTGTATTTCATCATAAAAATCATACAAAGTTTATATATTTTACAAATTGATTGTCATAACAACATCCTGGAACAATTTATTTAGCATTGCAAATAAAAATAAAAGCAGTGTAGAAGAATAATGGTTCGTGTAAATTTGCACCGATGTATATATTTCAAATCTTGGACCAGCTAACTTCAGCATGCACATCCTCCTCCTCCTCCCTGCTCAGTTTCGGAAATTGATTCCGGGATGCCCTGGTAGTAACTACAGAGAGTAGAGTGAATTCAGTGGAACCAGGTTGAAAAATGATTAGGAGGAAAAAATAAAAAATAACAATGCTCTTTTAATTGCTGTCATGCTCGTGTTCAGTGTTATGGTTATTTGGCTAAACATATGTAAAGTATATATATATACATACTTACATGTCCTGCTCATGTTCATTGACAAGTGCAGTCTTTGCAGCAGATAGAAATGCATCCTCAACATTGTAATCCTCTTTTGCTGAGGTCTCGAAATAAGGTATGTCTCCCTTCAAAGCACACCATTCCCTAGCTGTCTTCTCAGAAACCTGCACAAAAAGGATGCTTCATAACCATATGCCAAGAGCAAACGCGTACAGACATATAGATTCATCATACATTCTTACCACTCTGCTGTTTCCACCATCAATGTCTACCTTGTTTCCAAGTAACACAAAGGGAAATGCCTCGGGGTCACTTGGATCGGCCTAAAATCATACACAACATGGTCAAAATTTATTTATATACCAGAGCAATGTGGAAAAGAATAGAGCAAGATATCAAAATAAGCATCAAAACACCTGTTTAAGAAATTCTTCGTGCCAAATTTGAAGCGTTTCGAATGATTTGACTGCGTTGACATCAAATACAAGAATGCAGCAGTCTGCTCCTCTATAAAATGCAACGCCAAGGCTGTGAAACCTTTCCTGTCCTGCCGTGTCCCAAATCTGTTCAATTCGGAAATGTTTGAGCCAAGCAGCCTCACTTAACGTGTCATTTTAGATGGAAAACACACAGAAAACTTTTCGATTAGTCACTTACTTGTAACGTGACCAGTTTGTCGTCAATCTGTAGTTCTTTCGTGACAAAATCAGCTCCAATTGTAGCTTTATACTGTTGACTGAATCTCTTATATACATATCTGGAATATTGGCTATTTAAGACCAACAAATAATGGTATTCCTAGCATGGTAAACTGAAATGTAGTACTAAAATTTGTGTTACAAATACTTTGAAATCCAATTGCAAGGATCAAGAACAGTTTTACTAAGGGGTCCATAATGTACTAGTTCACGAAATTGAATTTGTTTCGGTATTTAAACATATATAGTGCACCAACCTTAAAGGTTGCAACATATCAATCATGGAGGACCTTAAGCATTCAAAAGAAGCAGACATTGCATCCAACAAGAGCTAAATTACCGCAGCAGAGGCATCATGTTGTGATGTTTGGACTAATTATGGTTGTAACTCTATGAACATAAAACAGTTTCAAAGAACTAAAACAAATGTTATCTACAATTTGAGTCTTTTATTTATTTATTTATTTATTTATATATATATATTCCATTCTCAATGAACAGTTTCAGATTACTAGCAACTGAACAAAATTTTGATATATTCTCTCTCTCTCTCTTTTTTACTTGTCTGAAAATAGGAAATCATTCTAAGAAAAATTAACTAATTAATCATACCACCATTAATTGCCTAACCTTTTCATCAGTGCTGCTTGTGCCCTGTATGCTGGTAGTATACATAGTAACATATAACATAAGTGGTAATACTATATGTAATATAATTATGCATGAAACAGACCTTAATCTATGAAGAATATATCCAATAATAACAAAATAAACTAGGGAAAAAAAAAACCAATTTCTCACATATCAAACCATGATGTTATATTAATATGGATACTGATTCATCAAAGATGTCTTTCCTACCCTGAAAATCAAAATAGGAAAACACAAGATTATAGAATGTGTATAACAAAGTAAATACATAAAAGAAGCAAGTAATAGAAAAGGAAAAATATATAGAAGCTAAATCATACCCACTATCACCAAGGACTATGACCTTTAGCAAACTTCTTTTTGGTGTCAACATGACCATCAATTGTTATTCAACAATACATACATACGTACATATATATATATATATATATATATATATATGTATATATATAGAGAGGGAACTGAGGAACTTATTGGATTATACACTTGGGGTTCTGTTTATGAGGATGATTCGAGAAAAAATGTATCGACTTTTCAGTTTTTTCTACAATCTTCTTCTTCTACTACTCCTCTTTTTGGTTGTGCACAGCACATCACAGCCATGTGAGCTATATAGCTTTGCTGAATATTGCTGACCAAAAACATATGTTTTCACGACAGCAAAGCTTTGTTTTTTAAGAACGCTCAAAATTTCTGTTTTTTGCAGGTTGATGACTTTGTTGTTGAGTCGTGCGTCCCTTTACACCTAATCACTTATGAGTTGGCACATAATTTCAGTATCCATTTTTTTAATCGGAAACACTATTCAATCTTAATTCTTAACTAGCACACAGGTTGGTAACAGTTACACCATCATTGTTGGTTAGCCCAATTGTCAATTATTAATTTATTTGAGCGCTTGAACAACCACTTATTCAATATAATGTCAAAAGTTTGGTTGTTAAATAATATCAAAAGTATATTTGGCGTCACTGAATTGGAATAAATTTAATATAAATTTTGAAATAAATTTTCTTCTATCTCAAATAAAAAAGACTCCGATTTTATGTTTCCAAACACAACATATATATTTTCAGTTTTTCTGCCTCAACATATGGTGAACCAATATAAGTTAATATATTTTTTTCCCTCTAAATTTTTTTTAATCTTAGGTTTAGTGAAGAATTCCAAAATGTCATGTGTCGATGTTTATTTCAATTATAACAACAAATATTAAAAATTACGCATTATCGTAGCCCAATTTAACTTCCTGAAATTTCAAATTAATTTTGTATTTTAGCTGTAGGATTTTTTCACCAAATTTTAATCAAAATTGATTTGGGTGCTTGCTAAATTTCAAATCAATGAGTTCAAGAAAAGCATTGTCTTGCTGCGTTTTCTTGTGACTTTACCTACCAGATGTCCATTGATTAAAAAAAGAAGCCTATTTGCAGATATGATTTTGACTGAAAAGTTTGTTAGTGGCTGTGCATCTCTTGTGACTCTTCACCCATCAAACCCTAAATTGGTCAAAATGTTTGCAACTGATCTAAATGGCATCTAATGTTGATAGATTGACATTTGTTTTTTATTTTTTATTTTTTCTTTCTGACAGTCTAGATAGATTGACATGGCATGGTCAGCTGTCACTTACCTTCATCATACTTCAGATGCCTAATTGTATGTTATTCAATATATATACTAGTATATATATATATATATTTGAGTAATGTTACGCGTACCTAATAAACTCAGCCACATTTTGTGTAAATATATGCATGTTCTGCTCTTTTTGTCTCTAGCTAAGAACCCTCAAAGATTATGGTTAAATCCTACTTAGAATATATCTTCTAGTTAATGTGCTCTGAATTCTCTCTCACACAATAAATCTTTCTTTTTTTCTTTTCTTTTTATGCACACAAGAAATCCAGGGTGGCAAAAGAGTGGTCGGTCAAGCAAAGAATACTATAGCTGCTTCACACACACACACACACACACAGACCTCCATGTCAAACAAGAAATTGTTTAAATTTGATTTCTTAATTAATGTGTTAGGCAAGCAATGTTAATTTTAATCAACAATGAGATTTATATAGTAATGATAAATGTAAGTGACCGTCTGTTTGTCAATCCATTTGGAATATATGTAACATGTCCTCAAAGTCCAAGCATTTTGTTGGGTCTTAATATGTGTTGAGATTTGAGAACCAAGTCAGTTAGTTAATGTATGGGCATCTGGTATTAGAAGGGGTTGGGCCAGCACCTACTACCAACCCATTGCAAAATCCACCTATTGAACACACACAAAAAAAAAATAAAAAAATTAAAAAAAAAAAAATTTGAGGGGGTTAAGTGTTCAAGTCTCGGTACAGTAAGTGTGCGTATTTGGCTGAAAAAAAAAAAATTTCTCACACTTTGGCATATTCTGTCAAACACAATTTACTTGAGAAATCAAAAGAATTTCGATGTCTAAATACTCTATTAGATATAATTCTGAAATTATTTAAAGGAATAGCAAAATCAGCCGTTTCAGTTCATTTGCCTTGATGAGGTTTTTGCACATTTTTATATAGCAATTTTTTTTTTTTTTTTTTTTTTTTTTTGCATTTTATCCTAATTTTTATTTAGATTGAATTAAAGACTATCAGTAAGTAAAATAAAGATGCAAGGTGGTAAATACCTGTGTCATTCTTTTATAGGTTAAGGATTCAATCCATTTCTTGTGCTTTACATGTTTTCAAGAAATATGTTATATATTGTATACATTATAAAATAAATATTTAACTATTTAATCTATTCATATTGAGTTTATATTGAAATAACAAATTCGAATACGGCACAATTAACTAGTTGAATTGTCGCGAAATTATATTAAAAAACTGTTTGGTATGTGGTTTGAAGTCAAACCAACCCCACAAACCCGAATTCAAATATTGTCGTTGAAGAAAGAAAATAAATTGTTCCCTTGGGCTGGAACAAAGCCAGAGAAACACCTCAAGGCTTAAACCTAATTGATTCAGATGGAATCCGAGGATGGAGGAGACCAATTTCCATGTGACCACTTTCAAAGAGAGCTTTAGGTTGGCCAATTGTATTGTCGTTTTAGAACCCAAATTCAAAGGTTGTCTTTGAATTTTTTTTTTCTAAGATCTGCCTTTTCCTAATTGATTTAGTAGATTTGTATTCCTCCTCCAATTTTCAGACGATCATTTTCAACGAGAGCTTTGGACAAAAAATAAATTGTTTCCTTTGAGTTTGAAGTCAACCAACACCACAAACACAAAGGGAGAAAAATTACTGTCAATCAGGAATTTAACGGTTGATATTTTTGGAATTTGATTTTTTTTATTTTTATTATTTTTTTTAAGACCTGTCTGTTCCTAATTGATTTAGTAGATTTGGATTCCTCCAATTTTCGTACCATCATTTTCAATGATAGCTTTGGACCAAAAAAACAAATTGTTCCCTTCGGATTTGAAGTCAAACCAACGCCACAAACAAGTATGAGCAAAAGAGAGTGAAATTACCGTAACCCGCTTTGTAACGGTTGAGTCGCTTTGTAACGGTTGAGTTATTCTTTGTTGTTCTTGGAGTTTGATTTTTTATTTATTTTTTATTAACAAAAAATACACTCACACATTCACTTTTATTTCTACAAAGACTTAAACCCTCAATTTTTTTATTTTGAAAGGTAAGAAAGTACTACTAGACTACAAGGCTTTTGATCTTAGGACTCAACTTCAAGCTTTCGCATCTTTAACTTCTAATTTAACGGAAGAGAAATTATTAATAAAAGATGAAAAATGATGTTTTGTACAATTAAAGATAGAAATTTAGTCTGAGAGTAAAAATAAAAAAAATAAAAAATAAAAATAGATGACATCACTTAAATCTCACCCTAAAAACTAAGGATAATGATTTTTAACTTGCCTATTTTTACCCTTTAAACAACTGAATAAGTGGTCAAGAGTAAAATAAATAAATAAATAAATGACCAACTAAAAGTGAAAATTCTAGATTATTCATTTTCCAACAATGTGAAAAAGTCAACGCCACCAGAACCCTAACAATTTAAGTCGATCTTCCATTTTTTTACGCTGCTATGAGCATAATATTGGAACCTTCCAACCAAATAACATTGACGAAATATCGTATAAATATGAAGAAGGCAAAAGTCCACCCTAATGTCTAAACATGTCCTATGACTAATTACAAAAATGCATTTTTCAACTATTATTTATTGTAAGGAGAGCAAAAAAAAAAAAAAAAAACTTTTATTTATTGTATTTAAGTAATCTATTTTTTAAAAACGCTTACATTGTACTTCTGAGGTTGATATTCATGGCGTTTGACCATTAAGTGAACTAAAATTATATAGAAACTTTTAATATTTTACAAAAAAATGGTCAAAAGTAAAATAAAAAACTAAAATTATATTTTTAACTTAAAACATACTATCTCTGTCCTTAAAAGAATGTTTCTGTTAGAGATTTGTGAGTTACAGTTTCTTAAAAGAGACATTTATTTTGTGATAAAAAAAATAAAAAAATTGAATGATGATTCTAAACAGTTGAGGCAAAACCCCAGTCTTATCTTTTATCCCGACTCTAGTGTTTATGCTATTTTAAGTTTACATTACATTTATATATATTTATGTTTTTTTTTCTTTCTAAAATGGTAAAACAAATATACATGGGAGGTTCGTACCAAACTAATATGTGTTGTATATATTGAGTATTGACCATACTGGACATGGAGCTTTCTTTGCGTCAACCTCTGCTGTGTGGAATAAACATGTCTTCGAATGTATACAGTTCCCAATTTGCCGTCCAAATTGAGAAAGTAACAATCAACGGTACCGCATTTCTTTCTTTTGACTTTTGTAAATTTGTGACTTTCTTGGAAAACTTGCCCAGTCCAGGTTTTGTTTGTGTCCTGGTTCATGGGATGCATATACATATCTATAGTTGTGTGTGCATATATATATTGAACTTACGCCGAAAAAAAAAAAAATCTTATTAAATCTTTTGACCTTTTCACGTTGGTCTTACCTTGTAAGTTTTAAATTTTTTCTTGTAAGAATTTAATAATGATCCCAAGTTATTGCCGAGACAACAAAGCCAGGGATTCTTCAATTCAATTATTTAAGAATAATTTCAACATTTCTTATAAGAAAAAAGATTTTAGGTAATTACAAAATATCATTCTCCAAAATTAATTATCATTTATATGGCACCATGAAAAGTGCTAACAAAAAAAGAGAAAGAAAAAAAAAGAGGTTCTGTGTGTGTGTGTGTGTGTGTGAAGAGTACTGTTGGTAGAAAATTATAGCGTTGATAGAAAATTAAAGAGTTAAAAATGTTATGATAGACGCCTTAATTACATTTTTCATCAAAGTAAAATGTGGTTTCTACTAATTTAGTACTTCTTTGAAATTTCAACAAAAGTCCAACGATGAGAAAGTGCACACTATAAGCATTACAAAATTCAATAAACAAACGTATATATTTGACAAATTTGGAACTCTTTTGGTTATTTTCAGAATTAATATATATATATTGATAAGTCAGAATTTATATATATTTCATATACGACTTCTGTTTTCAACCCTTTTAGCTCCTAGTGAAAGCCACATGTCACTATATATGTTAGTCCACCCATTAATCATGCATAATATGGACACTTGAAGACTTTTCTATATGGGAAAAAAAGAAGAAGAAGAAGGTCTTATCCCACACACGTGGCCAAACCAAGATAACATGTGATGAGTTAAAACTGGCATAGA